CGTACGGGCATTTTCATTTATAGAATTTACTTTTTGTTCCAGCCTCTTTTGTTGGAAAAAAATCATCCTTTTCAAATTTGATATCCTTGACACCTATGTAGATCTATTTCTGAACTTTATTCCATTATTCCATTACTTTCCATTGATATAATATCTATTTATCTCACGATGGCAATAATGCAGTGTTGTGATTGTAGTATCTTAAAGTCATGATATTAGAAAATGTGTCCTTCAACTTTCTTCTTTTTCAAAAGCGGGATTTCTTTTCCATTTTTCATATGAACGTTTAAATCATATAATCATGCTGGGTTCAATCCCAAGCATCCCATATGGTCCCCCAAGCACTTCCTGGAGTGACTCCTGAGTGCAGAGCAAGGAGGAACCCCTGAGCAATGCTGGGTGTGACCCAAAAAGAAAAAAAAAAGATGACCTACAGACTAGGATATTCTACATATAATAAGAGACTTTTATCTATAATATATAATAACTGAATAGCAATAAAAGACAGCCCAAATTTAAAAGGAGCAAAGGATCTGAATGTTTCCCCAAGGAAGAGGTGAATTTTCGGCATACAGTTTTCCAACACCAAACCTTTTACTCGTGCTCACTTCCTGTCACCAAAACTGTAAGACATAGAATGGATATTTCAGCCAGAGAATGGATATCATGACGATAAAAAGTGCATGAGAAAGGGAGAACGTCATTAGTTATCAGGAACATGCGAATCAAAACATGCTCATGGATATGAGTGCCTTCCTTTTTGATATTTCCTTTTTTCTTTTTCCTTCTTCTCCTTGTCCATCTCCGTCCATCCTTCTACCTTTAATCCATCCTTTTTTCCTTCCTTTGGATCGAATTCAAATCTCACTCCTGCAAGGCATGCCCTTTACCACTGAGCCACATCCCTACCCCTGTGTGCAGATTTCTTTCCAAGGAGATGAAAATATTTTCAAAGATGTGAGGAGGGCAGAACAACTCGGAGCACACACTACACCGCACCAGGAATTCTCTTCCCACAGATGAGTTCTAGAGTATGCCAACTACAGATCCCGAAACTGTCCTCCAGGAAAAGAAATATTTTTAAAATACCATGCTACCATCACATACTTTCTTTTGCCAACCTCGCCCAGGGCCTGGGTTTTTGTTTTGTTTTAGCCCTCCAACAGGAAGTTCCCCAAAATTGATCCCCAAAACAAGTGTGTTTGGCCCAAATAATAAAAGACATCTGGACCCAGCTGAGACTCAGGAAACGGGCAGACGTTTTCTCTTACTAGCAACAGAGACTGTGGGACTCACTTTGTTGCCAAGATTTGGGGGTTACTCTGGGCAGCCACAGCAGTGCCCCCTGGTCCTGGCCCAATCACGCTCTCTGCCGCCACTGGTTCTGTTTGGTTGGTTTAAGCTGTTCTAAGCCGATTGGAGCCTTTCCGTACAAGCTGTGTGTTCCCTACAAACACGGGCCGCCTGGCACCTGAGGACAGGGAGTGTGATGGGGACAGCCTGCGTTGAGTGGTGGCACTGATTGATTTGTACTTGGCTGGTGGCCCAAGGGATCAGAAGAATCAAGGGCCCGAGCCGTAGTACAGCAGGGAGGCCACTTGCCTTGCATGCCACTGACCCAGGTTCAATCCCCGGCATCCTGTATGGTCTCCTGAGCACTGTCAGGAGTGGTCCCTAAGTGCAGAGCCAGGAATGGACCAAATTCATCACTGTATCACTGTATCACTGTATCGCTGTCATCATCCCATTGTTCATGGATTTACTGAGCGGGCGCCAATAACGGCTCCATTCGTCCCAGCTCTGAGATTTTAGCAGCCTCTCCTTACTTGTCTTTCCCAATGTTTGGAGGCTCTTTCAGGATCAGGGGAAAGAGACCCATTATTGTTACTGGTTTTGGCATATCGAATACGCCACGGGGAGCTTGCCAGGCTCAGGCTCTGGCATGCAGACCAAATCCATAAATTAATAAATAAATGAATAAATTCTGGGGCTGGAGTGATAGTGCATTGGGGAGGGCTTTTGGCTTGCATGCAGCTGACCTGAGTCCAATCCCTGGCATCCCACATGATCCCCCGAGCACCACCAGGAGTGATTCCTCCAGAGTGCAGAGTCAGGAGTAACCCCTGAGCATCTCTGGGTGTGGCCCCAAAACCAAACCAGCCAACAAACAGATGAGGTAAGAAGATGACAGGGCCTGGAGCAGGTCCGAGGGCTGGCGGGCAGCTCCTTACAATGCTGGAGGCGCTGAGGGTCCATCCCCGGCGCCACACAGCCCTCTAGAGCATCGCCAGGAACGCTCCCTGGCATCTGAGCACCCGAGCACTGCAGGGTGTGGCTAAAAAACCAAACAGCCCCAATGTGCAAGTGGACAGAGAACGCTGACCCAGAGCCTGGCTGGTGTTGCTTTGGGAGCTGTTAAGATGATCTGTAGGGGCTGGAGCGATAGCACAGCAGGTAGGGCGTTTGCCTTGCACGCAGGCAGCCCAGCTTCGATCCTCGGCATCCCATATGGTGCACCGCCAGGAGCAATTCCTGAGTGCAGAGCCAGGAGGAACCCCTATACATTGCCAGGTGTGATCCAAAAAGCAAAAAACAGAAGAAAGAGAGAAAGAAAGAAAGAAAGAAAGAAAGAAAGAAAGAAAGAAAGAAAGAAAGAAAGAAAGAGAGAGAGAGATGATCTGTCGATCTTTGTTTTGTTTTGCGATTGATTTTCATTGAATCATTGTGAATTGCCATTCAGTTCAGAAGTTCCTCCTGATTTCATTTCGGGCTTCCAGTGTTCCCACGGCGATCCCGTCACCAGTGTCCCCTTCCCTCCACCAATACCCCGCTGCTCTCCTGCTGCCTGGCCCTTTGCCCTCTTTCCAGCACCCCCTCCCCCTGCTCCAGAGTGACCGCTCCCCTCCCCCGTCACAGGGGTCCCTTCCCTGACCCATCCAGCCCAGCCGCCTCAGCTTCCTGCTGAAGCCCAGCCCTCCTGACCTGCTTCTGTTGCTGCTGGACAGCTGTTCGTCCCGCCCTGTCTATGTGTTTCTTTCCCTCCGTCCATGGGAGACATCCTGCTGTGTCCGTCTCTCTCCCTCTGACCCCCTCCCCTCAGCGGATCCTCTCAAGCTCCATCACGGAGCAGGAAACCACATGCCTTCACCTTTGCTTACGGCCAAGTGCAATCCCGTTGCGTCTCAGCATCATCTTGTTTGTTATTTCAGAGCAGGTCCTCTGTGGGGGTGTTGCGGGGGGCGTCGGATGCCTTCTGCAGCGGGGGCGGCCAGCGGGCATGTGGAGTGTGATTTCCAGAAAGCGGGAGGCCAGGGGCAGGGCTGGGGGATGAGCCCCCCCCCCCAGGCTTCGGCCAGGGTCCCCCCTCCAGGGAGAGAAGGGTCTAAAGGGAAGGAAGAGCCAGCACGCTTGGACCACATCGAGTCTGGGGCTGGGGCTGCAGATCCTTGAGCAGATGCATCGAGGGAGGGCGGAGGGGTGGCCCAGGGTGGGCTTCTCAGGGACCCTGAGGGGCTCACGGGGAGGCAAGGTGGGCAAGAATGAGCGGAATTTCTTTTCCATGAAGTTTCTGGTAGTTGGGCCAGAGAGATAGTACAGGGGGGCAAGACATTTGCCCTGCACACGGCTGACCCCCAGTTCAACCCCCGACACCACCCGTCGTCTAGGAGTCACTCCTAAGCACAGGGCCAGGAATGAGCCCTGAGCACTACCAGGAGGGGCCCCCAAACAAAAGGAAATGGTTGCAGAGGATGAACAACCTTTGTGGATTACTTAAGAAAGGAAAGGTCCTGGGGGCTGGAGCCATAGTACAGCGGGCAAGGCTTTTGCCTTGCACGCGGCCAACTCGGGTTCGATTCCCAGCATCCCATATGGTCCCCCGAGCACCGCCGGGGGTAATTCCTGAGTGCAAAGCCAGGAGTATAGCCGGGTGTGACCCAAAAAGCAGAAAAGAAAATAGAAAGGAAGGAAGGAAGGAAGGAAGGAAGGAAGGAAGGAAGGAAGAGTCCTACTCACAGCTGGTGACTCAGAATAAATGGCTTCAGGAATGGCTGGATCAAGGGGTTCTGGTGTTGCTGGGAATCTCATCAGGTTGTTTCTGCTTTCCCCTGTGTTCTTGCCTTTGGGGTCCTGGTGCCAGGACCACCAGATGTTCATTGGAGCCAAAAAGAGAGCTCCCTTCCTCACTGACTGCAGCTTAGCGTAACAAAATGGGGTCTCGTTGGTCCAAAGTGTGTGTATATGGGGTGTGATTGGTCACAGTGGGGCTGGCAACGTGGGTCTCTTCTCAAGGCTGGGGTTCAACTCATCCCAGCTGAGACCGGGGGATGTATCTGAGGAAACACCAGAGCAAAAGGCAGGCTCTGCCCCACCCCAAAGGCACCCCCAAAGAGGCGGATGCTTCCAGAAGAGGGCAGCGGTCCGTGTCACCACGGTGAGGAAAGCTGCAGTGAAGGACTGAGGGTCATGGCTGAGGGGCTCGTGCGGGGGAAGAGGAGGGAGGAAAGAGTTTGCCAGGGAAGCAGCGTTCTGGGGAGCCGGGGCCGATGCCAGGCTCAGGGGCTGGGCGCTGGAGCCCCCCGAGCCCCCCACTTCACATCCCCCAGCCCACACACGCTCAGCACCATTCACTCGGTCCTCACGGGCCCTCGGTCCATGAGACGTGGGCAATGGGCACTCCTGTTTACAAGAGGGGGTCACCGAGGTCCAGGAAAGGGGGCAGCTCAGGTCACACGGCCAGAAGATGGCCAGGCCCTGGCCTGTGAGTGGGCGCCACCTTTCTGCCCCCGCAGAACCCCAGGCCCCAGGCCCCGAATCCCAAGTCGTGCCCGGCTGATGGAGGGTGCAGCCAACAGCCCCCCAACAGCTGTCGGTGGAGGAACTGACCCCAAAGCCGCCCCCTCCCCCACTCGGCAGCTGGGAACCATCACCCTGGGCTTGGGGGGCGGGCACTGGGCACGGAGGGGGCAGGCTGATGCCCGCCGTGTGCCCGCAGCAGCGGCATGGCGGTGAGGAAGTATCTGCGCAAGTGCCTGCACCGGCTGCAGAAGGGCCCCGGCTACACCTACAAGGAGCTGCTGCTCTGGTACTGCGACAACACCAACACGCACGGCCCCAAGCGCATCATCCGCGAGGGCCCCAAGAAGAAGGCCGTGTGGTTCGTGCTCACCCTGCTCTTCGCCTGCCTCGTGTGCTGGCAGTGGGGCGTCTTCATCAGGACCTACCTGAGCTGGGAGGTCAGCGTCTCCCTCTCCGTGGGCTTCAAGACCATGGACTTCCCCGCCGTCACCATCTGCAACGCCAGCCCCTTCCAGTAGGTGCCCAGGCTGCGGGAGGAAGGCGCCCCTCCTCCCTCCTCCCTCCCCCTCCCTCCTCCTCCTTCCTCCCTCATTCCCTCCCTTCCTCACTTCTCCCTCTCTCCTCCTTCCCTCCTCCCTCTGTCCCCTCCTCCCTCCTCCTTCCTTGCTCCCTCCTCCCTCCCTCCCTCCCTTCTTTCTTTCCCTTCCTCTCTGTCCTTCCTCCCTCCCTCCCTCCCTTCCTCCCTCCATTCCTTCCCTCCCTCCCTCCATTCCTTCTTCCTTCCTCCCTCCTTCCTTCCCTCCTCCTTTCCTCCCTTCCTCCCACTCTCCGTCTCTCCCTCCTCCCTTCCTTTCCTTCCTTCCCCTCTTCCTTTCCTTCCTCCTCCTCCTCCCTCCCTCCCTTCCTTCCTGCCTTCCTTTCTTCCTTCCTGCCTTCCTTCCTCCCTTCATCTCTTCCTTCCTCCTTCCATCCTTCCTTTCTCCTTTCTTCTTTCTCCTTCCTTTCTTCACTCCTTCCTTCCCATCTTCCTTTTTTCTTTCCCTCCCTCCTTCCCTTCCATCCATCCTTTCTCTTTCCTTCTTTCTTTTCTTTCTTTCTCCTTCCATCCTTCCTGCCTCCTTCCTTCCTCTTTCCATTTTTCTTCCTCCCTTCATCCCTTCCTCCCATCATTCCTTCCCATCTTCCTTCCTTCTCTTCTCTTCCCTTCCGTTTATTCCTTCTTTCTCATCTTCCTTCCCCCCTCCCCTCACCCCCCTTCCTTCCCACTTTCCTGTCTCTCTTTCCTCTCTGCCTTCCACCCAGCTTCCTTGTCCAGAGGGAACAGACTCCCCTCTACCTCTACCGCCGTCAGTACTGAATCTGCTCTCTCGTGGTGAGAGCAGGTATAGGACGGCTGACCTTCAAGTGCTCAGACAGGCCAGCTCCATGGCAGGTGTCCTTAGAGTCATGTCCATAACTCAAATCCACTGCCACACTCAGGTGGGCACAGCTGTACTCAGCCTAGTTAAGAGATCAGGGGGCCCCTGGCTAGTCTGGGAAGTAGATGTGCAGGAGCTTCACCATGTCAGGACAGAGCGGACAGAGCACATGCAAAGGCCCTGGGGTGGGTAGAGCTCAGGACACTGAAGGAATTATAAGCCAGGCCAGCCTGGCTGGAGCCCAGACCATATTCTTGTTTAAAAGAAGGTCCCAGAAGGGAATTCCTGCCTTGTCATTCCGTGTCCAGTTGTCATGGATTTCCCTTGTTCTCGTAAGAGGGCTCTGACTGTGGGGAGACCCTTGTTTGTTTCCAGGGCCCCAACCCAAGGTCTCGCTCCTGCTGAGTCATTATTCTCCAGCCGTGTTCCTTTCTATCCTGAGCCGGGCCACACCCTGGGCAGGTGGGGGTCCATCCTCCAACGCCCCCCACGCTCCCACTGCCCGACTCTCCCCGCCACTCAGGTACTCCAAGGTGAAGCATCTGCTCAAGGACCTGGACGAGCTGATGGAGGCTGTCCTGGAGCGGATCCTGGCGCCCGAGCACGGCCGCGCCAATGCCAGCACCGCCCTCAACCTCACCATCTGGAACCACATGCCCCTGGTCCTCATCGACGAGCGGGACCCTCGGCACCCCCTGGTGCTCGATCTCCTTGGGGACCACCACAACAGCTCGGCCAACAGCAGCTCAGCCCCAGAAAAGATCTGCAACGCCCCGGGGTGCAAAGTGGCCATGAGACTCGTGAGTGGTCCCCGACACAGCCCAGCCTCGGGCGCCCGCCAGAGAGATGGGTGCGAGTCTGCCCTTCCGTGCTGGGGGTCTTGCTGGGGGGAGGGGCGGGCCGCGGGACTGTGCCTGTTTGGGCTGTGGGCAGCACAGGCAAAGACGAACCTCCCTGGGCCAGAGCCGTGGCACCGTGGGGAGGGTGCTCGCCCCGCACGCAGCCGACCGGGTTCAATCTCCCGCACCCAACATGGTCCCCGAGCACTGCCAGGGTAGTTACTGGGTGCAGAGCCAGGAGGAAGCCCCAAGTATTACTGGGTGTGGGCCCCCACCAAAGGAAATAAATAAAATTTTAAAAATACAGTAAGAACAATCTCCGCAGAGGAATGAGGTGCTCTGTGGCCCCAGGGCTGGGGCCCTTCCTAAGGAGGCGCCTCTCCCGGGTCCCTGGGGGAAGGGCCGCCCAAGCCGAGTGCCAGGGCCCCGCCTACCTGTGCCAGTGGAGAGAATGGGGGCCCAGGGGGAGGTGGGCGCGGAGGGGCAGACAGTGCCCTCCTGAGCGCGGGTGCTGGGAGCAGAACATGTGTGCACGGGCCTGTGGCCGGGGCTGCTGGGCGCCTCCAGGTGTGGGGCTGACATGTGGCGCCGGAGCTATGGCATGACGCCATGTGACGGAGCACACATGAAGTGCATGCGGTATGCCTGTGTGTGTTTTGCAAGGGTACGTGTGCCCGTTCATGCTGCGTGTGCTGTGCATGGTTTTGCATGCATAAGCATGTGCCCGTGTGTCATACACGTACGTGCTTGCCTGTGTGTTTTTGTGTGTTGTGTGCTCATTCATGGGGCATGTCCACACTTGCGACTGTGTGCGTGTGTGTTGGGTTTGTATTTGCGCGTGTGTGCCCGTGCTGGTTTGCATACATGTTTCCCTGTGTACATGTGTGTGTTGTGCGTGCGATTGCACCTGTGTCAGTGTGTCCCTGTGTCTGTGCCGGTCTGTGTTTGTGTGTCCCTGTGTATGTTCATGTGTCTGTGCTGGTCTGTGTCCGTGTGTCCCAGTGTCTGTCCGTGTGTCCCAGTGCTGGTGTGTTTACAAGCATGTGCGTGTGTGTGCGCATGCGTGCTTGTGTATGTGTGTGTGTGCGTGCGTGTGTGTGCACGTGCGTGTGTGTGCATGTGTGTGTGTGGCTCCACCTGGGAGACCCCGCAGCTGCAGCATCTGTGGCATGTGCGTTGCCCTCGCTGCCCTGGTGTGGGGGACCGGGGACTGTGTCTGGCCATGGCCTCGCCCCCACCTGCCCTCCCGCCCACAGTGCAGCCTCCGTGCCAGAGAGTGCACCTTCCGGAACTTCAGCAGCGTGGCGCAGGCCGTGACCGAGTGGTACGCGCTGCAGGCCACCGACATCTTCTCGCAGGTGCCCGTGCAGGAGCGGGTGCGCATGGGCTACCCGGGCGAGCGGCTCATCCTGGCCTGCCTGTTCGGGGTGGAGCCCTGCAGCCACCGGTGAGCCCCACCCCCGGCCCTCAGCCTCCCGTGCCCACAGCCTCCCCCAGGGAGAGTCCAGGACAGGAGGGTCCCCGGGAGGCGTTTTTCGGAGCCCCCAGACCGGGCCCACCCGCGGGGTCCAAAGACAGGCCCCCACGAGGGGCGGCTTCTAGACAGGCCTCGTGGGCCTTCTAATGTGCCAGGCCTGAAGAAGGGGTGTCTGGGGGCGGCTGCTCCCCCACCTCAGGTGCAAGGGCTGGGGGCACCGCCGCCTGCTGCCCTGCTCACCCCCGGATCGGGGCTCTGACGCCCCCTTCCCAGAGCTTTCGGAAGGGAAATAGCAGAGTCGGCCAAGTGGGCCTCAGGCCCCTCTGTGTCCTCAAGCCCCTGATGTGAGAGGATGGTAGATGGGGGAGGAGTAACCTCAGAACTCCCCATACCAGCCTCTCCAGCTGGACCACCAAGCCCAGGTTCATCCCGGCTGCAGGACCAGAGCTTTTGTGTTTTTTCTCCTTTGGAATTTTCCTCACCAAACTTTTTTCCAGGTTTGGTCAGTCATTTTCTCAGGGGTCTCCTATGTCTGTTAACAGTTCCCCATCCGTTTGATTCATTTCATAGATTGTGTGTGTGTTACACACTCCTTCCAAATAACTATTTTTTTTTGGTGGGGGGGAGTGCAGTTAACTAAGGATCTTTTTCATTTTTTTTCCTTTTTTTGCAATGCTCAGAGGTTCCTCCTGGCTCTGCACTCAGGAATCACTCCTGGCGGTGCTCAGGGGACCATATGGGATGCCGGGAATCAAACCCTGGTGGTCAGCTGCATGCCAGGCAAACGCCCTGCCCGCTGTACTGTAGCTCTGGCCACTGTTTTTTCCCTCTTGAATACTTTCTCATTTCTTTTTTCTTTTTTTCCTTCTTTGGGTCACACCCGGTGATGCTCAGGGGTTACTTCTGGCTCTGCACTCAGGAGTTACTCCTGGCGGTGCTCAGGGGACCGTATGGGATGCTGGGAATCGAACCTGGGTCGGCCGCGTGCAAGGCAAACGCCCCCCCCCCCCCGTGCTATCGCTCCAGCCCCCACTTTCTCATTTCTGAGGAGGCCTGGTCGCCTCCCCGGAGCAGGGCTTTATCCTCATTTTCCTCGCTGTTATTATCACTGCCCCACGCCTCTGCCCAGGGGAACCCCCCTCACCCCACTTCCTGCCGAGGCGCTGCATTTCTCACTCATTCCCGGGGCTTCCCCAGCCCTGGCCGCTTGCTGGCTCTTGGCTCCTGGCCAGGCAGGGCCCCGGAGGGACAGCAGCTGGAGGCGCAGCCCCGGGCGAGCTTCTCCGAGCACCAAGCAGGCCAGCCCCCACGGTGACACCAAGGGTGTAGCCGCAGACAGGAGACAACTGTCCGGCCACGCCCTGAGCAGCTCCCCTGCACCACAGCTGTCCCGGATGGCCCCTGGGAACACCGTGTCCCGACCCACTCTTCTCCTTCCCTGTGGCCAGTCTCATTCCCCCCGGAATGCGGGCGGAACTGGGATCAGCCTTTTAAACCGTTTTTTCCTGCCACATGGTTGCCTGCCCTGCAGAGTCTCTGCCTGGCATGTCCATCTCCTCCCCACACCCAGGGCTGCCCCTGCCCAGTCAAGTGTGAGCAGCCGGCCTCCCCTCTTCCTGGAACCCGCCCCACTCCTCACCTCCTGCTCCTGCTTATCTCTGCAGATGACTTTATCATGGATTGTCACTGACCTGCTAAATATTGACCCAGTGTCTCTGCCAGGGTGCCAGTTTCGAGCACAGTTCTCTGAGTGATCAGCCCTGCTTGGCATCCAGCCCTCTCTGGGTCCCTTTGGCAAGGGGGCAGGGAGGGGCGTGGATGCTGCTGGTATTTCAGCATGGCGAGTGGGGAAACTGAGGCCCTGAGAGGTTGAATAATGTCCCCAGACCCGCCAGTTACTAAGTGTCAGGACTGGGCTGATTATGGCCCATGAATTCGTTTTGCTTTTCTTTTTTCTTTCTTTTTTTGGAAGGTGAGGGGCTCATCGGCTGTGTCTGGGAGGTAAGGGCCTACACCTGGGAATACAGGTCCAGCAGATGGGGTGACCTAACCTTTTAGTGCCCGCTGGAGTCACACTGGCCCTGCTCAGGGCCGCCAGGCTCAGTCCAGCAGAGGGGCCAGGCGGAACTGGGCATCGAACTCAAGGCCTCAAGCACGCAGATGTGCTCTTGAGTTTTAGGGCCAGCTTCTGAGTTCTCTCTCCCTGGAGGCCCACAGCTGCCTGCTGGGTCTCCGTCCTGAAGCAGGAGCTGCTGACACAGGCCGTGACATACAGGCCCGGGCTGGACATGCTCTAGGGGTCCCATGGGCCGGTAGAGCTGGATCGGGAAGGGACTGGTCAGGAGGTCTCTGCCCCACGGCCCCTACAGAAGGACAGGCGGGTGACCTGGAGTGGGGGGGCTGGTTAGAGACTCTCCCAGGCCAATGAACAGAGGGCAGAGGCTGGCATTGGGGACCCTCCAGGCACGCCTGCACAGGTGGGCAGTTTGCACCCTAGTACCCATCGCTGGCAGCAAGAAGGGTTCAAGGAGGCGCCTCCGCCGGAGTCTGACTCCCGGATTCACAGTCGCCCAGTTGTGCAGGCGGAAACCAAAACCAAAACCTACTGGAGCCCAGTGCGAGGCTGGAACAATAGCTCAGCAGAGAGGATGTTTGCCTTGCACACTTCCAAGACTGGGGTTCAACCCCCGGACTCCCATCGGGTCCCCCGAGCACCACCAGGAATGATTCCTGAGTGCAGAGCCAGGAGCAACCCCTGACATCGCTGGGTACAACCCCTCAGAGCGCCCCCCAAAGAAAACACCAAAGGAACAAAGTATTTTCCCGATGCCACCTAAACCAGAGGGCCCGGCCCCACCCAGCCCGCTGTCTTTCCCCAGGGGGCTCTGGGAGTCTCTCCAGCGAGGGAGGTACCTGGCGACTCCTGCTGTGGAGTGACCCCCCTGCCCCCCACCCCTCCCAGGAATTTCACTGCCATCTTCCACCCCGACTACGGCAACTGCTACATCTTCAACTGGGGCATGACCGAGCAGGCCCTGCCCTCCGCCAACCCCGGGGCTGAGTTCGGTGAGTCTGTGGCCGGACACGGCTCCCCATGGGCTGCAGGGGCGAGTGACCGTGAGCTGTGCAGGGTGGGGAGGCATGATGTCCAGAGAAGACAGCATGGCGGGGGGAAGGGTGCCGCCTTACATAGGGTTTATCCCCGGCACCCCACAGGGGCCCCGATAGCCACCTGGAGTGATTCCTGAGCACAGAGCCAGGAGCAAGCCCTGAGCACTGCTGAATATGGCCAGGAAGGAAGGAAAGAAGAGAGGAAGAAAGAGAGGGAGGGAGGGAGGGAGGGAGCAAGGGGAACTAAGGAGGAAGGGGAGGGGGAAGGAAGGAGGGAAGGAAGGAAGGAAGAAAGGAAGGAAGGAAGGAGGGAGGGAGGGAGGGAGGGAGGGAAGGAGGGAGGAAGGGAGGGAAGGAAGAGAGGAAGGAAGGAAGGAGGGAAGGAAGAGAGGAAGGAAGGAAGGAAGGAAGGAAGGAAGGAAGGAAGGAAGAAGGGAAGGAAGAGAGGAAGGAAGGGAGTGAGGGAGGGAAGAGAGAGAGCACACAGGGGCGTGAGGTGGCGGCCCCCCGCAGGAAGCAGGAGCACCTGTGGGTTTTCTCTGGGCTGGGGAGTCTGGGGGTGCCTCTGCTGGGGACGGGGCTCAGCAGCTCTCCGGGCACCCACAGGCCTGAAGCTGCTGCTGGACATCGGGCAGGAGGACTACGTGCCCTTCCTCACGCCCACGGCCGGGGCGCGGCTGCTGCTGCACGAGCAGAGGTCGTTCCCCTTCATCAAGGACGAGGGCGTCTACGCCATGGCGGGCGCCGAGACCTCCATTGGGGTGCTGGTGGTACGGCCTCCGGGGACCCCTGTTGGCCCCTCCCGCCCCGCGCCTGACTGGAGCCCCACGGGCTCAGCCTTCCATCTCATCCTGGCCCCTCCCACTCAGCTGGGGGGAGGCGGTGAAGGGCTGCAGGGCCCCCCACCCGAGTCGGCTCTGTGATGCTTGGGGGGCAGGGAGGGCTGGTGGGCGCCCCCGATCCGTCTCTGTGGCGCAGGACAAGCTGGGGCGCATGGGCGAGCCCTATAGCCAGTGCACAGCCAACGGCTCCGACGTGCCCATCCGAAACCTCTACAGCGAGTACAACACCAGCTACTCCATCCAGGTGGGCCTGGGGGCTGGAGGGCTGTGCTCACCCCCGCCCCGCCCTGTGCTTTCCCGGGGCTGCCAGGGAGGGAGGGAGGGCCAGCCCGCCTCCCGCTCCTGCTCCCCGGGACCCCTCCTGGGGGTGGGACACAGAGCCAGCCCGTGTTGCCCACCTGACTCCCTGGTCAGGGTCTGCCTGACCCCCAGAGAGGAGCCCGGGACGCCGCTGTCTCCCGGGTGGGGACTAACGCCCGTCCCCGCCCCCAGGCCTGCATCCGCTCCTGCTTCCAGGACCACATGATCCGAAACTGCAGCTGCGGACACTACCTGTACCCGCTGCCCCGTGGGGAGAGATACTGTAGCACCCGGGACTTCCCCGACTGGGGTGAGGGCGCCTGGGGGGGGGGGGGCGGCGTGTGCCCGGTCGCTCTCAGCCCAGGCGGTGCGGGAGCAGGCATGCGGGCAGCATAGGTGAGCGCCTGTGGAGGGCGCGTGCACGTGTCGTGTGCACGTGGGCAGGGCAGCTCACAGAGCGCGTGGGCACTCCTGTAGGCATGCGGGTGTGTGCCTGTGGGCCTGTGTGCACCTGTGGGTGTGTACATACCTGTGGGCGTGTGTGTGCGTGCCTGTGTGGGCGTGGGCCCTACGGAGGTGTACATGCCTGTGGGTGTGTGGCACCTGCGGACTCCTGTGGGCATGTGCCAGTACAGGCCGTCCCGCAGTCCTTGTGCCTGCTGGTGCCTGCGGCGTCTCTGGGCTCTGGGAAGAAGGTGGGCTCTGGGGACTGACACCTGACGCCCAGGACCACCCCTGCTGGGCGCCCTCTGTGCCCAGGCCCCAAGTCCAGCTACAACACCAGTGGACACAGAGAGGGTCCCCCGCCCTGCCTCACGTGGGCGGGGGCATCCCCCTCCAACAGGAACCCCGCAGGGGTGTGTGACAAGCCGAGGGAGGGCACTGGGGCGGGTGTCTGGGGGTGCAGTGGCTGGAGGTGGGGGTGGGGGGGCTGCCGAGAGCAGAAGGGAGGGCGGGCCCGCCCCACAGCCCCTCACAGCCTCTGCCACGCCCCCTCCAGCCTACTGCTACTCTGCCCTGCGCATGAGCGTGGCCCAGCGGGAGACCTGCATCGGCCTGTGCAAGGAGTCGTGCAAGTGAGTGGACGGGCGTGTGCCTGCACGTGTGTGCGTATCTGTGCCTGCACGTGAGCAGACATGCACATGGTGGTGAGTGCGTGTGTGGATGGCATGCGTGTGCGTACACGTGTGCCTGCACACGGACACATGTGCACACGCGTACACGCGGGTGGTGTGCACACCTGCGTGCACGTGTACGTGTGCGCATACGTGTGTGCACGCACGTGTACTTGTGTGTACGTGTGTGCGTTCACATGTGTGGGCAGGCGGGATGGCAATGCGGCTCTCTTGCTTCCGCAGTGACACGCAGTACAAGATGACCATCTCCATGGCCGACTGGCCGTCCGAGTCCTCCGAGGTGAGCGGGCATCTGTGGCCCCTAGGCAGGTCCAGACCGACCCACACGCTGTGTCCCTCTCCCCTGTGCTGGCGCAAAGTGCTGGGGTCACCGCAGTGAGGGGGTGACCATCCTTTGCCCACCTGAAGCTTCCGTTCTCAGCAGGGAGAGGAGGTCACGAATGGCAAGTGGAGAGGCCGTCTTAGCAGAAGGTCAGGGAAGCCTCCCCAGAAAGGAGCCAGGTGGCTTGGGGCAGCGGGGCGCCAGGGCCAGCCCAGAGGCAGGCCGGCCGGGGCAGCTGGGCCTGCAGTAGTCGTCCAGAGGCCCGAGTGCCTCTCTCCGCACAGGCATCCCATGCACTCTGGAACCTTCCTCTGGAGGTTCTCCCCGGCCACTCAGCATCTCTCCACGCGGCCTCTGGGCGTGGCGGCCACACGGCCATGAGGGTCACCTCCCCCCGGCCCTCATTGCTTCCTTCCGCCTTCTCGCCGTCCAGGACTGGATCTTCCACGTCTTGTCTCAGGAGCGGGACCAGAGTGCCAATGTCACCTTGAGCAGGTGAGTGTGGGGCCTGGGCAGGGCTGGGGAGGACGGACTGGAGGAGGGGTTGGCCCTGAGCAGCTGGTCAGCACCAGCAGCGGGAGCGTGAGAGGGAGGCCAGCTGCAGGCTGAGTCTCCCAGACCGGGGATCCTGATCCCCTTGGTAACCTGCTCACCCCCACATCCCTCCGTCATCCGCCCCTCCACTCTCCCCCCGTCTCTCCGCTTACCCATCCCAGTGGGCCCCATCACCTCTCGCCTCCCTGCATCCCCATCTTTCTCCTCCTCTCCCCCACCATCCACCATCCCTTCCCCCATCTAACCTCCATCCATGTGTGCTTCCACCCAGCCTTCTGCTTCCTCTATCTCACCTTCACCCGTGCCTCCACCCTTCCACCCACCATCCAGCCTCCGATCCTTCTGTCTGTTGACCCAGTCGGCCTACACGTCCACCGGTCTCTCCGTCCCTCCGTCCCTCTGTCACCCATCCGTCCATCCAGCCACACACTCGCCATCCTACATGTGTCTTCCTTCATCCGTGCAGCCAAACACGCACTGACTCCAAGCAGACACAGTCCATCGCCTGGGAGGACTCCAGTGCGGTGGGCAGAGCTGCAGCCAGGGCTGGAGAGAAGGGCCTGGAGAGGGACCATTGAGCTCCCTCTCTGAGGAAGGGTGGGAACTGTCTGAACAAACACAAGGCAAGGACACCCAGGCCAAGTCTGGAGGTGTGGGAGCCGTGACTTTCTGAGGACCACCAGCGACAAGGGGGCGTCCAGGGCCACCCTTCCTGCCCCCAGTCCTCTGCAGCCTCCTGCCTGTGGGTGGCAGCCTGAGGCGGGCCAGGGGGCTTACCCTCTGGAGGATCTCTGTGAGCACGGGTCCATCCTGTGAGCATGCCCAGGTGTGTGAGTATGCATGCACGTGTCTATATGTGTGTGAGTGCCCATTTATGTGTATTGTCCATGTGTGCCCATGTGTTATGAGTGTGTCCGTGTATGAGCATGCATTTTGTGTTCTGTGGTATGTGGGAGTGTGCATATGTGTCCATGTGTGGGAACATGCTGGTATGTCCATGTGTGTGAGAGCAATTGTCCGTGAGTAGAAGCCGTGTCCATGTGTGGGAGCATGGTGGAGCATGTATTCACATATGTGAATGGACATGTGTGTCCATGTGTGAGCATGCATGCAGGTGTCATGTGTACACATACAAGAGCATTGTAAGCATACATGCATGTGTGTCCATGTGTGGGAGTAAACATGCACTGTGCCCATGTATGGGAGCATAGATGCATGTGTGTCATGTGTGTATAAAACAGGAGTGTCATTTGTGGTCATACATGTATGCTGTGGGAGCATGAATCCATGGACGAGCAAGCATGCAGGTGTCATGCGTGAGGTGCCATACATGCACGTGTCGTGTGTGGGAGTATACATGTATGTATGTCTTGTGCGCATACATGCATGTGTGTTTGCGTGTGTGCACGCGCTCGCGTTGCCAGGGAGGCCACCGGCTGTCTGTGCTGCTCCGCAGGAAGGGGATCCTCAAGCTCAATATCTACTTCCAAGAATTCAACTACCGCACCATCGAGGAGTCCGCGGCCAACAACGTGAGTCAGGCCAGTGCCGGGGCCCACCTGGGCCCGCACCAGGTGGGGGGGGCTGAGAGCATCCCGATTCCTCGCGGGGCTGCGGGTCTGAGAGGGGTCCCAGCAGGAGGTCACCCCCGCGCTTGCCCCCTGCAGATCGTCTGGCTGCTCTCCAACCTGGGGGGCCAGTTCGGCTTCTGGATGGGGGGCTCGGTGCTGTGTCTGATCGAGTTCGGGGAGATCATCATCGACTTCCTGTGGATCACCGTCATCAAGCTGGTGGCCTGCGCCCGGGGCCTGCGGCAGCGGCGCGCCCAGGCCCGCTACGCCGGGCCGCCGCCCACCGTGGCCGAGCTGGTGGAGGCCCACACCAACTTCGGCTTCCAGCCCGAGCCCCCGCCGGTGCCCGGCACCCCGCCCATCCCGGGCACGCCGCCGCCCAACTACGACTCGCTGCGGCTGCAGCCCCTGGACATCATTGAGTCTGATGGGGAGGGCGAGGCCGTCTAGTGCCACCCCCGGCAGCCGGACTTGGGCAGGGCACAGCACCAGCGGGGGTGTGGGGTCTCACCCCCACCCACACCACCCTGCTCCTTGGCCTGAGATGCCCCCTCTAAGTGCCAGCCCCCCCACAACACCTCCCCTGTGGGCAGCACTGCCCTCCCCGTGCCAGGCAGCTACATCATGCAGCTGACCGAGAACTGGGCTCTGTCCCTGGCCTGGAGTACCCGCTATGACGTGCCGCAGAGGGCAGTGCAGTAGAGCACAGAGAGCATCAGGCCTGGGGGACTGCCTGCTGGTGGTGTCCTGTTGTAGAGAATAAAAGTAGGAAACACGGAGTGGTGGTGTATTGTGTCCTGGGGTGGTCCGGGAAGGCCCTGCCAGCAGCCACCTGTTGAAAGCAGAGACCATGCTCGAAAAATCTCCATTCTTGCTTGAGGAAGCCAGGGACGGAGACCAAGCCTTGCCTCTCCCCCACCAGCTTGCTCCGCCAGGCCTGGTGAGGACCCCAACTTCCGGGCTTCCCTGAGTGGCCACGGCAGCATCTGAGGCAGAAGGGTTCCACTTCGGGCCCTGAGCCTCGGTCCACGTTCACAGCCCTCACTTTCTCAGGGAAGCCACCCTGGTTCCAGGGATGGGAGGGCAGAGGACAAGGAAATCCCAGGCCGCCAGCCGCTGGGGGGAAGCGCTGGCCCCTGAGAAGTCGTGCAGGCAGGTCCCGGGACCCCCCAGTGCCCACCTGGCTGGCCTGGGGGGACAATGACAGACTTGCTCTGAATCCAGCTCTGTGCTGGATGAGCCCCTCCCCCACACACTTGGCTTCGTGGTGAGAAGTGCAGATATGGGGGGACAGGTGACCCCCGCACACACGCACGCCATCACGGTCCAGGGCAGGGGTGCCTGGGTCAGACCCAGCATGGGACAGGCCCGAGCCCCACCACATCTGTGCCTGAACTGGGTGCGGCCCCCAAGCCAGGAAATAGCAAAAGCAGAAAAATAAAAAACCTAAGGGGGCTGGAGTGATAGCACAGTGGGTAGGGCGTTTTCCTTGCACACTGCGGACCTGAGTTCGATTCCCAGCATCCCACAGGGTCCCCTGAGCAGCGCCAGGAGTAATTCCTGAGTGCAGAGCCAGGAGTAACCCCTGTGCATCGCCGGATGTGACCCAAAAGAAAAAAACACACCCGAAGGAGTCTGCAGTGTGTGCTGGGCCCCCCCCCCAGCCTCCCGCTGGCCTCCCTGGGGTCCAGGCCATGTGGTAAACCCCAGCTGGTCTGAGCCAGAGTTTCCAGCATGACATGGTTTGGCACCTTGGGCTGGCTCTGACGACATTCTTGCCTGTCACGAGACAGTGGCCCTGCACGGAGGTGGCCGAGACCAGGAGGCTGTCCTTTCCCCCATGTCCCAGCCACCCTTGCAGCCGGGGAGGGTGCCTGAGGGTGTCACGGCAACCTGGTGACAGGGAACCCACATGAGGCCCGAGAGGAAGTTGGGGGGGGGGGTCTGGGAAGGGAGGAGAGTCGGGTGCAGGTCTCGCCTGGGTCGGCCCCACGCTCCTGCAGTTGCCCCTGAACTCACTCTCTGTGGCCCGTGGACACACCTCAGGGCCTCGCCCTGCCCGTGGGGCTGCCCGCCCACTCCCCAGCCGCCTGCCGCAAGGACCCAGTGGTCTGCGCTGCTTGGTCCGCAGACTGACCCCTCCATTCCCCTGGGGCCACACGCCCAATAGGCCCCAAAGGGTGAATGACGTGAGTGAGGCGCTTCTTTCATTTCTGTCTTTTACTGATTCCATCTCCAAAACCGGATCATTAAAAATTTAGGAACAACAAAAAACCCTCTGTTCTTCTCTAATAAATAAAACTCTGTGATCTGTGGCCTCTCTGAGGATGAAGCGAGTCCATCCTGTCCTGCGCACATTGCTGGTCAGTGGTCCACGCTGCGCATGGCGGCCACGGTGGAGACGAGGCGGCGGGGCAGCCCCTTGCTGGCCTGTCGGAAATCCTCGGGCTTGGCCTTCAGGAGCGTGACGATGTTCTGGAGCGTGCGGGACGGCTGCAGGCCCAGGGCATCCATCACGTTGATCAGGTAGTCTGCAGGTGGACACACACGCTCGGCAGATGGTCCCCCAGGGGCCCCCCAAGTGAGCAGCAGGGTTGCCCACCCGTGTGTGGGTCGGGCGGGATGGCTTAAAGGGCCCAGCACACGCTGGGCATGCAGGAGCCCGGGGTCCGCTGAGCACCTCCGGGAGTGAGCACCAGCACAAAGCTAGGAGCAGCCCTGGAGCACTGCACGGTGGAGTCCCCAGGGATTCTAAAGCCACCGAGCCTGGCCCACCACCCGGTCAGCTCGGGCTCTCCATGCGGGCGCTGCAACTCCCCGCCCACCCCACTGACCACGTGGAGATCCCAGGGGGTCAGCAGACACCGAAGACCTCACAGGGCCGGACAGAGGGAACAGGCCGGATGGGCTCACAGCCAGGAGGTGGGCGGAGCCGGGTCTCCCCCGAGGCTGGGACCCCGAGCTGGGAGCAGCCCTTGAGTTGTGCCAGGCATGCTCAGAAACCAAACCCACAACCAGACAATGGGATGACGCCGAGACCCCGGGAAGTGGCCAGACCCGAGCATCAGGTGGGAGCCCCAGGAAGGCAGCCAGAGGGGCAGGAGTTGGGGAGTGGTACCCCAGATGCCTCACTCCACAACAGCGCCAGGCTCTCTGGGGACTGGGGAGGGGGAGGGAGAGGGGAGGAGGGAGGGAAGGAGGGGAGGAGAGAGGGAGGGAGAAGGAGGAAGGTGCGGTTTGGCGCCTGACATACAGGGACGCCCTGAGAGCTGGACCCGGGGCAGTTTGGTGCTGAGGATTCCGGAAACGAAGCCCATGGGGCCAGCATTATCTGTGTCCCCTCCCGACCTGCACGGTCCCCAGGGCCTGACAGACACCAGGATGTCAGTCATGATGACACTCAGTCTCCCCAAGAATCTACCTCTCAGCTTCTCCCCCAATCGTGCTGGAGCTCAGAGGGCCGGACAGGGAGCAGTTTCCGGCATGCCAGGGACCCGGCTGCCCCTCACCCCCGGGCTGCGCCCCCTCCCCACCTCCCCACCACCGCCCTCCACCCTGGTTCCGGGCACCCACCGATGTCGGTAGCCAGCTGCTTGGTGGAGTGCGGGGTCAGCTCGGGGATCTGGAGGATGACGTCGCAGTAGGTCTGCATTGTGGCCCGGGCGATGGAGCCCAGCCAGTGGTCAGCCATGTTGTCCAGCTCGGGCAATTCATCCCCTGGAGGGGCAAGGAGGTCACGGAGAACCCAAGCCCGCCGGGAAAGAGCCACCTTGGCCACCCCCACCCCCAGTCTGGCTGGGAGCCGGGGTGCTGGGCGGGGGGGCTCGGGAAGGTCACAGAAACATCTGGAGCCAGTGGAAGGACAGGAAACGGCCCACAGGCCCTGGAGCCGGCCTGCCAGCAGAGGCAGCTGGGCTCTGGGTTTCGCATCCCGCAGGCCCACCAGGCCAGTTAGAGACGGTCATTAGCTGGAGGGTGACAGACAGGCCCGGGAAGCTATGTGGCAGAGATGAAACGTGAGCGAGAGCGGCACCCGGAGGAAGGCGCGGGCCGGGGCAGGCGGGCACAGGCCGGGTCCCGTGGGGTCCCGCTCCTGCCCGGTGTTTGGGGAAAGAGCCAGAGTCCCCACCAGCTCCCAGGCAGGGGGACCCGCGACCAACACCAGGGCACAGTCAGATAAGGCAGGCTCGGGCCGGAGCGACAGGACAGTGGGGAGGGGTTTGCCTTGGACGCCCCCAGGCCCGGGTTCGGTTCCCAGCACCTCAGAGGGTCCCCGAGCCTTGCCAGGAGTGATCCCTGAGCACAGAGCCTGGAGTCAGCCCTGAGCACTGCCGGGGGCGGCCCCGGAGCAGAAACAGTCGAGGCTCCCCCTCAAGGCCAGGCTCTCCCTTCTTTTCTTTTCCTGTCACACCTTTCTCAGTCGAGTTTCTCAATACGAACTATCTTGCTTTACTAGAAAAAAGGATCTGAGCGGACAGGTGCAACGAACACTCACCTCTACAACCTGCCCTTCAGTCATAGCACCACTGCCACTACTGCCACCTACATACATTTTTTAAAAATTCCTTTAAAAAATTTTATAAAGTAGCACTGCACTGTTGCATTGTCCTCCCGTTGTTCATCAATTTGCTCGAGCGGGCACCAGTAACATCTCCCTTGTGAGACTTGTTACTGTGTTTGGCATAATGAATACATCATGGGGAGCTTGCCAGGCTTTGCCATGCAGGAGAGATACTCTCGGTAGCTTGCCAGGCTCGCCGAGAGGGGTGGAGAAATCGAACCCGGGTCGGCTGGGGCGGCCTCATGCAAGGCAAACTCCCTACCAGCTCTGCTATCACTCCAGCCCTTTATAAAGTAAAACATAAATAAATAAAATAAAAAATTTATAAAGTAGGGGCTGGAGCGATAGCACAGCGGGTAGGGCATTTGCCTTGCATGCGGCCGTCCCAGGTTCAGTTCCCAACATCCAATATGGTCCCCTGAGCACCTCCAGGAATGATTCCTGAGTGCATGAGCCAGGAGTAACCCCTGTGCAACCCTGGGTGTGACCCAAAAAAGCAAAAAAAAAATGTATAAAGTAGTTTACAATATTTGATTACGTTAAAATATTAGAACACCAATTCTACCACCATTATACCTTCCCACCACCATATTTCAGATGTTTCCATCCGGAACCCCAACCCCTGCTCCAAGGCAGAATCAACATAATTTATTTTGTATTGTTATGAAAAACCACTGCATAAATTTTTATATGTATAAAAAAAACCCAAATTTCCAGAGAGGGCTGCAGAGACAGAGCAGCAGCCGGGGCAGTGGCCTTGTATGAGCTGGACCCTGGTTCCCCCCAGCCCTGCACACACCACATGCCCCTTGAGCACTGCCAAGTGGAGCCCCAGAGGCCTGCTGGGGTGGCTCCGGCCAGGCCCTCGCATTAATCCTCTGATGCCGTGTCCCCCTGATGTTTTTCAGACAACACAGAACAGCGGTGAAAAGTCAGCGTCCTTCACACTGGCCTCCTGGCAGCGGACACTGGCAGTGGGGTTCTGCGGCTTCCTGTGATTTTACACCCACCCCGCCCCTGCCCTCCCGAGCACTGCTTCTGTAGACGGCGTTGTCTGTGAAATAACAGGCGGCTATTCTGGAAGGGTGGGTCCTGCACCCCACTGGTCCTCCCGAGACCCGGGCCATCTCCCGCCGACAGCCACAGCTGCTGCTGGCTCTCCTGCCTCCCGTGTGTCCCCGCGTGCCTCTGCTGCTGGCTCTCCTGCCTCCCGTGTGTCCCCGCGTGCCTCTGAGAGCCAGTGGGCACCACACCCCTTCCTTCATTAATCTTTGGAGAAAATCTTTTTCTTTTTTTTAGATTGGTGACTTCTCTTGAGCTGCTGAATTTTTTTTATCTTTTTTTTCTTTTTGGGTCACACCTGGCAGTGCCCAGGGATTCCCCCTGGCTCTGCACTCAGGAATCACTCCTGGCAGTGCTCAGGGGACCATATGGGATTCTGGGAATCGCACCTAGATCAGCCGAGTGCAAGGCAAGCGCCCTACCCGGTGTGCCAGCCCCTGAGTGTTTGATAAACCAAGTGATTTGTACTGTCTCCTTCTTGGACAGGGGTGCTGGGGCCACACACACAGCGTGCTCAGCAGGATCTACTCCCAGCTCTGTGCTCAGGGGGGCCTCGTGGAGTTAGGGACAGAACCAGAATCGGCCAACGGGTTGGCTGCATCCGAGACAAGTGCCCTAACCCCAACCGTCTCTCCAGACCCAGCCGACTGTTTTTTTCCATCATTGCATCTCGACAGAGGGAGGCCGGGAAGGCCCAGTTCAGGAACTAAGATGATTCTGGATCTGAATAGGGGGTCCCTGATCAAATCTGGGTATGAAATTCACTATTTTCCCCTTGTCTGTGGAGAGGCCCAGGGTCCTGTGTGTCTGTAGCAAGGAGGGCGTGCGGAGGAAGGACGCCACCACCAGAGGTGTGGAGACTGGAAGCGTCTCCTTTGGACGAAGATTTTGTTTTTTCTTTTTGGGTCACACCCAGCAATGCACAGGGGTTACTCCTGGCTCTGCACCCTGTAATCACTCCTGATGGTGCTCAGGGAACCCTATGGGATGCAGGGAATCAAACCCGGCATGCAAGGCAAACGCCCTCCCCGCTGTGCAGCCAACTCCCCTGGACCAAGATTCCTTTTCCTGCCTCTATCAGGCCACGGCCCACAGCGGGGGGCCATGTGCTCCCCTTCGGACCCTGGGCCGAGAAGCCTGGCTCTCGCTCCAACAGCCCATCCTGGGGTGGGTGGGGTGGGGTGGGGAGGGGTCTGTCTCCCCTCGCCTTTCCCGGGACAATAATCCCGGGGCCCGCCCAGGTGTCCAGAGAGGCACGCGTCCAGACCGCCGGGGGCCGGGCACTCACCCTGCTCTGGAGGAAAGGGCAGCTTCCCGGCGTGCAGGGCCAGTTCCAGGGCTGAGTCCTCCTGCGTCACGAAGGGCTCGAGATTCAGCGGGAGGGACATGAGGTACTGGCCAATCTGTGCAAGAGGAAAGCGCTCAGGTCAGGCCGCGAAGGCAGGTGGGAGACTGGGTGTGGTGGGGCCACCCCGGTCTGGCCTTTCCAGGAGGTGGGGGGCGGCACTGATGGTTTGCAGGCTTGTCAGCCTCGCACTGGACCAGCCCAAGTGATCTGGCCCCCTGAAAGCACTTGGGTCACGAGACAGTGCGGGGGCTGGAGCGACTGGACAGTGGGGAGAGTGTCTGCCTTGCACACGGCTGACCAGGATTCGATCCCGGCATCGCATGAGGTCCCCCGAGCACTGCTAGGAGTTTCTGAGCCTCGCTGGGTGTGACCCAGAAAAGCAAAAAAGCAAAAGAAAAGGGGCCGTGGGTCCTGCCCTCAGCAGATGGTGAGCCGCCTCTCCCGGAAGCCGTGCGAGCAGAGGCCGGGCGGGAGGCTCTCCGAGGGCTGAGGGCACAGCCAAGCGCAGGGAGCCCGGGTCCCTCCAGCACTGCTGGAGGGCGAGCCCGGGCGGAGGGAGGCAGGGAACACTCACGTTGCTGATGTACTCGAGCGGGGTGAGGCTGAAGGTGGGCAGGTCGTCGGTCAGCGTCTCCCCGATGCCAGCCGTGTTCCAGCTCTAGGAAGGCAGGGAGGGGCGTCAGCTACAGCCACCAGCACCCCTCGGGCCTGGGCCGGAATCCCGGGGGTCTGTCCCTCCCACGCCACCCACACCTCAGAGCCGTGGGCTTGTCACTCGGGCTGAAAGGACAGCAGGGCAGTGCAGGGGCGGCGGGTGCTGGGCGCAGGGCACAGTCGGCCTTGCTGTGTGTCGGGCCCCTCGCCCGCTGAAGAGAAGCCCCCCTCCCCCCGCCCCGTAAGGCCCCCCACAGGCCCTACATGGAAATCCCCCGTCTAGGAGGGCGGCTCGGGGGCCGTGGGGGCTGCGGGAATACGAACGTCACTCCCCAGGGCGACACCCAATCCAAGCTCTCCTCTCTGCCCACCCTCGGCACTGCGTCTCCACCGGTTCCCAAGCGGGGCAGGACGGGGAGGAGGAGGAGGGACGGGGGCAGGAGGGGGCAGCACGGGGCAGCAAGGGACTCCACAGCCCACCGGCTGCTCCTCTGCCCTCGGCCTGGCCTGTGGGCGACCCTCGCCCCGTTTTCTCTCGCCACGTCAAGTGGGAACATGGACACTGCCCCAGGCTGGCGCCCTTCCCGGCCGTCTCTGGAGAGTGGCCCCCCACGGGACTGGTGCCCCTCTGGGCCACACCTCCGCGGAGTTCCCGAAGGCCCCTCTGGAGGAACGCAGGGACACTCCCCAGGTCACGCCGGACGCCCGATCCAGTCGCTTGAGCCTTTAAGCACATTCCGGGAAGGAATGACCACAGCTGACCGCGGGGCTCCTGGCCCAGGCAGGCCCGCGGCCTCCCGCTCCCATCCACTCTGCCCTCTGCCCCGCGCTGGGCAGGGCCCCCCCACGCAGCCCCTCCACGCCAGAGGCCCACCCCCCCCATTAGCCCATTAGCCGGTTAGCCAGAAGCACCCGCCCCGCCCGGCTCTGGGCCAGAAAGGGACACGCTGCGTGCTCTGTGCTCTGCCTCACTACAAATCACACATACACACACACACCACACACCACACACACGCACACCACACACATGCACACACACACTCCACACACCACACACACGCACACATACCACACACACACCACACACCACACACACACCACACACATGCACACACACACTCCACACACGACACACACGACACACGCACGCACACATACCACACACACCACATACACAGCACACACCACACACATACACAGCACACACACATACACATGTGCCACACATACACACACCCCACACCACACCACACATCACACACCACACACAGAACACACCCACACCACACACACACCCACACACACCACACACATACACACACACCACACATACCACACACATATACACACCACACAAACACCACACACACTACACACACTTACACACACCACACACACCACACGTAAGTTCTCAAAGGAGCTGGTTAGACAGCGAGAGCCCAGAGGAATAAGGGTCAGGAGCTTTGATGGGCTAGCTGCAGGCCATGGAGAGAGAGGGCGGGAGAGAACTGGAGCTTGGACCAGCACGCTGAGGCTTTCCCTTCGCCAAATATGCATGTGTGTGTGTGCGTGAGAGAGAGAGAGAGAGAGAGAGAGAGAGACAGAGACAGAGACAGAGACAGAGACGGAGAGAGAACGCACAGCTATTGCAGCCAGCTGCACAGGTTCCTTTCCCGTCCTTGCTCACCTCCCGTCTCCCAGGCGGGGCTCCACGTACCCCACAGGCGACTCTCAGCTCCCAGGCACCCTGGGCCTCCGCGCCTCCTGGAGCAATGAATCCCGGCCGCCTCAGTCCCCCGTCCTCGCCCCTCCCCCAGGGACTCTGAGGGAACAGGGGTTAACAAACAGGCCGTGAGGGCCAGATGGGAGTCCAGGAGGCAGGGCACTCGCCTTGCAGGCAGCTGAAACTGGGCCGGCCCACGGGTGGGAGTGATCCCTGAGCATCGCTGGGTGTGCCCCCCCACACACACACACATGCAATAAGTAAATAAAACAAAGATAAAACCCAGACACTCCTGTAGGCCTGAGGGAGCCAGGAAGGGTCTAGAATAAGCAACAGGCTCCGAGCGATGCAGGTCCAAGGGGTGACCAGGAATGGGGCGGGAGGCAACTCAGGAGCCAAGACATAGGGACAGGGGCCACAGTGCAGCAGGTGGGGCGTTTGCCTTGCATGCGGCCAACTGGGGTTCGACCCTCAGCACCCTGTGAGCACTGCCAGGAGAAATACCTGAGCGCAGAGTTGGGAGTAAGACCTGAGTACCGCCAGGTGTGGCCCCCCAACCCCAAAATTATGAACTAAAAATAGAAGAGGGGCTCCCAAGAAGTGATATGCAGGGGCGGGGGGAGAGGGGACCGGCAGCATGGGGTGCGGTCGCTGGCAGAGGGGAGCAGGCCAGGGTGTGAACACTGGGGCAGTCGGGAAGCCCAACGACAGGACCACGGGCGCCACCGAGGGGGGGCTCCCAGGAAAGCCCAAGGGGAGCAGGGGGGCACACAGCCGGATGCAGGCGTCTGGAGCGGGGGAGGCGGAGGGGGCCGGCAGGGTGGGGCAGCAGACGGGTGAGTGGCCTGGCAGAGGCCGACAGGGAAATGCTGCAGATTCTATTTCAATTGTTCCAAACAATGTCAAGGGTCCTCCAAAGGGGCGTTCTCCAGCCAGCCATCTGTCACCGGGAGCTGGAGGGACACTTCGGTCACCTCTTCTGAAATGGCACAGAGTGCTGGTTTATGTGCTCGACATGTAAAAAGGGCAGCAAGGAGATTTACCAGCAGAGGGTGAAGACAAACATTTCATGACTGGGGTTTAATTTTCAAATCCCTCAGGCCGCAGTATTTGCCTTTGTTTTGTGGGCGTCTGAGCTGGCACTTGGGGAGAACCCCTCCTAATCCCCAGACTGCCCTGGGGCCCTGGGGAGCAGGGGCGCTGAAGGGGAGGCGAGAGTCGGGGGCCCCAGACCCGACTGTGCCCCACGCCCTGTAGGGAGGAAACAGGGCACTGGGGTAAGAGAGATGGTACCAAGCTCCCGGCTGCGCACGACTCAGACCACAGAACCAGAAGGAGGACAGTTTCGGCACAGCGGGGAAAGATTTTAAGCGCTGACAAAATAAGAACTCAAATAAGCAAGCAGGGGCTGGAGCGATAGGACAGCAGGGAGGGCGCTTGCCTGGCTCACCGCTAACCTGGGTTCGACCCCCAGCATTCCATAGGATTCCCTGAGCACCGCCAGGAGTGATCCCTGAGTGCAGAGCCAGGAGTCAGCCCTGACAACTGCCTGGTGAAACCCAAGCCAAAACAGGCCTGAGATCGGACAAGGGGTACAGCACTTGGCTTGCATCTGGCTGACCCTATGTTGGTCCCCGGTCTTACATATGGGCCCCCGAGCACCGCCAGGGATCACCCCAAGCACAGAGCCAGCAGCAGCCTCTGCACAATGCTTGGAGTCGTCCATTGCTGCCTGCAAAAGGGAAACTATTCTCTCAATATTCGTTTCTTTTAGAAAACACATCCCGAAGGCTGGAGTGATAGGACAGAGGCAGCAGCCAACCGGGTCCAGCCCCCAGCATCCCATGGGGTCCCCTTAGCACCTTCAGGAATAACTGCTGAGTGCAGAGCCAGGAGGAAGCCCTGAGCATCGCCGGGTGTGACCCCCAAACAAAACAACAACAAAACAAATCCCAGTTCCTCCTGAGCACCTGTGCTGTGCGCCTCCAGCCTCGGAGTGAGCGCACAGGCAGAAACACTGGCTGGACGGGCACCAGATGCTTGGCCGGCGGGAGGGGAGTCTGGAGGGGATTTATAGCTCCCCCCACAGTGTTTCTTGAATTTCTGAAAATAAACGTGCACAATTCACATTCTATGTATGCAACAGTCAAATCTAAATACTGCACCCCCCCTTTACCATCTCAAACACAAGATGTCTTTTCCGATCAATCAATATTTTCTGATTATCAATACATGTGGAGCTGAGGTCCAACACAGAGGGCCCCTGTGGTGCTGGGGACTGAGCCCGGGACACATGCCATATGCATCACGTGTGCTCAGCCCCTGGGGCCACCTCCCCAACCCCCTGTGATTCTCATTTAAGAGCCCCGACCTTCATCTTGGGAAATGAGGATGTCGGGAGGAAGAAACCTTCCAGTTTGGAGGCAGTTCCCCATTGCAGTGCTGTGCTAAGTTGTATTATTGGCAGACCTCACCGGATTCTCGTGTATCTGCCCAGGGAGTTTCCATGTCCCCACCAAAAGCCAAGAAGGTGAGGTTCACAGGACCAGCCAGTCACGTGATCCACCATGTGCTCCACCAGCCAGCCACGTGACCCACGCTGAGCGCAGCTGGTGGGGCCCGCATGGGAAGCGTGGGGTGGGCAGCTGGCGCCCCTTGGGCCTCCCCACCCTGCCTGAGCCAGAGGCCCAGGGAGGCTAGACGAGACCACAGGGCAAAGCACGGGAGAGTCACAGAATCCCGGGGCCCGCCAGGTTGTTTCATGGCTCGTTTGGGCAGATTCTATGAGCTTTACAGGGGCCGAGGCCTGGCCGAGGCCAAGAACCAGCAAGGGGGCAGCCCAGAGGGCAGCAGAGACTTTGTCAGTGAGCCACGGGAGTTCAGCTTCCTAGAAGGATCGGAAGATTAAAAGGCTATAACTGGCACTTTCCCGAGAGATGAACGGAAGGGAGGGAGGGAAGAAAGAAGGAAGGAAGGGAGAGAGAAAGAGGAAGGGAGGGAGAAAGAGAGGGAGGAGAGGGCAGGGAGAAAGGGTGGAGGAAAGAGGGAGGGAGGGAGGGAGGGAGGGAGGGAGGGAGGGGGGAGGGAAGAAGAGACCTACATGGACAGGGACAGGGCCCAGGCCAGGGACAGAGCCAGCAGGAGAGTGGGCTTCGAGGCCGTGACCAAGCAGGAAGGGGAAGGTGTCGGATAAGAAGTGTGAGGCTCTGGAGGAACCGCCACAGGAAGAGAGAGAACATGGGGACAGGAGCGTCCCCAAACAAAAACAAATCCCCAGAAACACAGGACCACGATCTGGGGGGCGGGGGGCGGATGGCTCCAAACACGCGGACCCAGCAGGTGCCTGGCACACCTTGTAACCCCTCCCTCTCTCCCCGGCATCACTAGGACCAACATCGCAGGCACCACCAGTGTTCAAAACCCAAACCTAACCAAATGCGATGAAAATTCCAGGTCAGGGGCCAGAGCAGGCCAGACAGGACAGCGGGGAGGGAGTTTGCCTTGCATGTGGCTGACCCAAGCTCAATCCCCGGCACCCCACAGGATCTCCCGAGCACCTCCAGGAGTGATCCCTGAGCACAGAGCCAGGAGTCGGACCTGAAACCCAAACCCCACACCGTGTGAACCAAAACCCAAACCGACAATTGCAGGTCAAACCTGGCCAAGGCACTCGCCGGGGCCAAGTTCTAGAACCAATTCTGCAGAAACGAAGGAGGAGAATGATCCCACCTTGAACGCGCCACCCCCTGAGTGGGCCGCCCCAAAGGGCGGGAGGACAGGAGTTAATGGAGCAACAGTAATCACCCCCAAGACGAGCGGGGCTGGGGAGAAAGCATCGCGGTCACCGCAATCAAGATAAGACATTCTTGTGGGCAGTGAGTGGCAAGGGAACAGGACGGGGGCGGGGGGCGGGGGACACCCACACTCTGGGACCAGGTCAAAGCGGCTCTGAAAGCTCCTGGCGGGGGTGGATTTAGGAAGGGGCAGGACTGGGGGCGGGTGGGCGGGGGCGGAGAGGCCAGACAGAGATGGAGAGGGCGGGTGCTGCCTCCCGGGCACTCACATCCATCCTGCAGACCAGCAGGAGCTGCTGTTTGATGCGCAGAAAAACCGAGTCAAACGCCAACTGGTGGGCCTGCTGGTTAAGGCACGTCAGGGCCGCGCGCGACGCCGACAGCAGGGTGTGGTTCCTCGAGCCTTTCTCCTGAGGGGAAAATGTGGGCGGCCATCAGAGAGAGTCATGGAGATGCCGAGAGGGGGCGGGGAGGCGGCCAGGGCCCCCACGCGGGCTGTGTCCCCAGCCCCCAGGAGCCAGCCGGGGGCTGTCACTGGGATCGCGGAGGGCAGTCGCGACATCTCACTCGCTTCCCCGGGTGGGGGGACACAGCAAACACAGTCCAGGTTTGGCCAGGGGGGAGCAGCCGGGCCGTGCGAGGAGGAGGAGGAAGCGGAGGAGGAGGGGACCGGAGTCCTGGTTTCCACGGGGGCTGACCCACCGTCCACAGGCGCGGGCCCTGCGGAAGTGCTGACCGCCGGCCCGAGAAGGCACAGGGATGGAAAATGTGGCCTTGGCTTTGCGATGACAAATGACCCGATTACCATGAACAGACACAAATCAGATCAGCAATAAAGATAAACGGGGCGGCCTGAACCTAATCACGGGGACACGGATGGGTGAGCTCACTGCGGCGCTGGCAAAAGTGGCTGCCAAGCTCCAAGGCAGTCAGGGGGTGGGGGTCGGCTGGGCGGGGGGCTAACCAAGGTGCAGAGAGGTGGGGGAGACCCCGTGAGAGACACCAAAGTCAACCCATAGTCTGAAGCCCAGCAGTAGGATTTCGGATGACGCCCAGGGCAAGGGGACTAGCAAGGGCACTTCCGCCTGTCACTCCAAGACCCCAAGAGACGGGGGCCACGGCAGACATGGGGCCTGGGCGTGTGGAGGCTCCTCCTTGGTCCTCAGAGCGTGGGGAGAGTCCTCCCGGGGCCTGAGAGCACGAGGAGGGTGCTCCCCAGGGAGGTGCTCCAGTCCTTGGGCCCCTGCGGGCCTGAGACTTAAAGCGGAGGGCACCTCTGTGAGGGGCAGTCCCAGGGGATGGAAGGGCCGGCCCCCGTGTTCTGCCGTGGCCCCTTCTCGAGCACTGCAGTTGTCCGCTCGGCGGGACAGTGAGCGAGCCCAGCGGCATCCAGCGGAGAGGCCTCCACACACCCCTGTTTCCTTCAGCCCTGATAAGGCGCCGTGGACCTGGCCCTCACCCCCCTTTTCCAGCGGGCTCTTGCCCAGGTGCTCAAGGAGCTCCGTAAGTCACTGAAACACCGATGGGCCAGGCCACGGTGCAGGGCCCACGGCCACACCCGAGAGCCCGATGGCGGGAGAAGGAGGGTGGTGAGGGGAGCAGGATGCCCGGCCAGCCCACCTTGATGGTGTAGAGGATCTCCATGAGGCTGGCGTACTCGGCCGGACTCTCCTTCTGGAGGTAGTTGTACTCCTGCCAGGGGTTCTTGGCCGGGCTCTTCCTGTCTGCCAGCAGGCCATCCTGCAGGCCGGTGAGGCTCCGTGGGCAGTAGGAGTCACAGAGGTACTTGCCCGCCGTGGACAGGATCCTGCAAGGGAGCAGGGCTGGTTGCTGGGCGCCCAGTGGGAACTTCCTTCGGGGCCCGAGAGCCCGGTCGAGCAGTGACTCTGGGACGTGTCCACAGGACCTGCAGCCTTCCTGCGCCCGCCATGAGAGCCAGCTGGATCCCAGGAGCACAGAACCAGGCAGGGGCCCAGCTCCCAGGAGCCCGCAGCCCACCAGAACGCGGCACCTGCTGGCTAGTCACTGCTCAGCCCGTGACACCAGCCCTGCCCTACTGAGTGGCCCAGCACAGCACAGCCCAGCATGACTCTGACCCCGAAGAGTCGCGGCGGGGTCCCCGAGCCTCCTGGACCTCCTCTCTCCTCCTGCCCACTGTGCTCGGGCACCCCCTCCACAACTCAGCCTGCCCCCACTCCCCGCTAGGAACCTCGGCCCCTCCCAGGTGCTGCAGGAGCTTCTCACACGTGGACACTGTGCTCAGCTCCCTGCAGGACCTGACACAGTACAGGGCGGGAGGCACCAAGAGGTGACGACTGGTGTGTGCATGTGCATGTGCGGGTGTGCACATGTGTGTGCGTGTGCATGTATGCATGTGTGTGCGCGCGTGTGTGCATAAGTATGTGTGTGAGAAACCCCAGCAAGTCCCAGCATGTCCCTCTGGGCCTCGACTGGTGTGTGTGTGTGTGTGTGTGCTTGTGTGCCTGTGTGTGTGGTATGTGTGCATGTGTGTGTGTGCGCGTGTGTGCACATGTGTGTGCGTGTGCATGTATGCATGTGTGTGCGCGCGTGTGTGCATAAGTATGTGTGTGAGAAACCCCAGCAAGTCCCAGGATGTCCCTCTGGGCCTCGACTGGTGTGTGTGTGTGTGTGTGTGCTTGTGTGCCTGTGTGTGTGGTGTGTGCATGTGCGGGTGTGCACATGTGTGTGCATGTGTCCACGTATGTGTGTGCGTGTGCGTACGCATGCGCGCACGTGTGTGTGTGTGTGTCTGTGTGTGTCTGTGTGTGTGTGTGAGAAACCCCAGCAAGTCCCTCCGGGCCTTCCAGAGCCTGGTCCAGAGCCCACAGAGGAGCTGCGCAGGACCCCTTGGTCTTGGCACCCCACCAGCACCACCCCCCACATTCTCCCCACAGATGCAGTGAAGACCCAGGGGCCAGGGGGTATGGGGTATGGCAGTGGAGAGGGGGGCAGCCAAGGACTCAACGGGGTCCAGACCCCCGAGCTCGGAGAGGAATGGCGGTGCCCGAGGTGCAGGGAGAGGCTGATAGCTGGGCAGGACGGGGGGGAGGAGGGGCAATTCCCAGCCCCCAAATCCTGCTCCGGGGACAGCGGGGCAGGTGCTTGTCTTCCACGCGGCCAACCTGGGATTCATCTCTGACGCCCACCAGAAGTGGTTCCTGAGCGCAGAGCCAGGAGCAAGTCCTGAGCTCTGCTGGGGTGGCTCCCCCTCAAAAAACCCAGCCCACCCACCCAGCCAACCAGGCACCCCTCCTCTCCTGAAGAAACAGCGTTCGGACGTGCCCCACCCCACGCACAGCGTTGGCTGAGCTCGGGCAACAAGGCCTGCGGGCTGTGCGACAGCGCTCTCTCTCTCTCTCTCTCTCTCTCTCTCTCTCTCTCTCTCTCTCTCTCCCTCTCCCCCCTCTCTCCTCTCCCTCTTTCTTTCCTCGCTCTCTCCCCACTCCCGGCAGTGTGGGAGGCCCTGTGTGCCTCAGGGACTGAGCAGGAGTTGGCTGCGAGCGGGCGGGCGCCCGGCCTAACTGCAGAGAGAGACCCGGGCTGCGGGGCTGAGCGAGGCGGTGCTCGGGGCACTCGCCTGTTCCAGCCTCACGGTCCCAGGCGGACGGGCTCCCTCGGTCCTTCCTGCCCTGCTCCTCATGCCCTTCCCCGTGTGGCCCTCCCTGTCCCAGGGTCCCCTGGGTGGGGGTGAGGGGTTCCACACTTGCTTCACGCCCAGGGTCACACTGGCAGCGCCAGGACTACACCTGGCAGTGTGGGGCGGTGGCCGGGAAGAGACTCCAGGTCTTCTGCATGCCATGCAGCTGCTCTGCCACTGAGTCACAGCCCGGGCCCCTCTCCCGTGCCCTGTAACCCCTTAAAGAAGGTGGAATCATGTTCTCAGGAGCCGGGGTGAGTGTACAGAGGGGGCTGGCCTGAGCAGAGGGTCGGGCTGGGTGTTTCCCCAGGCGCTGCTGGAAGGGGACCCGGAGCGGCCGAGAGCCCCAGCGGCCACCTGTGTCCCCATGGCGGAGGTCACCACCATGTGGCAGCTGCCTTGAGGCTTATCTTATCTCCCCATCAATCTCCCCGTGTTATCACATTATCCAGGACGGCCTCAGGGGCAGAGGCCAAGGCACAATAAAGCCCAGCCCTATTGGGTGGGGGGAGGGGGTCACCTGAGGCCCCTCTGTCCTCCCCTGCTGCCCCCACATGCTCCTGGAACAGCTCCAGGACGCAGGTGGGGAGGGCACAGTTCTCTGGGACAGCCAGGTTGGGGGCGGGGGGTCCTCCCCATTTCCGCGGCAGCCCCGGGCCAAGGGACTCTGATGAGCAGCTTCCGGGTGTGAGAGCCTCACTTGGCCGGCGGTTTCCATCTCCACCTGTCCTGGCACTGCGGGAACACAGCCTTCTGCCTCTCCTGGGAATCCCCCAACTGGCGTCCCTCACCAAGTCTGCGTGAGCACACGTATGAGGGGTCTGCGGGTGTGTCTGAATGAGCACACGTGTAGGTGCGTGCATATCCGTGTGAGCACATGTGTGGGAGGGTGTGTCTGTGTGAGCACACCAAGGACACGTGTTGGGGTGTCTGTGAGCATGATGAGGGTGTGCGTGTGTGTGAGATCACATGTATAAGGGGGTATGTAGGCATGTCGTGTCTGTGTGAGTGCACTGGTTGTGTGTGCACACATATATGGTGTGTAAACATGTGTGTACAAATGTGTGAGCACGTGAGAGTGCGTGTCTGTGTGAGCACAGTGTGCATGGGGTGTGTGCACACATGTGTGATGTCTGTGAGCACATATACAGGGTCGTGTGCATGTGTGTGCAAATGTGGGGAATGTTTGTGTGTACATATGGTGGTTTGCATTGTGTGTCCACACATGTTGGGTTGCAGTATGCACATGTGTACACAAATGCAGGGCGTGTGTATGCATGCACACATGTGGGGGCATGTATGTATACACATGGGTAGGTTGTATGTGTACACATGTAACTGCATGTGTGTGGGTATACGTGCGTGAACACTGTGGGGCATGTGTGTACACACATGCAGCAGGTGCGGGTGTGCATGGGGCGTCTACTTCACGGAGTATGTGTGGCACACAGGCCACACTGGCCACCTGCGGGCTGGGGTCTATTCGTGACAGGAAGTCACATGTGCTGGGGGTGGCGCTGGGAAGGGAGGAACAGCACGGGCCCATTCCAGCTGCTGCAAGACTTTCCCCATGGTGAGAACATCGAGAAATCTCTGGAGACTAAAGCCCAGAAGCCGTGGCTGACCCCTAGCCCCAAGGCTGGTCGCACCCCACACCCCCTTCCCTGGCACCGCTTGGCACCCAGCCTGCCCAGCCCTCACCCTGCATAACACTGCCCAGAAGCCCCCCCACCCCCAACCCCTGCCCCGGCAGAGGGCACTTTGGTGGAGGACAGAGTTTCGGGGGCGGAGTGGAAGGGGCCGCTACTGGGCGCAGTAGGATGCTCGAGAGAACAGAGAAACCAGCTCCACCTGGGAACAAGGGGCAGAGCTGGAGGCAAGGGAGCAGGGCGGCCGGTGCCCTCTGAACGGAAACCCCATCTCAGCGGGGCGCACCGGACTCACTCCCACCCGCAGCCCCGCTCCCTGGGCACATCATCCCCAGTCCCACTGACTGACACCCAGGCAAGCAGGTGGAGCCCAGCCCACAAAACTGGGAGGCAGCAGGTGCAGTTTCATCCTGGGCTGAAACAGTCCCGTCCCCAGCCCCAGCGAGGTGCCACAGCCACGTGGGCCCAGCCTGCCCTTCACAGGCCCCATAAACCAGCAAGGAGGGAGGAAATGACAGCCGCTCTGGGGACAGCCAGTCCTAAGCACCGGAAGCTGTCCCGGGCGGGGTGAGGACAGTCCCCACCCAGCCCCTGGGGACGCCCCGGCTGTGTCCTACCTGTTGGCGAGCTGCTGCTCCAGGTCCCCGCACTGCCGCAGAAGCTCCCCACAGGTGGCTATTATCCTGGAAGGACAAAGAGCACCTCAGGGCCCGGGATCTGGAATGCTGGCATGTGCAGGGCAAGCCTCGTCTTATTCATAAGTTTGAAGGAGTCACTCCTTTCAGTGGCGTGGGCCCTGGGAAGGCCTTTAGCCAGCGGATGGAACCAGCAAAGTTCCACCAAAGAGCGATTACCAGGAGTGGGGACAGGTCGGCTCAAGGGTCCTCAGACAAATCTCTTGGACGCACTGTGAAACGTTGGTCTATGTAGGACAAAACCGAAAAACCTCAGGGCCAGCAGGCAGGGGACTTGCCTTGCACGCGGCCAACCTGGGTTTAGACCCTCGATCCTCAGATGGTCCCCAAGCACCACCAGGAGTGACCCGAGTGCAGATCCAGAAGCAAATCCCTGAGCATCGCCAAGCGTGGCCCCCAAACGAAACAGTAGACATATTTGTAAATCAATGAATTTTAACGGTTTTTTTTTTTTCCTTTTTGGGTCACACTGGTGATGCTCAGGGGTTACTCCTGGCTCTGCACTCAGGAATTACTCTGGAGGTGCTCAGGGGACTATATGGGATGCTGAGAATTGGACCCAGGTCAGCCGTGTGCAAGGCAAACACCCTACCTGCTGTGCTATTGCTCCAGCCCCTGAACTTTTTTTTTTTAATGTAGTTGAAAACATAAAAGTTAACTCCAAACCCCAACTGTCTCGTTTACCATTTGTTCAATGCCTGCTATTCACTGACAAGGCCGAGAACATCGTTGTGCTATGCAAGCACAGCCCTCTGGACCACACCCATGGCGGGGGAGAGAGATTAATCCCAAATTGCTAGGAGATGAGCCTGCAGGCACGTCATATCTGCACTGAGTAAACCTTTGCTTTCCGAGTAATTTTATGAGTGGCCTCAGATTCCGGCTGGTGAGTCCTTCAACACCACACTATAATGTCAGGACAAATCCAAGGATTAAAAACATCTTAGGACTGGTTAACTTTTAACTTTCTTTAAGAGCGTCTCTCATCACCCAGGTATCTGGGCATTCCATCATAAGAAAGGTTTATGAGAAACTGAAATATGCCACTTGCCTCGGGGGCAACACGAGCTTGCACTTAATATTTTCCAGTAGACCGGACTGCCAGAGATCCGGGGCTCAGAGCTCACATCTAGAACATCACGATACACCCACACACACAGACCCACCACACTCCAGATCCGAGCCCATGCAGTCACATACACACACACACACACACACACACACACACACACACACACACACTCACATATACACACGTCACTCCAGATCTGAGCCCACGCAGTCTCTCTCTCTCTCTCTTTCTCTCTCTCTCTCTCTCACACACACACACACACACACACACACACACCCCAGATCAGAGCCAATAGAGAGTTGGACTCACACATACAGAACCAGATCAGAACCCACAGACAGATAGACACACACACACACACACACACACACGCACGCACACACACACGCGCACACACACATGACAGTGTTAGGAGTTCCTGAAGGTCTGAATCTGCTCTTACCCCAACCCTCGCTGAGTTCTGCAGGTGTCGGGGGCACCACCCAGCGAAGACCAGAGCAAGGAATTTAAGTGGAGGGGGCCAGAGAGACAGCTCAGCCATGCGGCTGACATGGATTTGGTCCCGGGCAAGCCATCTGGTCCCACAAGCACTGCCAGGCGTGATTTCTCAGCACAGGGCCAGGAGTAAGCCCTGAGCACTGCCAGGTGTGGCCCCCAAACCCAATCCCCCATTCCTCCCCCCCAATCTAGGGCCAGGGCAACAGCTCAGAGAGCGCAAGCCCTGACTCAGATCCTCAAAGCACATCTGTGCCCCCGAGCACCACCAGGGGTGGCACAGGAGGCCCTTGGGCCGCGTCAAGAATGGTTTCCAATGACATCTGCACTTCTATGTTCATTGCTGCACTGTCCACAATAGCGAAAACTTGGAAAAAACCCAAGTGCCCAAGAACAGATGACTGGTTAAAGAAACTTTGATACATCTACACAATGGAATACTATGCAGCTGTTAGAAAAGGTGAAGTCATGAAATTTACATACAAGTGGTACTACATAGAAAGTTCCATGCTAAGTGAAATGAGTCAGAAAGAGAGGGACAGACATAGAAAGTCTGCATTCATCTGGGGAATATAAAGTAACAAAATAGGAGACTAACACCCAAGAATAGTCGAGATAAGCACCAGGAGGTTCACTCCATGGCTTGAAGGCCAGCCGCACACGCTAGGGGAAAAGGCAGCTTAGAGAAGGGAGCACCAAGTAAAGGGTGTTGGGAGGATGGGAGATGCATGCTGAAAGTAGACTATAGACCAAACATGATCGCCACCCATTGCCTCTTTTGCAAACCACAACCCTCAATAAGAGAGAGAGAACAAAAGGAAATGCCCTGCCACAGAGGCAGGGTGGGATGGGGAGATGGGGGGGTGGGAGGGATACTGGGATCAGTGGTGGTGGAGAATGGGCACTGGTGGAGGGATGGGTACTTGATCATTGTATAACTGAAACCCAAGCACAAAAACTTGTAAATCTACAACTGTACCCCATGGTGTTTCACTGATAAAAATTTTAAAAAATAATTTAATGACAAGGATTAAAATAAAATAAAATAAAAATGCACTGAAACCTTGGGAGAAAAAAAAAGAATGGTTTCCAGGGCCCTGAGCACCACTGGGGGCATCTCCCTGCTGCTGAAATTAAGAAAAAAAAGTTTTTTCTAGGTTGCTTTGTAATTTAGCTCGATAGTGCCACTGTTAGGTCACACAGGCGTGAGGGAACAGGACAATGGGCACACCCAATTACTGGCCCCCAGGGCCATGGGCCTGGACATGGTGTATGCAAAGCCAGAGCGTTCCATCCCACGGGAAAGAGGACAGGCCGGGTGCTGTCACTCTAGCTCTCAAGGCTGAAGAACCTCCCCCCCCCCCACAGTCACCCCAATCTGTGCTCCCACCAGCATGCCCAGAGGCGAGGGCCAGCCATGGACCACCAGGCTCTGATGACAACGTGTAGATGGGCTCCTCCCAGCCCCTGGTCATCCCAACGGGTGGTCAATGGCCTCTTAAAGGGTCATCTCAGCACCCTTTGAACTCGGTCAGGACCTTTTCCGGGCCCGGAGGGCGGCTGGTGGTAGGAACTGTGCAGTGGTATAGGCGTGGTTGTTGGAACATTGTACAGCTGAGACCTGATCATGAACAGCTTTGTAACTGTGTATCTCACGGTGACTCGATAATAATAATAATAATAATAACAATAATTTTTTAAAAAGAAACATGACTTGGAAATTACACAAAATGTGATTCATTAAAGACAAAATATAGGGGGGGAAGGGGGGGTATAGCCACAGAACAGCGGGTAGCTAGTCTCACACACACGGCAGACCCAGGTTCCATCCCTGGCATCCTGCATGGTCCCCCAAACACTGCCAGGAGTGAGCCTTGAGTACCACTTAGTGTGGCCCCAAAGGGAAAAACCGAAACAGACGCTCGAAGGCCGAGGAGGGGGACACGACGCCCATGCAGACATCTGTGCCCGCGCTGTACCTGATGGAGCTCTGGAAGACCGTCCAGTCCTCCTGGAAGAGGGCGTTGGGGGCGATGTCGTCCAGCTTGCACTTCTTCCGCACCGACTGCAGGGCGCTGGCGAAGTCTGACACGTACCTGCGGGGAGAGCCGGCCGGGCCTGTCCCAGTGCTTCAGACTGCTGGACACCCACGGTCTCATGAGTTCAGACATGCTGTCAGTGGCCTGGAGGGCATCTGTCGAGGCCCCAGCCCAGGGGTGAGCCCCAACTAACCCTGCCCACGGGGCGGCTGTGGTATGGCCTGGAGATCGTGGCTCGTGGTGAGGTGGGCAGGGGAGAGGCACCGAGACTCGGGGAGAGAAACGGGGCCGATCTGGTCAACACTCAGGCCTGGCAATAACTCAGGGCCCATGAGGTGGGGCACCAGGGCCACCAGGGTGAGAGACGGCATTGCCCAGGAGAGCATATGGGCCAGGGCCCGGACGCTGGTGTGTCCTCCAGCCTGGGAGCTGTCCCACAAGTCCAGACGCCCAGCCCAGGAGCTGTCCCACAGGGCCTGGACGCCCAACCTGGGAGCTGTCCCAAGGGTCCTAGACGCCCAGCCCGGGAGCTGTCCCACGGGGCCTCTAGCCCAGGAGGAGCTGTCCCCTCAGCCCTGGCACCTTACAGGCCCCACGAGACCAAAGTGCTGCCAACAGCCACGGTAGGGGCAGCCTGGGGGTCCCTGGCAGGCCCCCCCAGGGCATGAGCTTCTCAGGCCCCTCAGAGCAGGACACGCACACTTTCCCAGGTGTCTCGCTCAGCCGTGGTTCCCGACTTACTTGGCAAAGAGGGCCTTGAGGGCCGCGAGAAGGCCGCAGGTGCCCAGGCCGTGGGTGAAGCGCATGCACCTGTCCACGGCCTCCGCCGCCAGCCCAAAGAGCTTGTTCACAGACTGGCTCAGCTCCCGCACGCAGTCCATGAGCTCCCCGTGCTCCTGGGGGCGAGCGGAGAGCACGCGTGAGTGAGCGCAGGGGGTCGGGGGCAGTTCCGGGCGGGGGAGGACGGGCTGGGCGGTCAGCGAGGGGACGGACATGGGCAGGAAACGGCGATTCCACCTCCAGACTCAGGGGCCGGAGAGACAGGACAGCGTGGAGGGCGTCTGCCACGCACGCAGCCGACCCAGCCTCCATCCCCGGCATCCCAGAGGGATCCCTGAGCGCAGAGGCAGCAGGAAGCCCTGAGCACGGGCAGGTGTGGCCCCCAAACCAAACCCAACAACAGCAAGCAGCACGTTACAATCACACCTTTCCCTTTTGGAGTGGGAAGAAGGGGTGGGGCGGGGGAGACGCATCACAGTGCTCAAGAGCCTGCAGTGCTGGGGATCAAGGCTGGGGTTTCCACACGCGAAGTCTGAGCGCCAGCCCCCCTCCACCTCCTGGGATCTTCTACTGAATTCTTCCTATTGGTGGGGGTGGGCCACACCCGGGGGTGCTCGGGGAGGAGTCCCGGCTCTGCACTCAGGGATCTGTCCTAGCGGAGCTTGGGGGGCCCTACGGGGTGCCGGGGATGGAGCTCAGGTCAGGTGCGAGGCAGCCACCCCAGCCCGTGCTATGTCTCTGTCCCTCAATTCTCCGAGGAGGGAAGAGCCGCCCTGGGCCACTCAGGGGTTACTCAGCGGCGACTCCCGGCCAGGGGACGGCTCTGGGCAGTGCTGGGGGGCTCACTCAGTGCCGGGCTGGAAGCTGGTGTCCCACATGCAAGTCGTGGGCCCCAGGCCTTGGAGCCCTCTCCCGGCCCTTGCCACCCTCCTGGCCACCTTCCTTAGGCCGATCCCTTTACAGTGATGTTTGCTACAGAAATGGCCTTCCCAGGGGCCAGAGCAATAGCACAGCAGGTAGGGCATTTGTTTGCCTTGCACACGGCCGACCCACGTTCAATCCCCGGCATCCCATAGGGTCCCCCGAGCACCACCAGGAGTAATTCCTGAGTGCAGAGCCAGCAGTAACTCCTGAGCATCACTGGGTGTGACCCCCCCCCCAAAAAAAAGAAATGACCTCCCAGGAGGGGCCATAGAGGACCGGCCCTACTGCCCAAATCCCCACACGCTGGGCTCTGCTGCCCGCCAGCAAGCGCCCTCCGCCCAGAGGCCGCGTGGTATCGGGTCCGTGAGTGCCAGAGCCCAGAAGCCTGAAGCCTGTTTTGTCAGACTCCGGGGACTTTCCACGGAGGATATGGCTGGCCTGCCCCGGGGGTCCATTCCGACAGGGGATGGAAGCAGGGTCAGCCACGTGCAAGCCAAGCGCCCTGCCCCCGCACTGTCTCTCCGGCCCCTCCAGGGTCCCCTCTGGCTTTAGGATTCCAAGAGCCCGACGGGGTAGTGGGTGGCCAGAGTCGTTTTTCCGCTACCCACATTCCTACCCACAACCCTTCCACCTTCCCCAGGATGCCCCCCCGACCACACCCCAGGGCCCAGAATGACACCCACGGGGCCTGGGGGACATTACCAAGGGCACCGCGCTGAGCTGGATGAGGAGGTTCTTTTCTTCCAGTTCACCATAGCGGAGCTGGTAGGGCTTGTAGGGGCCGTACACGGCGTCCACCAGCTCCGTGACCTTCACCAGGTTCTGCTCATCTGTCAGGCAAAGAACAGACAACCAGAGACGATCACAAAGGAGCGAGAAATGAATGCCGGGAAGGGGCAGGTGTAAGGCCGTCTCCTGCAACCGCCCCACTCCCTCCTAGGGCCAGCGATGTCCTGTCTACCTGTCTGTCTGTCTGTCTGTCTGTCTGTCTCATCCCTGCAAACCTGGACCAGCATGTGCGCTGTGTAGAGTTCCCCCTCGAGCACTGTTCCTGGAGCCAGTCTCCTGAGTCCCACAGCCCATCACAGTCAAAGACATGCCGAGTGGTAACCGCCCAGGTCCCCACCCAGGAGCCCCGCTGGGGACGAACACAGACCACTGAGCCTGGAATAGCCCCAGAGCATCACCAGGCGTGGCCAAACATCAAGGGGAAAAAAACTGCCGAACAACATAACCGCAAACCAGCATGTAAGACTGTCCCCAGCAGCTTCTTTATTCGTAAAGGCAGAAAAGCTAAAGGCACTGTTGCAGAGTTGTCATTGAAAAGTGTGTCCTGGGGCCAGAGCGGTCGCACAGGACCCCGAGTCCTCACAAGCAGGAGATATTCTGGTCACCAGCAGTTCCCTACCTCGGGGAAGCAAGAAAGCTCAGTCCGAGGGACACACACATGTCTTGTGACCACACCTGGCGATGCTCTGGGGTTAATTCTGGCTCCGCACTCAGGAGTGACTCCTGGCAGTGCTTGGGGAACCCTATGGGGTGCCGGGGATCTGACCCTCCTCGGCCATGTGCAAAGCAAACACCCTACCAGCTGTGCTATCGCTCCAGCCCCCTCAAATACTTATTCTTTAATTGATTTTTTTAAAGTCATGATTCGTGATCCATATCCTCAGTGAGATACTATTTTGCTATTAAAATGGTGAAATGTTGGGCTGGAGAGTTGGTACAGTGGGTGGGGCACTTGCCTTGCATGTGGTCCACCCAAGTTCAATCCCCAGCATCCCGTAAGGTCCTTCAAGCCTGCCAGGAGTGATCCCTGAGTTCAGTACCAGGAGTAAGCCCTGAGCATCACCAGGTATGGGCCCGCCCCCCTCACGCCCCCCAAAAAGTAATAAAATTTAAATGTGTAAACAAATAAATAAATAAATAAAAGAAATCTTGCCCCTTGCGACAACAGGGATGGAACTTGAGGTGATGATGCTTAAAAATAAGACTGGAGGGGCTGGAGCAATAGCACAGCGGGTAGGGCGTTTTGCCTTGCATGCAGCCGACCCGGGTTCAACTCCTAGCATCCCATATGGTCCGCTGAGCACTGTCAGGAGCAATTGTTGAGTGCAGAGCCAGGAGTAACTCCTCAGGATTGCCAGGTGTGACCCGAAAAGCAAAAAAATAAAATAAGCCAGGAAATGAACGACAATCACAGGGGTTTCTCTCGTGCCTGCAACGTGAATAATTCAAGCAGGGCCGGAGAGAGAGAGCATCGTGGGTTGGGCACTTGCCTTGCACATAGCCGGCCTCAGCTGGATCCCTGGCGTCCCATACGGTCCCTGGAGCCCCACCAGGAGTGACCCCTGGGCACAGAGCCCACCAAGAACAGCCCCTGAGTGCCACGGGGCATGTGCTGTTGTTTGCTTCAGGGCAGGAAGGGGGGCCATGCAGTGCCGGGAATCAGACCCAGGGCTTCCTCAGGCCAAGCCCACCCCCCCAGCCCCTGAGCCCTGTCCCTGGCTCCCACTGGCCTTTTCAGCTGAGCTGGGTGAGGTTTAATAATGACTTGAAAGGAAGTGGACGTGGGGGTGGAGAGGCGGGACAGCCCACCTATGCTCTATCCCCGGCAACCCAGGGGGTCCCCTGAGCCGATCAGGAGCGATGCTGAGACAGAGTCAAGAGGAAGCCCTGAGGAACACCGGGCATGGCCCCCAAAAGTAACTGAAAAGAAGGAAGTGGACGTGCCCCCGAACGTGACCCACTCACTGTCGCGTGGACGCCCACCCGTACCCGGAGCCCCCACAGGAGTGGCCTTGAGGGGGGGGCGTAGGGGCACAGCCAATGCCCCCACGCGGTACCTGGGAACATCCGTCCAGCAAAGGCGCCCCCTGCCCTCCCCGCGGAGGCCAGCTCAGCCGAGCTGCGGTGGGCACTCACGGGGGCCGGCCAGCAGGGCGGCCTCCAGGACCTTGGCGAAGTGGGCCGTGGCGTCGTAGAGCTCCAGCAGCCGGCACAGCTCCAGCTCGGGCCCCGCCCTCTCCACGCAGTCGCTCAGGCAGCTGGGCAGCGGGGGCGCCAGGGCCCCCAGGGTCTGGATCAGCAGCACCACCACCACCTCGGCCGGGTTCTTGAAGACCTGCGGGGCAGAGATGGACGCACCAGGAGTGCGGGGTGCCGGGCCTGGCCTGCACCGGCCCCTCCACCCCCTGCACCCCCTACAGTCCCACCGCAGTGACCCCTGAGCACCGCCGGCTGTGGCCTCAAAAGCAGGCCTCAAGGAAGGACAGGAGCCGAATTTCCGTCTAGAACTCAGAGTGCCTGCATTTCCCGGTCCTACCTCCAGGCATAGGTACATGGAACCGTCTCCTCCAGCCAGGACCCTCCCCGCTAGCTGAGACCCTCCCCTCTAGCCAAGACCCTGCCCTGAGCATTCCTCACAACCGACACAGGAAAGACCTTTATGACCCAGGCCGACTTCTGCATTTGATAGGAAATTTTAATAATAATAATAATAATAATAATAATAGGGGACTGGAGTGATAGCACAATGGGGAAGGCATTTGCCTTGCACACGGCTGACCCAGGTTCGATTCCCAGCATCCCATATAGTCCCCCGAGCACCGCCAGGAGTAATTCCTGAGTGCAGAGCCAGGAGCAACCCTTGTGCATTGCCAGGCGTGACCCAAAAAAGCAAAAAAAAAAAAAAAAAAAAAAAAAAGAGAGAGAGAGAGAGAGAGAAAGAGAGAGAGAGGGAAGGAAGTGGGAAGTGCAGGGACAGGCGGGCAGCAGCTGGCGTGAGTCGGGCTCAGTGTTTCAGGGCCTCCCCAGCCGTGCTGGGGGCCCAAGTGCCCAATGGCGACTCCTGCCCCAAGGGGCCTGCAGATGGACACGAGGGCCCGAGAGTGCCCAAGGCCATCCCAGGGCCTCCTGAACACCAGGCAGAGCACTGCCAATGAGTCACACCCCCAACCCCCTTTGTGATTACTTATTTGGGGGAAGCGGGGTGAGGAGTTATACACCTGGCGTGACCTGGGGTCATTCCTGGCTCTGTGCTCAAGAGAGATGCCTGGGGGTGCTCGGGGACCCCACTGGGCTGGTGGCAGGCCAGGCGAGCTCACCCCATTCTGACTCTCTGGCCCAGCCCTTTCCCCTTCTGAAAGAGGGGGTGCCTGCGCCCCCCCACCCACTCTGAGAACAAGGGGCCATGACGCAGACCCTCTTCCCCGGATGATGCAACCCGACTTTAACACAGTCCAGGCGGAGAGTCTCCCCTGGGGGCGAAGTTGCCCCCTTCCTGCTCCCTCAAGTCCCAGGGCACCTTCCAGACCATTCTCTTCCTCACACGCCCCGCAGGAGGGGGAGAAGCAGGAACTGAGGATTTAGGTCAGGTCAGCCTCCCCCAAAGTTAAGATCAAAACCAGCCCTGCTCCCTCAAACACCAGTCTAGAGAGAGAGCCGGGGCCACCCACTTGCAGATGTGGCGATAACAGCCTCCAGGAATTCCAGGGGTGGGGCTGGGGGGTTCCCCAGCCTACACAGAGGGAGGAGCAGAGGGCCAGGAGGAGGTGGCCTAGACACGGCTGAGGCCCTGGGTCCACCAACCCAGGAGGCTGGGAGAGGTGCAAGGTCGCCTGAGGGTCTGCATGCCCCTGGGCTTCGCGGCTTAATCCCTGACCGCCCTTGAGAAGGTCCCTGCAGAGGTTCCAGACAGCGGGGGTGGTGGCGGGGAGGGGGGCGTCTCCCGAGAACCCCAACAGGCAGTGGCTCACCTGTGAGGCCCACTGGGTCTGCGTGTGCCAAGCGCTCAGCAAGGCGTCGTAGAGGCCGGTGAGCTGCCGGTCCAGGGGGAGGTCACTCTGGCACAGGCCCTGCCAGGCGGCCAGCAGCTCCACCTGCAGGGGACAAGACAAGCAGGGAGGGGGGTCCATGGGGCGCGGGCGGGCAGCCCTGAGGGTGTTCCTGCCCCCTCACCTCCAAAGCACAGCCTGCCCACTCTCGCCCCACCTTGCCCCCTCTGCCCTGAAGTCAGGCAGGGGGCAACGGACTTGCAGGGATTAGATGAGCCCAGGACCTCATTTCAACAGGACACCTGTAATCTGAGCCTTCTTTCAGGAAACCAGAAAATCTGAAAATTCTTAATGGCTTGTTCAGGGCATAATAAAGCTTCAGACATGAATCACCCTCCAAAGACAATAGGAGGAAGGCTGGAGGGATGGGACAGCAGGGTAGGGCGTTTTGTTTGCCTTGCACGCGGCTGACCCGGGTCCGATCCCTGGCATCCCATAGGGTCCCCCAAGCACCGCCAGCAGTGATTCCTGACTGCAGAGCCAGGAGTAACCCCTGAGCATCACCAGGTGTGACCCCAAAACCAAATAAATTAAAAAGGCAAAAAAGATTTTAAGAAAAAAAGGGGGGCAGGGAAAAAAACACCCCCCTTTTTTTATCTGTTGACGAAATCCAGCCATACACAGAAGAGTGAGGGCTTTTTTCCGAAACTGGTGGTAAAATGAATCCACAGGCTGGACCAAGAGCACCCCCTACCGGCTAATTCAAAGTACAGCGGTTTTACCTTTGCGTGAGAACTGGGTTCTGCATCCCTGGGACTAAACCACACTCACAGCCCCTCACCTTGTGGCCCTTGTAGTAGTAGGCAAGAAGCTGGGGCATCCGGTCGACTTCAGTAAAAATCTTCACCAACATCTTGGCCTGATCTAAAGGAGCAGAGGAGAAAGTCCACGCGCAGGGCTGCACACTCGCTGGTAAGAACCCGCCGCAAACACCTGCCCCGAACGGGGCCCCACGTGAGCTGGCGTTCGCGTTCTCGCCCAGACGACGCATGGAGTCATGCGTGGAGAGCAGGAATGAGACTCTTATGTCAGGTCAAGGGCGGAATGCTCGCTCCAGTCACACACAGACATGATGACAACCACGCGCCCACGGGCCCCTGAACACAGGCCGGGCGACGCGTCAGCAGAGTGACCGCTGGGTGTGAAGGGCAAGCCGAGTTAGCACAGGGCAGGGGCTGGGGGCGCGGCGCCTTCAGCACTGTGCCTCAGTCTACCACCCGCCCCACTTCCCCTGGACCAGGACTGGGGTCCGAAAGGGTCAGCTTCAAGGGGCTGGCACCTGCCTTGCACGCGGCCAACCTGGGTTCGATCCCCAGCGCCACCGATGGTCCCCTGCCAGGAAGGATCCTTGAGCACAGAGCCAGGAGTCAGCCCTGAGCGCAGCGGGAGTGGCCCCCCAAAACTAAAACAAAATGAAAAAAGCTTGCCAGCAGCAGCCCCAGGACTGGAGAGACAGCACAGGGGTTACTGCAGGCGACCCCAGTTTGAGTCCCAGGCCCCACATGATCCCCCCCAAGCACTGCCCGGGCTCACTCCCGAGCCAGGTATAGAGAGACTTCGCGAAAACACCATGTAAGATGGCATTCCCCAGGTGAGGGACGCGCAGTCACGGGCCCCCGGCCAGAGAGCGATACCACAGTCCAGTGAGACTCCAGAAAGATGCCGCCCTTAAGCTGCTGCTGGTCCTCAAAAAAAAATGCCATCTTCAAGGACTCAACCTGGTCTTTCCAGGGCCAGGAAGACAGTGACCCGAGCCAACTTCTGTCAGCTGCCAAGGACGAGTCCAGGTTCCCTGCCCTGGCCTACATGGTAGCTCTCGGTGGCGCGGGCCTCACCAGAGAGCCCTTCCTGACTGGTCCCCGTCAGACCCGTCCCCGCTGCCGTTCCCGGCCCCATCCTCTCTGTCAGATCCCTTATCTGGCAGTGACGGGCTCTCTCAGCCCCGCGAGTAGACGCGGAGGAACAGGACCAGGCACTCAGGGCTTCCCTTCAGTCCCCGCAGCAAAAGCCAGAGCTGGGAGAACTCCAGCTTCACTGCCAGCTGCAGGCAAAAGAAGACATGAGAATTGCACGGGTGAGGCCGGAGCGATAGCACAGCGAGTAGGGCTTTTGCCTTGCAAGGGGCCAACCCGGGTTCAATTCCCAGCATCCCATAGGGTCCCCCAAGCACCGCCAGGAGTAATTCCTGAGAGCAGAGCCAGGAGGAACCCCTGAGCATCGCTGAGTGCCTTCTTCCTGCCTCCCACCCCCGTTCCCTCGTCCCCTCCCCTCCCTCTCTGGCAACACCCCCCCCCAAAATAAAAAGCAAAAAAAGAAAAAGAATTGCATGTGTGCCTACATGAAGTTGAACCTATGAATAGATAGCGATGCACTAGTACTTTTCTTAAAAGATTTATGCTAGTGCCAGAGAAAGGGGAGGGTACCTGCCTTGCACACGACCTACTGGATTTGATGCCCGCATCCCACATGTGGTCCTCTGAGCCCCACCAGGGGTAACTGCTAAGTGCAGAGCCAGGAGCAACCCCTGAGCATCGCCAGGTGCTGTTCAAAAAGAAATTTGAAAAAGGGAGGGTGTGGCAGAGCAATAGCACAGCAGGTAAGGAGTTTGTGCTGCACGTGGTAAGCCCAGTTCGATCCCTGGCATTCCAAGCGCCCCCCGCAAGCCAAGCACAGCTGCAGAGCCAGGAGTAAGTCCTGAGCACCACCTGGTGTGACCCCAAAACAAACAAACAAGAGAATGCACACAAACAAAGAACACACACACACACACACTTTTAAAGGATTGATGCTATACTGGGAAATAGAGAAAAAAAGATTTATACTTTACCCGAAAACAACAACAACAACAAAAAATATATATAGGCCATTACCAGGTGGTGAGTTGACTAATTAAACATTTTCCTCCTTAGGGGCTGGAGTGATAGTACAGCACGTAGGATGTTTACTTAACCACATGGACAACCCAAATTGTAAGCCCAGCATTCCATCCGGTCCCTGAGCACCACCAGGAATAATTCCTGAGTGCAGAGCCAGGAGTAACCCCTGGGCATTGCTGGACGTGGGAGGAAAAACTTTTCCTTTTTATATTTTTCAAAAGTTTCAAATAACACTTTTTGGTTTGAAGGCCACACCCGGCAAGGCTCAGGACTTCTTCCTGGCTCTGCTCTCAGGGGTCACTCCTGGTGGGCGCAAGGAACCAAGCCAGGGATTCAAACCAACATCAGCCACATGCAAGGAAAGTGCCTGAACCCTCACACTATCACCCCGGCCCCCAAATAAGAGTGTGACTGGCTAAGCATCTGTGCGGGACCCTCTCCACATTACAAGGGTAAGGTCTCAACTTGTCCCCACAGATCCAGAACCCCCCGACCTCTTCCTGCACCTCCCCCTCCGGCAACCACCGTATTTCTCAAATGTTTAATGACCTGCGTGCAGCGCTTTCATCATCGGAAACGTTGCTTTCCAACCACTGCGATCTCAAGCTTCTGCACACACGAGCTCCTTCATCGCCTCCTCGGTGTTCCTAAGCACTTTTCACATTCCACCTTGCATAAAACCATCGGTGTGCCTGTTCTCTCTCCCAGCCTCACCCTCCAAGGGCTGCTGAAAGGTCCTTGAAGGAGAGCAGCCTTATCTCGATCATCTCTGTTTTCCTGGGCCGCCGAAGAAATATTTCTAATACTATTGAGGAGTTAGTTCCCACACCCCCTCCGAAAATTCCTACTCTGACTGCCCCGGCTGGCACTATAAAATACCGACACACCCACTCCCGATGCCCACCGCCTAGCCTAGGTGGCTTGAGGAATGAGCGCAGAATTTGATAAACAGCCGCATTCCACACATATCAGAGAGCCACAGGAGGCACTGCCCGACAAGCTCTTTCTTGCATATCTGGCTAAGGGCAGAGGAAATGACTGCCCGGGGCACCAGCCCCCAGGCTGACGCTGAAACAGAGCGCAGCTCCCGGACAGCGCACCGCCGACCCCTTCTGGCCGGGGCGCAAATGACACCGCAGCGTACAGGCGTGAAAGCAGCAGAGGGCAAGCTGGCCTGGATTCGAGCCCCTGGCTCCGCAACTCCCACACCATCGACTTGGGGAGCGGCCCCCAAATAAAACCAAAACAACCCAAACAAGAACAGAACCACGTGGGCGCTGGGAGCTGACTCAGACGGCCGGAAGGCAGGCTCTGAGGGACATCAGGACTTGTTCTGATTCAACTGCATCACCATAAATAATGGTGACGGGCTGGTGATGGGCTGGAGCGACAGCACAGCGGGGAGTGAGTTTGCTTTGCATGTGGCCGACCCGGGTTCGACTCCTCCGCCCCTCTCGGAGAGCCCGGCAAGCTACCGAGAGTATCCTGGCCGCACGGCAAAGTCTGGCAAGCTCCCCGTGGCGTATTCGATATGCCAGACACAGTAACAACAAGTCTCGCAACGGAGGCGTTACTGGTGCCCGCTCGAACAAATCGATGAACAATGGGAGGACAGTGCTACCATAAATAAACTGTCGAATAAACAAAACGTGATCCTGTATCTCCCGGGCACTGCACGCTTCCCTGAGCGTCACCAGAGCGTCGCCATGCACTGCGGGCTGGGACCCAAAAGCACACCCCAAAAATCCTGCTAATGACACCAGCTCACAACGACCCACTGGGGAGGCGAGGCCGTGGGACGGAAGTTGGAATGCGCTGAATTCACTGGAGCACTTGATGCCGGAGTAACCGCGGCCACCGTCACTATCAAACCAGCACATGGGGCCGTAGCGACGGCACAGAGGCGGGCGGATATGTGACCGAACAACGTGGCAAGACGCTAATGCCGGGTCTGCATGTGCCTCGACCCCGACCTTTCTCCATGCTTGAACCGTCACATATAGAACGCCAGGAAGGGGCCAGAGAGTGAGGGACCTGATGCAATGCAGCCAACCCTGGCCCGCTCGCTGGCACCTCCCACGGTTCCCCAAGCCCCGGCAGGAGGGACTCCCAGGCTCAGAGCCAAGAGTCGCCTCTGCACACAGCCAGGTGCAGCCTCAAACCCACCCCGCCGAAATGAAGTCAAACAAAACGCTGAGGGCTGGGAAGCCAGCAGAGCGCTCGTCAGTCGCCTGCCTTGCAAGGGGCTGCCCTGGCCACAGCCCTGGCTGGAATGCACAGCGCCGCTTCCAGTCCCGAGCATCCGCAGGAGGTCAGGCTGAGCACAGAGAGCCAGGGGCTGCCCCTGAGTCCTGCCGGGTGTGGCCCAAATGCCCCAGTCTCCAGGACCCCCAGCAGATGCTGCAAAGGCGACGCCTACCGGAGGGATGAATAAGAGTGTGTGCTTTGCACGAGGGAACCCCAAGTTCAATACCCAGCACCACATGGTCCCCGAGTACCACCTCCAAGGGCTGCCAGCGTGGCCCCCTACACACTCTAGAAACCCTAAAGTTTAGATTCGTATCCAGTCCCTATCTTCCAATCCACAGGAAGACACTCGACAGATTCACGACGGGGACCTGAGGGTCACCAGTGCTGGGCAGTGCCCCGACTCACCCACAGCCTGCGAGGAGAAGGCGGCGATGATCTGGGGGCTGGCAAAGGCCTCCAGCCGGTTCTTGAGCGCCTCCAGGTGCACACACTTCTCCGAGTAGTCGGGGGTGTCCACGAGCATGGCCAGGCTGTTCTGCATGCCGATGAGCTTGGCCGAGATCACGGCGATGTCCTGCAGGAAGCACAGCACCAAGAGCACTGAGATGAGGAGGCGCCTGCCTCAGAGCCCTCAGGGTGAGCTGTGGGGCTGCTGGAACGACAGCAAGGCGGGAGGGTGCTGGTCTTGCACGCGGCCGACCCGGGTTTGATCCCCGGCATCCCATAGGGTCCCCTGAGCACAACCAAGAGTAATTCCTGAGTGCAGAGCCAGGAGTCACCCCTGAGCATCGCCGGGTATGACCCCCTGGCCCCCATAAAAAAAGGACAAAAAAGTGGGGGCTGGAGCGATAGCACAGCGGGTAGGGCATTTGCCTTACACATGGCCGACCCGGGTTCGATCCCCGGCATCCCATAGGATCCCCTGAGCCCCGACTGGAGTGATCCCTGAGTGCAGAGCCAGGAGTAACCCCTGAGCATCAACAGGTGTGACCCCCCACCCCCATCCAAAAAAAAAAAGAACCAGAGGGGCCACAGGGAAGAGGACTGGGGCTGAGACACTCACACTGTAGGCAGTGGACCCGAGCTCAATACCCAGTCCTGCGGAGGGTCCCCGTGGTTTGCACACGGGCTCACCAGCGCTGCCCTCTGAGCCCTGGCCCCCACCGAAGGCACCGCAGCACTCATGCAGGCGCCCACCTCGGCCGCACCTTCCCAGCTGTGGCACTCACGGGACTTCTGCACTGCTGTGCTTGTTGGGGGGGCCCTTTCTGGCAGCACCCACACACACCTAGCCACAGTGAGGGACTTTCCACTGGCCCAAGTTTACTGGTCAGGCCAAGGATGTTTTCCCAAATAGCAGAGAGGCCTAGAGCCCAGCTGGCTCCAGACCCCATACCTGAGGGCCCCACTCTAAGTTACTCTGTTGCTATTTGTTTGTTTGGTTTCTCACTTGCCTCTGGTTGGGGTCCGGGACCACACCGGGTGGCAGGAAGAGGCGGCCCCCAGCAGCACTCACAGGTGCAGCGTCTGGCTCTGTGCTCCCGCATCCTGCGGCAGCAGGCCCTGAGCCCCGGCTGGCTACAGACAGGCCTAAACTCCCTAAACTCCCTCTGCCGGGCTCGCTCCAGCCCCAGCCCCAGCGCTGCACTTTCCCCAGGCACTTTTCTTTCTTTTCTCTTTTTTGGTGCAAAGGAATGAACGAAGGGCCTCAGTCACACAGAGCACATGCCCTCCCGCTCATCTACATCCCAGCACTCGGTGCTAGTTTTGTTTGTCCAACAGTGCTCAGGGCTGACTCCTGTCTCTGCACTCAGGGATCACTCCTGGAGGGGCCCCGGAGACCCTACGGGATGCCGGGATCTAACCCGGGTTGGCCGCGTGCTAGGCAAGCGCCCTCCCCAGTGTACTATTGCTCCAACACATCAAGTGCTTTTTTTTTTTTTTTAATTCAGAGGGGACCAAAGTGACGATACAGGGGCTAAGGCATTTTCCTTGCTCTCAAATGAACCCACTTTGATCCCTGGTGCCACATATGGTCCCCTGAGCACCACCAGGAGTGATCCCTGAGCACTGTCAGGCATGGTCCAAAAATACACACACAAGAAAAATTGAGAGTATACCCAGTAATTGTGCTTCGTTTCAGCATTCAACAGACATCAACCAGATGCAGACACTCATTCACAGATACTTGAGACACAAAGGAAGAGTCGCACAAAAGGCTTGCAGGGCACCAAGAATCATGAGGATCACAGCGGGACTCGGACTCGGCTGCAGGGGGAAGGATGAATTCTGCCTGCAGGGCTGAGAGGCCAGCAGGGAAAGACAAGAAAGGGGCCGCAGCTGGGCCCTCAGAGCTGAGCGAAGTTGGTCTCCTGGCCATGAGCGGAAGGAACCGCTCCGGCAGGGAGCTAGTGTGAAGGCTGCAGGCTTCGTTAGACATGCAACTCAGAGATCCAACACTGGTGGTTTACACCTACTCACGTCAGAGGCCGGCCCAGGCCTGCAGCTCAGTGGGAGGGCGCTTGCCTGGCGCGCCATGTGTGAGGGTCCGGGTCAATAACAAAATTTGCGCTATAGCACTGGCCTCCCGTCGTTCATCGATTTATCGAGCGGGCACCAGTAACTTCTCCATTGGGAGACTTGTTACTGTGTTTGGCATATCAAATATGCCAAGGGAAGCTTGACAGGCTCTGCCCTGCGGGCAGGATACTCTCGGTAGCTTGCTGTGCTCTCCGAGAAGGACGGAGGTATCGAACCCAGGTTGGCTGCGTGCAAGGCAAACGCCCTACCAGCTAAGATTAAAAATTAAAGGGGCTGGAGAGACAATACACTGAATAGGGCATTTGCTTTGCATGCGGCCAAACCAGGTTTGATCCCCCGGCCCCCATATGGTCCCTCTGAGCCGGGCCAGGAGTAACCCCTGAGCACCACTAGGTGTGGCCCAATAAGGATACCAAAATAGGGGCGAGAGTGAAAGTACAGAGGGGAGGGCATTTGCCTTGCACGGGGCCGACCCGAGTTCAATCCCTGGCACACCATATAGTCCCCCAGACTCTGAGCACCGCCAGGAGTAATTCCTGAGTGCAGAGCTAGGAGTAACCCCTGAGCATCGCTGGGTGCGGCCCAAAAAGAAAAATAAATAAAAGAATACCAAAATAAAACAAAATAACTTGAAAAAACAGGGCTGGAGATAGTCCAGTGGTCAGGACACTTAAGTGCCTTGCACTTGACCAAACCAGGTCCAGTTGGGTTCAATCCCCGGGACCACATTTGGTCCCCTGAGCACTGCTAATGGCGATCCGTGATGCTGGTGATGGGACTGGAGTTGGCAAGCTGTATGCCTGAAACGCAACTACGAATAACTTTGTAAATCTCAATACCTCAATTAAAAAAAATAAAAAACGAAAATAAAAAAGAACCAGAGGCCATATTTAAACCTACTCTCTCTCACAGACCTGTGCTACTGAGAATTCACTAAGAAGTGCTACTTGTCAGCTGGTTTTTGGTTTGGGTGCATCTCCTGGCAGTGCTCAGGGCGTGCTCCTGGCTCTGTGCTCAGGGATCACTCTCGGCGATGCCGGGATCAAACCAGGGCCAGTGACACACAAGGCACGTGGCCTTCCCCGGCACTCTCTCCCGGGCCCCTTCTCTGTTAACTCTCACTGGGAGTCCCCCACGGAGCTTCCGCCAAGCAGAAGAGACCACAACAGACCAGGGGCCCCCAGAGCCGCTCCCCACCCTAGGCCCTTGTGGGGAGGTCATGTGTGTCTTCACACCTGGATGGAAGTCCAGCGCGGACAGAGCCACGACAGGCCCAGTCGGAAACCCGAGACCCACAGACCCGGCACCGGAAACCCTGGGCGGGAACCGAGGCCCAGACACCCACCTGCGTCTTGAACGTCTCCTCTATGTCCGCGCTCAGGGTGCTCCACTTGTCGGCCTCCTGCAGCGAGTCGGCAGCCAGCTGCATCCTGGACTTGACCTGGTCGATTTCCACCAGCACCTACGGGAGAGGCGCCGGCTCAGCGCCCAGACCCAGGCCACTGCCTCCACCCGAGCCTCAAACCCGGGACCACGGCGTGCTGTGCTCCGGGCTGAGGGAGCCAGGACCCCTGTCCACCGCTGAGCACCGGCGAAGGAGAAACCCCGGGTGGACATGCATAGACATGCACGGGCTGCCTGAGATCAGGACCCAGGACGCGAGCACCCTCGGACCTTCATGGACTGCGAGGTGTCCTGCTCGAACTTGCGGATGTCCTCCTTGACCAGGATCATCTGCTCCTTCAGGAAAGACGCCTCCTGCTTGAGGGCCTCCACGTCCCGCAGCACCTTGGGCATGTTCTGCAGGGCCTGGTGGCTGGTCTCTGTCACGAGAAGCAGAAGGGGGGACATTCGGACCCAGGGCCTACCAGCCAGCAAATAAGAGCGCCTGGGGCCGATCAGAAACTTGACCCCCGAGTTTCCCAAGACTGTGGGGCAGAGGAGGACCGATGGGGGGACGGGGTGGGCGCTCGGCCAAGACTGCATCCTTCCTCAAGTGGTGAACTTTTGGGGGGGCGGAGAGGGGCACACTCTGTAGTGTTCGGCAACCTCTCCCAGCTCAGTGCTCACTCTCAGAGGTGCTCAGGGTCCCAGGCGGTGCCGGGAATCAAACCTAGGCCTCCTACGTGCAAAACACACTCTCCCCTTCCTAAGAAACGTACCAACAGCCCAGAGCGCCCTCGGGTATGGCCCCCAAACCAAACACAGAAAAAGAAAACCAGCACTTACAGGGAGACGGGGCGTGCGTTCTGAGCACTGGAAACCATCCTGCTGCCTGCCTGCCGTGGGGCTCCCCGGGCAATACTGGGGCGCAAGCACAACCAGATGTGCCCCCATGCAAAATAAGATGATTGTTTAAGTGGTTGTCTCTGGAAGGATAAGGGCCAGCTTTCACCTCAGAAGGGCCTGGGGGCACTTTATTGGCTTACGGTTCTAAATGGAGCCGAGGTTTGAGTTATACTAAACGTGCACACTTCCCAAAACTCCTTAGCCAAAACCCATACGTTTAACCTATGTCAAACCGACTGAGTCAGAGAGAACTAGGTGGGGGGCTGGAGACATGGTACAGCCCGTAGAGCGCCTGCCCTGCACACAGTGGACCCGGATTCCATCCCTGGTATCCCAGATGGTCCACCAAGCCAGCCAACAACACTGCCAGGAGTGCCCCCTAAATACATCCGGGTGTGGCCCCCCAAACCAAAACTAAATACAAACAAAAAAAGAACTAGGCGGGGGCAGAAAGATAGTGCAGAGGTTTAGGAAGATTGGCTTGCATGGGGCAGACCCTGTTCAATCCCCAGAGTGTCACCCCTCCGAGCACCGGGCCAGGAGTGATCCCTGAACACAGAACCAGGAGGAAGCCCCGAGCACCACTGGGTGCGGCTGAAGCTTCAACCCACCCCAAAGAACGGGAACAGGGGAGAACTCAGCAGACTATCTCACATGCTGCAGGCTCAGGTTCAGTCCCGGACACCACAGGGTCCCCTGAGCACGAACAAGTGTGCCCCAAGCTTCCAGTTCGATCCCTGATACCGCCTATGGTCCCCAAGCACCACAAGGAGTCACCCCTGAGCACGGACCAAGAGTAAACTCAGCACCACCAGGCATGGCCCCAAACCTCCTCACACTTTTTTTTTTAATGGAAGCGTCTGACACAGAGCAAGAACAGAAATATTCGTTGCACGATTAATGTCCTCCCTCCTTCTCTCCCTTTGGAGTTTTCCTTCCAGGCCTCGTGGGGAAACGCCCTCTCTGAGTGCTCCCCGCAAGAGCTAAGTGCCCCGGGATCCAGTTCTGACCACTCCTGACCCCCGTCCGCACTGCCTGCGGCGGGCACTCCAAGGGGGGGCGGGGCATCCAGCTGCCACTTCGCTGAGGCGCTTTAGGATCGTATCAAAGTTGTCTCGGGGGTTGCGGAGCAGGAAACTGAGCGGAGCAGGAGGCTGAGCCTGAGCAGAGATGGTCGATGCACCCACCAGGCTTTAGGAGACGCAGCCCCACTTGCCCCCACATTGGCACCGATGTCCGGCATCAGCAGCCCCATACGTGCACCCCGGACCCGTGCACCCCCCAGAACCCCTGCACCCTTCAGAATCCCTGCACCCCTCGCCCCCAGGACCCCTGAGCCCCCCGGATCCTTGCACCCCACACCCCCGCCCCCGGGGCCCCTGCGCCCCCGTCCCCCGGTGCACACAGCGGGCCGCAAGGCTCACCCTCCACGGCGTGGTTCACCTCCTGGATGAAGAGCTGCAGCTTCATCACCAGCGTGGCCGCGTGCCCGTCGGCCTTCCCCGCCGCCGCCTCCTTGGGGCCGGCCCTGAAGGCCGCGTTGATCCACTCCTTCACGTCGAAGTCGTCGGCCAGGAACCTGGAGAAGTCCATGGCCTGGGCGCCGGGGGCGCTGCGGGAGCGCCCACGCTGCCCCGGGACCGCGGCGCCCGCCCACCGCACCTGCCGCCGGGCCCCCCGGCCGCACCTCCCGCGGAGCCTCGGCCGTCCGGGGCTGACCCTCGCCGCGCGCCGTACTCCCACCGGAAGTGGCTGGCAGTTACCAGGGTGACCGCGCGAGCGCGCTTCCGGGCCGGTCCTGCAGACACGCCCCCGGCGAGCCCGGGACTCGGAGCGTTCGCCTCGCCGGGACGCACTGCCGAGTGTTCGGGGAGAGCTGGGTTGTGGTGAATCACGATGGATTCTTTTTTTAGTTTTAAACGCATCTTACAAAGCTTTTATGAATCGATACGCAGCAAGAAATTCAGACCAACCAGTTTTGCTTTTTTTCAACAAGGTTCAAAGTCCTTGGTTCTACTCTCTGGTTATATAGCTTTATCTCCCTTGGTTTAACATCACATGATTAATCATAGCTTTTTAAAAATGTTTTTTATTAGTGAAACGCCATGAGGTACAGTTCTAGACTTGCAAACTTTCGTGCTTGGGTTTCAGTTATACAATGGTCGGGTCCCCATCCCTCCACCAGTGCCCACTTTCCACCACCGCGGGTCCCAGTATCCCTCTCTCCCACCCCGCCTCTGTGGGCTTTTTGCTCTCTTTACTTTAGGGTGCTGTGGTTTGCAATAGAGGTATTGAGTGGCCCCCCGTGTTCGGTCTATAGTCTACTTTCAGCACGCATCTCGCATCCCGAGCGAGTCCTCCAAACTACCCTTTACTTGGTGGTCCCTTCTCTGTCTGAGCTGCCTTTTCCCCCAGCATCTGCTGCCAGCTTCCAAGCCGTGGAGCCGACCTCCTGGTACTTAACGATTCTTGGGTGTTCATCTCCCATTCTGTTACTTTATGTACCCCAGATGAGTACAGAGTTTCTACGTCTGTCCCTGTCTTTCTCACTCATTTCACTTAACATGATACTTTCCATGTAGAACCACTTGTATGCAAATTTCATGACTTCATCTTTTCTGACAGGTGCATAGTATTCCATTGTGTAGATGTACCAAAGTTTCTTTAACTAGTCATCTGTCTAGGGCATTTGGGTTTTTTCCAGATTTTGGCTATGAACACACAAGTGCAGCAATTAACGTACAAGTGCAGATGTCATTTTGGCTATACTTTTTTGCCTCTGCGGGATATATTCCCAGGAGTGGTATTGCTGAGTCAAATGGGAGCTCAATTTCTAATGTTTTGAGAATCATTTATACTGTTTAACAAAAAGGCTGAACCATTCAGCATTCCCACCAGCAATGAAGGAGGGTCCCTTTCTCCCCACATCCATGCCAACACCGGTTGCTTTTGTTCTTTTGGATGTGTGAGGTGGTATCTCATTTTTTTTTCTTTTTGCTTTTCGGATCACACCCGGCAATGCTCAGGGGTCACTCCTGGCTCTGCACTCAGGAATTAGCCCTGGCGGTGCTTAGGAGACCATATGGGATGCTGGGGATCAAACCCGGGTCAGCTGCGTGCAAGGCAAATGCCCTACCTGCTGTGCTATCGCTCCAGCCCTGGTTTTTAAGGAACTGTGATTTACAATGTTATATTTCAGTGGGTAGGGCGATTGCCTTACACGCAGCCAACCTGAATTCGATTCCTCTGCCCCTCTCAGAGAGCCTGGCAAGCTACTAAGAGTATCTTGCCCACACAGCAAAGCCTGGCAAGCTCCCCGTGATGTATTCTATATGCCAAAAATAGTAAGAAGTCTCACAATTTGTTGTGAGATGTTACTGGTGCCTGCTCGAGCAAATCGATGAACAATGGGAGGACAGTGCTACAGTGCTACAATTCAGTTTTATTTAGCCTTTTTTGGGGGGTCACACCTGGCGATGCTCAGGGGTAATGGTATTCACCCAGAAACTGACTTTAAGCCCATCATAGTAATGGTAGAAAGCCAGCCTTGCATTCTTGGGATAATTTTCATTCTCGCATCTGGGCATATTTACATAAAATGCTTTCGTTGCTGGATTTGATTTGCTAACTTTTTTTGTGAAGGATTATTGTAATTATGTTCTCCAGGGAAATTATCTTTTAGTTTTTAGTTGAATTTCCTCTGATTTTCATTTATGGGGTGATATTCATAGTGACTTGACAGGACTTTCTCTGCGTTTTTAAGGATTTGGTGCTGCCTTTTCATTGACAGTGCTTTGCCATCTTGGCCTGTCCATTTCTTTGTGGGAAATTTTTAAGTTACTAAACTTCTTGTTTTATTTTATTTTTGTTTTTGGGTCACACCTGGCGATGCACAAGGGTTACTCCTGGCTCTGCACTCAGGAATCACCCCTGGCGGTGCTCAGGGGACCATGTGGGATGCTGGGAATCGAACCCGGGTTGGCGGCGTGCAAGGCAAACGTCCTACCCGCTGTGCTATTGCTCCAGCCCCTTCTTGTTTTTTTATACACACATTTTAATCGACGATCAACGGGAGGGCCTTTCCTTTCCCTTTCCCACATTTTAATCAGTAGGTCTTTCTAGAAATTTCACTTTAGCTGTGAAATCTGCTGGCACAAAATTGTTTATTTCTTTGTAACCCCTTTCTATTTCTGTAACATTGGTACATCCCGTGACCTTTGTAAGTTGTGTCTTTTGTTGGTCAGCTAAGAAGTTTGAGGTTTTCTTTCTGAATTCTGGGTGGTACTCTAGGGACCATGTGGTCAGTGTCCCTGAAATCTAACCAAGGCCTACTGCATGCAAAGCATGTGCTCCTGCCTCCGAGCCATCCCCCAACCCACACATTTTATCGTGTTTTAAAAAAACAAGCTTTTTCCTTCTGGAAAGAAAGATGGCAGCCACCTCGGAGCCTTTTGGAAAGCCAGGCATGACTGGTCCTGACGGGGTGACTGAAACCTCATGGGAAGGGGGGCGCTCCCGGCTTGTCCTTCACGCCCTACTGAGGTCATGAGTTGCCCCCCATGAGTGGCTCTCTGGCACAGCCATGACTCTAGAGCCACAGAAACCAGTCTTATAATTATGTGACTCTCGGCAGAAATACTTCCAGGCTTAATAAGTAAAATATCAGAAATCGAAAATCCCGCGGCCGCTATTGTGGCCGCGTGACATCATTTGGTTTTTGTAACAAGCTGTAGAAAACAAATTATTTCACAATGCCTTTTGAGCAGGTCTGATTTGGGGGCTTAAACTCTAATAATGGTGCATCTTTTGTTGAAACAATGAATCTAATCAAAGTAGAGAGAGTGTTAACTAGAATTCATCTGCCTCACAGGGGGTATATTAGGGTTCTTGGTGGTGAAAAATAAGTACTGGTGAAGGGAAATGTGTTTGATGATTGCATGGCTGAGACTTAAACCTGAAAGCTTTGTAACTTTTCCCAGTGATTCAATAAACAAATAAAATATTTTAAAAAATTCTTTTTTTAAGTTTTGGGACCACACCGGCCGTCACTTCTGGTGGTGCTCAGGGGACCATATGGGTCTGCCAGTGATTGAATCTGGGCTAAGGCAAATGCCCTACTCAATGAACTATCACTCCCGCCCATTTCATTTTCTTTCTTTGTTGTTGCTGTTACTGCTGTTTGGTCACATCCGGCGATGCTCAGTGCGTACTCCTGGCTCTGCACTCAGGAATCACTCCTGGTGGTACTTGGGGGGCCCTATGAAATGTTGGGGATCAAACCCAGGTCGGCCGCGTGCAAAGCAAATGCCTTCCCCACTGAGCTGTGGCTCTGGCCCCCCATTTCATTTTTAATGGGTATCTTCATGTTCTTATGGAATTTAAGTCATTTTTCCTTTCTATTGTTAAGGGGGGTTGGGGTCACAGAAAGCATAGGGTGACAGGGGCGGCCTACAGCGAGGGGGATGGCACTCAGGGTCTCACACACACTCCTGTGCTCCAGGGCATGATCCAGGCCGCAGGCTCCGCCTATTTTTAACCTTCACTATTCACACCCAGCAACAGCCCATCCAGGCCCAAGGACAGGCTCACAGATAAGAGCATTGGAATCCAGTCTTAAGTTCACTGATGCTCTGTAGGAGTGGACTGCAGGTAGAGGCCAACGGATAGGAGGAAAAGTGGTATTATCGAAACATGAAAGGACTTTCTTTGGGGGCCAGAAATACATCACCATGGGGAGAGTGCTTTCCTTGCATTGGCCAATCTGCATTCAATTCCTGGCACGCCATGTGGTCCCCCAAGCCTCACCGAGAATGATCTCTGAGCATGAAGCCTGGAGTAACTCTTGAGCACTACTGGGCACCCCCCGCCCCGTCCCCTAAGAAACAAAATAAGGACTTTCTTGGGGCGGTGGTCAGGAGCGCTCTCTCCTACACAGATAATGCCGCGACGGTGGGAACACTCAACATTATGTTGGACAGAGAACAGAACCTCGCATCCTTCAGCCCGTCCCCCTTATCGGCTCCATGAATGAGCTCCCCTGAGGCGTAGCATCTTCTTCAGACTTAAAACTCCACACAGGGGCTGGAGCAATAGCACAGCAGGTAGGGCGTTTGCCTTCCTCGCGGCCAACCCAGGTTTGATTCCCAGCACCCCATATGGTCCCCTGAGCACCGCCAGGAGCAATTCCTGAGTGCATGAGCCAGGAGGAACCCCTGTGCATCACCAGGTGTGACTCAAAAAAGCAAAAAAATCAATAAAAAAAATAAAAGAACCTCCACACAGTGCATCTGCTGCACGGATTATTTATTTGGGGACCCCTTCTGTGTGGTCACCATGTCTGCCACTGCTAAGCTCTTTGCCGCTACCACGGCCCACAGCTCTCAGGGGTCTGTGAAGCGGAGGGGCCCGGGCGACCCCCAGGACTGACGTGCTGCCCACCCCGCACCCTCCCCCCCCCACACACACATACACACAGGCCTGAGGGATGCCTGTGGAAGGACCATGAGGACGGAGCCCAGACAGGGGCCCCACACACAGGCTCCCCCAGCCCCCCTGGGGCCCAGGGAGGGGGGCTCAGTAAGGCACGGTGATGAAGGTCATGAGAGGCCAGCTCTGGTCCAGCGGCGGTCCCTTGCGGTCCGTTTTCAGTTTCTCCAAATCCTTGCGAGCAGCATCTGCTCATGGGGATGGAGTCCAGAGAGGCCCCAAAGACCAACCAGGTCCCTCAGAAGGTCCCTGAGAACTCCAGCCTGGGAGCAACCAAGATGTTCAAAGGCTGACAAGGCACCGAAAGAATGAACGAGAAGGAAACAGGCTCGGGCGGGGGGTGGGGTGGGGGAGTGGAGACACCCAACTTTGGCTGAGAGACCCTCCAGCCTGAGGCAACGGCTTGGGCAGGTACCACCAAGCGGAAAACGGGTGAGTGCGGCAGGGGGACTGGGGCTGAGGGAACATCTCCCACGCTGCCCACACCCCAGGCCTGCCATATGCACACATGCATGTGTGCATGTATGCATGCACACACATACACGCACATGCACACTCAATGTGCAGAGGAAGCAGGAAGTGGCCAGGGGGCCTCCCGCGCCCGTGTGCGGGAGACACCCCCAAACACTACACTAAGTCACCACCAGTCGTCCTAAGTGGGCCACCCAAGGAGCTGCGTGCCGGGCGGGAGCACTGCATGGGCCCGCCAGGGTGTCAGGCGGTGGCCAGCATGGCCGGGTCGGGGACATCTTTCACTTCTCCTACTTCGCTGAAAGGCTGCCCGCCCTGGTTGAATGTCAGCTTATACCGCAACCGGATGGGCTCCTGGGCAAAGACAAGAAGGGACACGGGTGAGGAGAGAGCCAGCAGCCCGCCCAAGGACACATGTCCACCCCCCAGGTCCCGGCCTGTCACTCAGGAGGGGCACGCCGACTTCCCCTAGGAAGCCTGAGACCCCGGCATCCGCGAGCATCCTGGGAATTACAAATGTGCAGAGTCCCCCAAGGTCCCCAACGCAGCTGAGTGGCCAGCCCACACCCCGGTCCCCAGAGGCTCATGCTCAGTGTCTGCTAGGATGACCTGCTCCTGAGCTGCGGCCCACAGCCCTAGGCCAGCACTGCAGGCCCAGCAGGGGACGGCAGCAAGAGCCCGACCTGCGTCCCCTCCCCACCAGGGGCCTCTCGAGGTCGGCCTCCCCGCACTCCGGGATGTTACCTTGTGTGGGTTGTCCAGCAGCAGCATCTGCGAGATCACGGCCGGGGGCGTCAGAGGGCTGAAGGCGGGCAGCTTGGAGCTGGATGCCGGCTGCAGCTTCACCCGCATGGACTGCAGGACACACACACACACACATATGCACACACACGGCCATTTCCTGAGCCCCCGCGGCTGCAAGCAGGAGCAAGCAGCCCCCCAAAGACCGTTCCCTCCGCATGGAAGGAGCAGGGTGTAAGGGTACATCTTGGATAAAATTTACTTGGGGGAGAGGCCAGAGAAATAGTACAGCGGGAAGGGCACTTGCCTTGCTCGTGACCAATGCAGGTTCGATCCCCAGCACCCCGTAAGCATCAGCGCCCCATAAGCACCAGCAGGAGTGATCCCTGAGTTCGGAGCCAGGCATGACCCCTTAGTATCATCGGGTGTGGGCCCTCAAAGTTATTCTTGTTGGGGCAGGTGAAGTGTCAGAACCAGTGATGCCCGGGGCTTACTCCTGGCGGGGTGCAGGGGACCCTATAGGGTATTGGAAGTGACCCCGTATTATCTCTCCAGCCCCATCTTGGGAAAAATTCTAACTCTGCCTCTCCCTTAGCTCTGTGACCCCGGGCACAATCATTAACCTCGATGAGCCTTGAACTGAGATTTCTAAAGTCAAGAGATGAGTAGGTGCCCAGCGACTTGGTGCTCGGCCTCAAGTCCCTCCTCTCAGGACACGCCCCGCCCCGGCTTCCTGCGGCTCTGATGTGGCCACTGCTCGCTAGGGCTCCGCACCCCTCCAAGGGGCCAGACACTCAGATGCCTGCACCCAAGTCACCCCAGCAAGGATGCCAGGAGCACTGTGCGGGGCGTCAGCACGAGGCCTCGGGAGCTGGGCGCTGCTTTCTCAGCTGCTGGCAAAGGGGGTCGGCAGGCAGGCTCCAAAGAGGTGAGCAACGTCGAGAAACAGGAAGGGGCCATTTGGTCTGGTCTGGATGGGATGACTTTTTGTTTGTTTTCTTTTTTGTGGTGCTGGGGCTCCAACCCAGGACTCCAGAAGGGAAAGCATGCATTCCAGCCCTCTGTACTGTCTCTCAGCCCCAAGAGAAAGACTTGCACCCAGCAGCACTTGGGAGCTACTCTCAGCTCTGTGCGGGCGGGGTGTCTCCCAAGAGTGTTCAGGGAACCATGTGATGCCAAGGACTGATCCCATCCATGCCTCCCACATCCAAAACATGTGCTCTGGCCCGCTGAGCTATCTCTCCAGCCCCAAGAGACAGATTCTCTAGCAACTGTGTACAAAACCCACCTAGGGGCCAAAACTCACCAAGGGGCCGGGGATATAGCTCAGCAGGAGAGCAATTGCCGGGCTTTGATCCCTGGCACCACAAAACAAGTAAATAAGTGAATAAAAGAGCCACCTGGATCCAGCCATACCTGAAGTCCAATATTCAGGAAAATGCAGTTAAGTCAAGAAAAGTCCCATTTTATCTCAAAGTGCTTGCAGTAAAAAATTATACGGGGGGGGGGGGGGGGGGGGAACTGGGGACATTGGTGGTGGAGAATGTGCACCGGTGGAGGGAAGGGTGTTTTATCACTGTATGACTGAAACTCAAACATGAAAGCTTGTAACTGTACCTCATGGTGATTCAGTAATAAAATGTTAAAAAATATTTTACCCCATTCAACTGCTGATAGAGGGGCCAGGGCGAGCACTTGCCTGGCATGGGGCTGACCCTGGTTCGGTCCCCAGTATCTCAGGGATTACTCCCTGAGCACCACCAGAATAAGTAACCCCTGAGCATCGCTGCATGTGGTCCCAAAACCAAACCAATGAAACGCGACAACTCGCAGCCAAGAGCCCAGCGAAGGCGCTGGCACTCACCTTGGGCACAGCCACCTGAAACATGATGTCCCAGACGGGCTGCGGGGCGGTGCTCATCATGGTCAGCAGCAGGACCCGCACCTCGGGGTGGCCAGGGGCCCCCGTCTGGGAGAAGTGGAGCAGAATTCGGAATCCATTGCGGTCATACACGATCACGGGAGGCAGACTGCCTGGAGGAGGAGGAGCAGGCAGAAGTATAAGCACCCCCACACCCCCCCACACACGCACCCGGAACTCTCCATGGCCTCCCTGTGTTGTGTGGAAAGTCACACTTGTCCCTGGCCCCCAGGAAACCCCCCTGAGCTCCCACACGCTCTCCCAACCTCCGACCACACCAGTATACTGCTGGCTCCAAACCTGGTGCCATTTCCAGGGGGAGTGCTGGTGAGCACTAAGGCCGTGTCCGAACACACCAGGAAATCCAGCCCGTGGTGAGCAATGACACAGAGCACGAGACGGCACACAGGTGCCAACAAGCCTCAAGCAGCACACACAGTGGCCGACGAAGCGAGCACAGCTCAATGAGCCCGCGGCAGGGCTTGGGGACCACACTGGCGGAGGCAACGATTCTCACAGGTGTTCTTTCAGGGAAGTATTTTTGGATCATTCCATGAAGCCAGTCAGTGGTTGGCAAGCAATACAAAATAAATCATTGTTTCATGATTTATTTTATATTGGCCAGAGCGATAGTCCAGCGGGGAGGGCGTTTGCCTTGCATGCAGCCGACCCGGGTTCCATTCCCAGCATCCCATATGGTCCCTCAAGCACCGCCAGGAGTGACTCCTGAGTGCAGAGCCAGGAGGAACCCCTGTGCATTGCTGGGTGTGGCCCAAAAAAGAAAATCATTGTGGGCTGTGACAGGGGCAGGCTTGAGGGGTGGTCGGGACCATGGTGGAGGGAAAGGTCACAGTGGTGGCAGGGCGGGGGGCTACTGGGACATGGATGCGTGTAATGGGTCATCATAAGCAACGGTGTTTAAACAAAGTGGAACAGTTCAATAGATCAATCGATAAAGCACCGGCCCTGCACGGTCTCTGTCCTTCAGTGCGTGTAAACACCCACCCCCGCAGAGAGCAAGCACTGTGGGCAGGGCGCTTGCCTTACATAGAGCTGATCCTGGTTTGACTCCCAGCACCCCATAGGGTCCCCCAAGCCCCATCAGGAGAGATGCCTAAGCATCTACCCAACGATAAAAGCAGCAGAATTCTTTAAATGGACACCTCAATGACACTGAATGACCTTCAAAGCAAGTCCTACGGGGTTTAATTTTTTATTTGGGGTGTGGGGCGGGGGGGAGAGGAAGAGGGAGGTCTGATGGGCCACAGCCAGCAGCGCCCTGGGCTGAATCCCGGCTCTGGACTCGGCTTGGAGGACCCTGGCTTGGAGGACCATGTGGGGTACCTGGGATCAAACCCAGGCGAGCCGCGTGCACGGCCAGCGCCCTCCCCGCTGTACCAGGGCTCCGTCCCCTCCCGAGAGAGAAAATGTTTCCGCAAAAGCACAGCAAAGAGACCCCAAAGCACCTCTCCCACCCTCTGCCCCCTGCAACCCTCCCTTGGTTTAGGGGCGGCTGACGCAGAGCGGGGAAGCCGAGCATCTCGGAAGGGGAAAGCCGGGGTGAAACTGCCACTTACTGGGCTTCACAGACTCCAGGGGGACGAAGACGTGAGCCAGAGGCGTGTTCTGGGAGGACGAAGAGGCCAAAGGGCCGGCCTCCCAGGACCAGCCCGGGGAGGCCTTGGGGCCGGGGGTCACCTCCTTGGGGAGACTCTTCTGTGAAGAGTGATTCCTGCAGAGAGAGTCGTGCACCCGGACTAGCCGAAGCCCAGGTCATGGAGACCCCCAGCACTGCACGGGCCCCCCAGCACACCAGGAGTGACCCTTGAGCGGCCGGCATGGAGCACTTCCCCTGCAGCCACGAATGCGCCCCCAGATGCAAAACAAAGAGTAGTAGGGCCAGGGAGCAAGCACTGTGGGCAGGGTGCTTGCCTTACATCGAGCCGAGCCGGGGTCGATCCCCACCACCCCATGGGGTGCCCCCAGCCCTCACCAGGAGAGATGCCTAAGCCCAGGGCGGGGAATAAGCCCTGAGCCCTACCAGGTGGGGCCCCCAAACCAAGGCTAGAGTCATGATACTAATTAAAGGTTAGTACCTAAACCAAGGCCATAACGATAATAATAATTAAGGGTTCATGCCCAAACCAAGGCTGTAACAATGATGACAACTAAGGGCAACAGCCGTGACCTCAAGGCCCCGCCGGTGTTCAATCCCAGCTCCACCTGATCTCCCAGCACTCCCAGGCACTGCCCAATGGCCACTAGCCCTGTACAGTGACCTCCGTAAAGATAAGAATACAGCACTGTGGTTTCTTGGGACGCGCTGGGGTCTGGTGGCAGGACACCGAGAGTGGTCTACAACCAGAGGCTATGCCAGACCCTTTCCTTAAAATGTATTTTCTGGGCTGAGTGACAGTACAGCGGTAGGGGGTTTGCCTTGCATGCAGTAGACCCGGGTCCGATAGCAGGCACCTGTGGGCCCACCAGGAATAACCCCTGAGCATCGCCATGTGCTCACACACTCACACACAGACACACACACACACACACACACGAATGTACTTTGTCTGTTTGAGGAGCCACACCCAGCAGTGCTCAGGAGACTGTGTGGTGCTGAGGACCAAGCTCAGAGCTCCCACATGACAGCCAGGCACTGTGCTCCCCAGCACCAGCCCCGAGCACTTCCTGCCCTGCACGTCAACAGCCAACACACGGGAGGATGCAAGTACGACATGTCACACAGAGGACATGAGGCCCCTCGGCTGAGCCCTGGAACCATCCCTCACAGGCTCTGAGGGAAAAGGCTAAAACCCGTGTCTCAGTTCTGCTGCAGGGACTCAGGAATCACCTAGCACCTGCCTCCAGGGGGTACCAATAGGAACTCAGTGAGAAAAGGGATAAGGACAGGCAAGGGCTGTGGTTCAGAGGGAAAGCGCGAGCCTCGTCAGCGGGAGAGCTGGATTCAATCCCCGGAACCAGACGAGCCATGAGCCACAGTGAGCACTCAGGATGCTCAGATGCACTGAGCACTCTCACCTGCTGTGAGCACTCGGGACTCTCGGCCACACGGAGCACTCAGCATGAGCACTTGGGACACTCAGCCACACTGAGTCTGTCACCCCTGATGGGGACAATAGGACTCTCGGGCGTGCCCGCGCCGGCCTCCCCCAAGTACTCACAGCGGCCTGGGAGACGGCTGTGGCGAGAGGAGGTCCAGCAAGTTCCGCTGTGCAGGCAAGCTGGGAGGCCCAGCAGCGCTGGGCAGGGAGGTGGCCAAGGGCGTCTGTTCCTTCCACAGGTCCTGAGCTGACACCTGACCAAGCAGGCATGGGGTGATGGGCGGGGGCTGCGCTGCTTCACGGGCACCCTTGCCCCACCTTAGACCACTTCCGGGGGCTGGGGGCAGAGGTTGTGTGCGCCCCCTCCCCGGGCACCAAGTCCCCTGAAGGAAGAGCGTCCTTACCTTGCTAGTGACCTGGGCGTCGCTGATGCCTGGGAGGAAGGCAGAGAGTGCAGGACACGTCAGGGCCTTTACGCAGGATTGGGGGGCCGTGGCGACGCACGCCTCAGAACAGCGGCCCCTATGCAGCGGCCTGGCCTCTGGCGGGGCCCGCTCTGAGGATGGGATCTCCCTCCCCAGCAGGACAAACAGCCCCGGAGCACCGCCCCCCTCACCGAGGGCTGCCAGGTCCTGGTGCAGCAGAGAGGGCACCCCCGTCCCGTCGGGCTCAGAGCCACTGTCCGCCTCCAGGTCAATCAGGGAGCAGCTCTCCGTGCTGGCTGCAGGGCTCTCCACAGCTGGACAGACAGACGGAATGGGGACAGTCGGACAGGGGCAGAGCCTGCACACCGAGCGCCGCTGCTGGCCTCTCCCGCGTCAGCAAGTCCAGAGGAACCTCCCCACCCAGCCGAGGGTCAGGGGAGCAGAGCCTGTGCTGGGGGCAGCATAGTGTCCCCCTCGGCCGGGCCCCTGGCAGCACTGAACCCCCCTCTACCTCACAGGCTGGCTGGGGGGCGCCCTGAGCAGTAGCCAGGATCACCGGAAGGCCGCGCCCAGAGCACGAACCCTGCCTGCGGAGACCCAGGCTCCATCCCGGCACCGCCAGGAGCCATCCCAAGCCTGGAGCCGGGGGTGGCCGAAACACCCCCAGCACCACCAAGCCTCCCCCCGCAAAAGAAAAAGAAAGAAAAAGCAGATCCGGGCTAGGGAGATGGAAGGCGCTCACCTCGACACCAGCAACTGGGGCTCAGTCCCCAGCTTATGGTCCCCCAAGCCCTGCCAGGAGAGAGCCTGGACACAGCACCAGGAGAAAGCCCTGAAAACAGCCTGGTGTGTCCACCTCCCCTTCCCCTCCACCCCCCCCAAAAAATAGGAAGGAAAAGGGTCAGAGTCATAGTACAGCAGGGAGGCTGTTTGCCTTGCATGTGGCCAACCCGAGTTCGATCCCCAGCATCCCATATGGTCCCCCGAGCACTGCCAGGATGATTCCTGCCTGCAGAGCCAGGAGTAACCCTGAGCACTGCTGGGTGTGACCCCCCAAACAAACAAATCCAGATCCCCAGGAGCCGTCTGGGCACTCCTGATTCAGATGGTCCCAGCCAGAGCTTTGCAGCTCGCCCGAACAGAACACTGCTGCCCCGCGCTCCCAGAGGCAAGGGATCCAACCCCAGGTTCCCCCCCCCCCCCACCTATCGCCAACGCTGGTGGCCACCAGACCCACGCTCAGAGCCTGGGGGCGAGCAAGGGAAGTTCCCACACCCCAGCCCTGTCACCCCGACCTGCCGGAGTCTCCGTGCGTACCTCTGGGGCCAGGTAAGGCTGCCCCGGGGCCGGCCGTGGGGGTCCCGGAGATGACGCGGCCCTCCACCACCTGCTTGTAGAGCAGGACGCCCTGCGTGAGGAGGTCGTTGGCCTGGAGGATCTCCGCTGTGGGAGGAGAGGAAGCTGTGGTGCCGAGCAGCTGGGCGCTGGCCATTATCACCGAGAGGCGTGAGGGCTGGGCGGGGCGCACACCTGGGGGTTCTGGGGGGGGGCTCGGAATCTCAGGCTCAGCAGTGTTTGCAGGGGCACACGGTGCAGGACCGAGGGGACCGAACCAGCCGTGTCCCCAGCTGGGCTGGGAGGTTGCACACAAACAACCCGAGGGCCCGAGGGAAGCCAGGCTGGGGCCCTCCAGGAGGAGGGAGGGGGCACCGGGCCACCCAGTGGCGGGAAAAGCCCCCAAGCTCCTATCCTGCAGTGCTCAGAGGCCCCAGACTCTGCCTGGTTGAGCAGCGTAGATGTCCATCACCTCCCCAGCCCAATCACTATCTGTTTCATCTTATTGTATTTATCTATGCTGGAGCGATAGCACAGCGGTAGGGCGTTTGCCTTGCACGCAGCCAACATGGCCGACCCGAGTTCGATTCCTCCGCCCCTCTCGGAGAGCCCGGCAAGCTACCGAGAGTATCTCGCCCGCACGGCAGAGCCTGGCAAGCTCCCCGTGACGTATTCGATATGCCAAACACAGTAACAACAAGTCTCACGATGGAGACATTACAGGGCCCGCTCGAGAAAACTGATGAACAACGGGCGGACAGTGACAGTGATTTATCTATATACTTTCCTTTTTTGGGTCACACCTGGCAATGCTCAGGGTGACTCCCGGCTCTGCACTCAGGAATCATCCTGGCGTTGCTCTGGGACCATGTGAGATGCCAGGGATCAAACCCAGGTCAGCCACATGCAAGGCAAACGCCCTCCCCGCTGTTCTGTTGCTCTGGCCCCTCTCAGTCTGTCTTTAGCCTTTCAGACGGCCTGGCCAGGCCCTCTATAACCAAACCTCCTGCCCCCAGCTCACATGACCAGCCACGGCCAATCGGCCCTACTCACGCAGGTTCTGAATGCCAATACTTCTAGGGCTCAAGGCGCTCAAGGGGAACAGAGAGCCCAGAGGGCAAAAGGAAAGGCTGAGCTCAACAGGCTAAGTGCGAGCTCGGCAGGCAGGAAGCCCGGGGGAGACCCGCCAGATCTCAGAGGAGGGAGAAGAAAAGGCCTGAGTGATGCTCAGAACACACAACCCAGGTTCAAACTCCACAGGGTTCCGTGAGCCCTGCCAGGAGCAATCCCTGGGCACAGCTAGGTATGGTGAAAAATAAAAAAGGAATGGGGGGGGGGGGGAAGAGAGGGGGAGAGAGAGAGAGAGAGAGAGAGAGAGAGAGAGAGAGAGAGAGAGAGAGAGAGAGACCGAGATCAATTAAGAGAGAGTGAAGTATATCAACCCACAGTTGTAACTTGGAAATCATCACTCTGGATAAGGGAGACTGGTGGTGGGAAACACTCTGTGAAGAGATGGGTGTTGGAAAATTGTATGTCCGAAACCCAATCACGAACAACCCTCTGTGTGCCAGGAGTGACCCCTGAGCACTGCCGAATGTAGGTTCCACACACCCACCCCGCCAAAAAATTTAAATACTGGTCATGAGGATGGAGCCCTGTACACAGCCGACCTGATCCCTGGCACCCTATATGGCCCCCCGAGCACCGCCAGGAGTGAGTCCTGAGAACTGCCAGTGTGACCCCCCAAAAAAGGGGGGGCGCAAGTTGGTAATTTTCAGTAAGAATCCATAGGAATCAATTCAGCTACTCTCCTTTTTACGGGTTCTTCCCCCCAAATAAAAAGTATCAACTGCGGGTCTGGAGCGATAGAAGAGGTGAGACACTTGTCTTGCACGCCCCGGGTTCAATCCCAGGCACCCCAGAAGGAACCCCACACACTGCCAGGAGTGATTCCTGAGCATGCACACACAAACACACACCCCAGCACGCACACAGTGTCCAGACAGGTACACAGGTACACACACACACACACACACACACACACAGTGTCCAACAGGTTCATTACCTGCATGCAGGTATCAGAACTCCCCAGTGCCCTTGCCCTCTGCTCCTCATGGGCCGGTCACTTAGGGGCCCACCCAGGCCCTAGACACAGTCATTCCTGCTACCCCGACCCCAGCCCTCCCAGCCCTGTCCCTCCTGTCCATTATCCCCCGACCCTGCACGATCCAACCCCGTCCCCTACTCTCTGCCGAGTTCACACTTAAGTCTCGACGATTCCCAGTCATTCCAAGCCCGCGCAGGCACTGAGCTTATCCAGACCCAAGGCCTCTGCCGCTGGGCTGGGCTGAGTCAGGGGCAGGGCCATACCGAGCGCGTCGTCGTCATCCGTGGTGTCACTGGCCAGGCGGAAGAGGGTGGGCCGCAGCTTCTCACAGCGCTCGTAGACAACCTGGGGAGAGAGAGAGAGTGGCCGTCACAGCCCCGGCAGGGCAGCTGTCCCCACCATCAGGGCGATGACAGGGGGACCTGGTCACTCTGGACGAGGACTGAATACTCAAAGGAGGACATGCAGGCAAGCGTCTCCGTGACACTACTGGGAGCCACAGGGCCTAAAAGCGAAAAAGACACAAGTGTCTGCCAGGGAGGCAGTAGAGGGGGACGGACAAGGGGGCGGGAGGGTAACGGGGGACTCTGGTGGGCAGAAGTGGACACCACGGAAGCGATGGGTATTCTGACACTATACCCCTGAAACGCAATCTTGAATAAGTTTGTAACTCTGTAATTCACAGAGACTCAATAAAAGAAATTTTTTTTTGGCTTTTTGGGTCACACCCTGCAATGCTCAGGGGTATTACTCCTGGCTCTGCACTCAGAAATTACTCTGGCGGTGCTTGGGGAACCATACGGAATGCTGGGAATCGAACCTGGTTCAGCCGCCTGCAAGGCAAACGACCTACCCGCTGTGAATAATACTTTTTAAAGGCACTGCAGCGCTGCCCTCCCATTGTTCATCGATTTGCTCGAGCAGGCACCAGTTAACATCTCCATTGGGAGACTTGTTACTGTGTTTGGCTTATCGAATACGCCACGGGGAGCTTGTCAGGCTTTGCTGTGCAGGCGAGACACTCTCGGTAGCTTGCCGGGCTCTCCGAGAAGGACGGAGGAATCGAACCCGGGTCGGCCATATGCAAGGCAAACGCCTTACCCGCTGTGCTTTTTTTTTTTTTTTATAAAGAAGCTGGCCCCAGCGCCCCCCTGCAGCTCTGGGAGACAGGCGTTTCACAGGAAGGTGAGGCTATTGAGTAACCAATTATTTAAGAGAGAATAAACGTGACAAAAGGCCTCCTGCTGGCCAGTGCCGCCCTCCCAGCTGCCCCAGGCCCCACTTCACTGTTTCTCTGAGACCGGGTTTCCTGGTCCAGCACGGGTTTCCTGGTCCAGCACGCCTCCTGCCCTGGGTGTCCTCCCGCTGGGACCATCTGGAAAGTGGCCCCTTCCTCACCCACGGACACCGCGCCCACCTTTTCAGTGTCGTGAGCTAGACGGGAGACACACGTGTGTGTGTGTGAACGGCTCAGCTTTCCTCTCTCCATGCCAAGGAGCAGAGGGAGTGACGGGCGAGCCGAGGGGCGCAGGGGCACGAGAGTACCTGCCTGAAGCAGGAAGGAGCCCTGTGAGCAGGAGCACAACCCGCTGCAGGCTTTTAAGAGGGGGTTTCCGGGGCCGGAGCGATAGCACAGTGGAAAGGGCAATTGCCTTGCATGCTGATGACCTGGGTTCAATTCCCAGCATCCCATATGATCCCCTGAGCACTACCAGGAGTAATTCATGAGTGCAGAGCCAGGAATAACCCCTGAGCATCGCCGGGTGTGACCCAAAAAGAAAAAAATAAATAAATAAAAATAAAGAGGGGGTTCCCAGGGCTGGAGCAATATAGCACAGCAGGTGGGGCGTTTGCCCTGCATGTGGCTGACACGGGTTCAATCCCCAGCATCCCATATGGTCCCCCAAGCACCGCCAGGAGTAATTCCTGAGTGCAGAGCCAGGAGTAACCACTGAGCATCGCCGGGTGTGATCCAAAAAGCAAAAACTAAATAAAGAAAGAAAGAGGGGGTTCCCAGGGGCCAGAGCCATAAAACAGTGGGACGGACATTTGCCTTGCATGTGGTAGACCCAGGTTCAATTCCCGGCTTCCCACATGGTGCCCAGGTACTCCCAGGAGTGATTCCTGAGCAAGGAGCCAGAACAAAACACTATCTCTGGGTGCCACCCCAGGGACTCCGGGTGGCAGAGCAAGAGGCAGGGGTGTGACTGACAGGTGTGGCCTGCTTGGCCGGCGGCTGTGGGGCTCAAGCCTCCCCCGGACGGCCCCTCCCTACTGAGTCATCCGCTCCCCAGGAACAGAGGGCACGGAGGACCTTGGGGGGTTGAGGGAGATGCCAGCTGCGCACCTGCAGAGCCGCCTGGTCTGGGGGTGCCTGGCCGGGCCTGCGGTACACGCTCAGCATCTCCTGCAGCGCCCGCACGTGGCTCCGCACTTCCTCCACCGCGCTGGCCCGCCGCGACGCCTTCTCCGACTTCTCCTGCTCCTGTGGGAAGGAAGGGCCCATGGCTCCAGGGGGCTCAGAGAGGTCCCTCGGCGGGGGGGTGGGGGGTGCTCTCCAGGCCGGGAAAGGATGCAACTGGCCGTGGGGCCGGGGATCACCCTCCTGCCGGCCGCTCGCACACAACTAGGACATCCCGCCCGTCCACCTTGCTGTGGGCCCTGGTGGGGGGGGGGGAGCGCCCACCTCCTTGACCAGGCTCTGGATCAGCTGGTTCGCGGCCTGCAGGTCCTCCGGGTGGCTGCTCTTGAGAAGCCGCGTCAGAAGCTGCCGAGCAAACAGAAGGGAAAAGTGAAGACCCTCCCCGCCGACCCCAGGACCACTGCAGAGCCAACACGGGGCAGGGCAACCCCCAGGCACCGACTTCCTCTCAGAGATTGTATTTTTTCAGGGGAACAGGGAGGCTGGGGTCACACCCGGCCATACTCAAGGGTCACTGCCGGTGATGCGCAGGGGCACGTGGGTGCTGGCGGGTCTTCCCGTTGCACGGCCACCGGTTTCAACGGAGTGGAGGGAGATGACTCCACCTACCCTCCCCGGGGAAACGGGCCAATCTGAAGACAGATGTCCAAGTGCTGAGGCCACCCTGCCTGTACTCCCTGAGTGCTGAGGGGACGCTCTCCCCCATCAGTGTGCTGAGAGGACGCTTTCCCCCCTGTGCTGAGGGGTCGCTCTCCCTAGTCTCCTGAGCACAGCCTGGGAGGCTCCAAGAAATACATCGGAACAAATAAGCAAAATCACCAGTGCTCTAGGGTCGCCGGAGATGCTTCAGAGTGACCCACGGGACCAGGCCTAGAACGTTCGGCTGGCTTCAGATTGGGGATGGCACTAAACTCACCTCGGCCCCACACAGTCCGGTCACCTCGCCACCTTCTCCCCCCCAGACACACGGGCCGAAAGCACCCACGCAAGAGCACCCACACGGGGCCCCCTTCCCTCACTCTAAAGGGCCTCGAGCAAGGACGAACCTTTGACTTTTCCTCATCCGCGTCAAAGATGGAGCTCTTGGGCCAGGGAGACGGCGGGGGCAAGATTCTATCCATGGGCAGTTTCGGGTCCTGCTTTATGATTCCTGAAACAAGCAGGTCAGGAGGTGAAGACGCGGCTGCTGCCGTGGGAAGCCCCATCAGCCCCCTCGGGTCCCCCGCCATCCACCCAACTCTGCCGCCGCCTCCCTCCAAGGGCCCAAAGCACCACCCCAGGGTGGGACATGACCGTGTCCCAACCAGTCAGCGGCCATGGGCCTCAATGGGCACCACTGGCCCTTCCGGGCCGGTTCACATCGTCCAGCAGGACCACCCGCAACGCCGCTGGGCTTCCCGGATGCAAGCGCAGGGAAAGCTGACGGCAGGTACCGAGGGGACACACTCTACAGCCCACGACACAGGGCGGCGGAGCAGAGAGGGACATCAGCACAGCAAGTGGGCGGCGGAGGACGACAATCTCAGGAAGGGCGGCGCCTCCAAGGATTTCGCTCAGCTCAAAGCTTTGTGAGCTCCTGGCTGCTGATTTGGGGCCACAGCCGGGGTGCTCGGGGCCGCCTCCCAGCTCTGAGCTTGGGGTTCACGCCTGACGGTGCTTCAGGACCCTTAGGGATGCCGAACCCTGGCTGGCTGCCTGCAAGGTCAGTGCCCTCCCCACTGCACTGTCGCTCCAGCCCATTTTTCTGAACTTTTTACAGGCAGAGGTGAGCCAGCAAGACAACAGGCGGGTCCTGCAACATTAGAGGCACAGGCCCTTCATGGAGGTCCTGCTCTGGGGTGCCCTCCACAATGTGCTCTCCCTGCATACCCCTGACACAGGATGGGGGGGGTGACCAGGGGGCCAGAGATAGCTCAGTGGGAGGACGATGGCGTTGTCCGCAGCCCACCCTGGCTCGACCCCTGGCACCCCACATGGTCCCTGAACACCGCCAGGAGTGATCCCTGAGCAAAGCTGGGCACGACCTCTCCACCCCAAAATTAAAAATAAAAAGCAATGGGGCTGGAACAATAGCACAGCGGGTAGGGTGTTTGCCTTGCACGCGGTCCACCTGGGTTCGATTCCCAGCATCCCAAATGGTCCCCCGAGCACCACCTGAGTGCATGAGCCAGGAGTAACCCCTGTGCATTGCTGGGTATGACCCCAAAAAAAAAATAAAATAAAAATAAATAAAAAGCAAACCTGGCACTTTTCTTGGGGGGGGCAGCAGTGGAGTAAGTCCCTGGCCCAGGCTGGGTGGCCCAGGTCCTGCCCAGTACCCAGGACAGAGCCCGTGCAAGGCCAAAGCGACTGGGAGCAGATGGTCACTGCCGAGGTGACCGGACGGGACCTTCTGGGAGTGTCAGGGCAAAGGGGACCCAGAGCTGACGAGCTAGGCAGACCAGCGCGGCCCGACACCCACACCCTCGGGTTCCCCCAGGAGGGACACCACTGCCACCGCCACCTCCCTCCGGCCGCCCCTGGAGCCCGCAGCACGGGGTGGCCAGCTGGGCCGTGGGGCTTCAGGGAGGCGGCCCAAGGACACAGACCTTGCTTCTTCAGCATCTGATAGGCGTCCCGGATCTTCATGTCTTCTGGGAACCACACGGTCCAGCTGTAGAGGATCTCGATGACCCGGCCCTTGACCGTCTCTGTGCTCCAGGACCCCAGGTACTGGAAGGGAAACGGGGGGATGTGACAGCGGCAGGAGCCGGCCCAGCACCCGCACGCTCGGCCACTGGGGGCAGCACAAGCAGACCCCTGGCCCCAGCGCGGTCTGCCTGTCCGGGGATCGACTTCCAAAAGGTCCTTTTTTGTGAAGAAGGGGAGAAGGGGAAGCGGGGCCACACCAGGCGCTGCCTCCTGGCTCAGTGCTCAGGAGTCCCTCCGGGCAGTGCTTGAGGGAACCGTGGTTGGGGGTGTGGAGGACAAGCGCCTCGCCCCTGAACTGTAGTCTCCCAGTCTGCTCTGAAGAAAGCTCCCGGGCTGGAGAGAACTCCATGGACTGCAGCACACGCTCTGTGTGCATGAGACCTAGGGCCCATCCTTGGGACCACGCGGTCTCCTGAGCACTGAGCACTGCTGGGAGTGAGGAGGGAGGAGGGCGGAGGGAGATGGAGGGCAGAGGAGGTGGTGACGGTGAAGGTGTCTTTATAGGCCCAGGTCAGAAACACTGGAGTGTGCTGGAAGTAGAGAAAGGACCAAACGTGACAGCCTCTCAGTATCTATACTGCAAGCCATAATGCCCCAAAGTAGAGAGAGAGCATGGGGGAAATTGTCTGCCATGGAGGCGGGGGAGGCTGGAAAGGGGGGAATGCTGGGGATATTGGTGGTGGAGATGTGCATTGGTGGAGGGATGGGTGTTCGATCACTGTAGTGTTTGATGATTGTAAACTCAAAGGTAAAGCTTTGTAGCTGTATCTCATGGTGATTCAATAAAAAATAAATAAATAAAAGAATATGGAACTTAAAAAAAAAGAAGAAAGAAAAGAAACACTGGAGGCAGGGCCAGAGTAACAGTACAGCAGGAAGGGTGTTGGCCTTGCTCGTGGCCGACCCGGGTTCAATCCCCGACATCCCATAGGGTCCCCCAAGCACCTCCAGGAGCAATTCCTGAGTGCAGAGCCAGGAGGAACCCCTGAGCATCGCCGGGTGTGACCAAATAAGTCAGAAAACACACACTGGAGGTACTCATCTTTTGTGGGGGGCAGGGACTTTGCCCAACACCTGGCTCGGGAACCCATGAGGCAGCAGGGGCGGAAAACTCTGAGCTCTCTCTCCTGCCCAGAGACGCATGTTTCATGGGGTTCCCCCAGCCGTGGCTGAGGGCCGGGCCCTCTCCTGAGGCTTCGGGCCTTGGGCTCCTCAGGCAGTGCTGGGGGTGGGGTGGGCGGGTGTCCTGTAGTATTGGGGACCGAGCTCAGAGCCTCACACACGGCTGGCAGGCACTCAGCCCTCTGTGCGTTCTCCAGACCCGGGGACGGGGTTTCTGACTGGGGGAGGTGCAAAATAAGAAAAGATCAGTAAGAGCAGGAATGCAGATTTTGGGTCTGGGGGGCCCAGGCTGGATCCCTGGCACCACCTGGTCCCCCAACCACCACCCGGGGTGATCCCCAACCAAGAGGATGCTGGTAGCCACTGAGCACCGCTGGGCGCGGCCAAAAAATAAATTAAGAAAAGAATCTATCTGGTCTTTGTACCTAGTTCCTGTCGCCGCATTTCAAAACCCCTAGGAATTTCCTGAATGTCAGAAATGCCGTTATTCCCCACACCCCGGGCACCGTGTCCAGTAACGCAAACCACAAGAGTGGGCACATGGGCTCCAGGAAGGGGCTGGGCACACCAGCAAGGCCGCTCACAGGATCCCCTGAGGCCCGGGGTAGGAATGCTGAGGCAGCATTCAATCACCAGACCAGAGAAATCTCAGTTGGGGGCTGGAGAGCACAGCAGGTTGGCCACTGACCTTGCATGCAGCCCACCCAGGTTCAATCCCCAGGTTCGATCCCCATAGGGTCCCCCGAGCACCACCAGGAGTGAATCCTGAACGCAAGAGCCGGGAGTCAGCCCTGAGCACCGCTGGGTGTGGTCCCAAAACGAAATAAAACCTCAAACCAGGGCGTGAAGAGCGTCCAAGAGGCCGAGTCCATGCCAGCATCGGGAGGCCCAGGTTCGGTTCCCGGCACCACGCAAGGTCCCCCAAGCACCGACAGGTACAGCCCTCGAGCACCCACAACCTGAGCTGGAACCTGACCGTGAAGCAGAAGCCAGCGCCAGTGGCAGGACGGGCCCTCCTCCCCCTAGCACTTACCTTGGGGGACAGCACTTTGATCAGCTCGTTCAGAAAGCGGAACTTGGCCACCTCGTTGTGGAACTTCTCTCCACAGTAGTTCACGCATGTCTCCAGCACCTGCGTGAACAGGGGGGAGGAGGGGAGGGGGGGATGAGAAGAGGAGACACACCCCCAACCCTGCCCCGCAGCACCGAGGCTCAAACATGAGAGGCAATGCCGGGAAGCAAGAACACAAGGCCAGAGCCATACGACAGCAACAGCGGGGAGGGCGGGGAGGGCATCTGAGTTGCGGGTGGCCGGCCCAGGTTCGATCCCCAGCAGCACGTGTGATCCCCTGAGCACAGTGCCTGGAGTAACCCTTGAGCAGCACCGGGTGTGGCAAAAAGAGAATGGAGAAAAAAATCCAAGAGCCCATTCACAAACAAAACTATTTTCTCTTGAAAAAGCAGGAAACTAGTTTCCAGCCATGTTGGGTCCCAGCACAGGGCCTGGGTTTCTCCTCCCAGGGGCGTCTCTCATGCCACCAGGCCCACTGCGGGCATTGGCACATGCCAAGCTGATCTGAGAAGGGGGAAGAACGAAGTCCTCCTCCTCTCTCCTCCTTCACTTTCTCCTCTCGCCCTCCTCCCTTTTCCTGCTCCCTCTCTTCCTCCTCCTCCTCCCCTACCTCTTCCTTCCTACCCCCTCTTCTTCCCACCCCTCCTCTTCCTTCCTCCCCTTCCTCCTCCTCTTCCTCCTCTCCCCAGGCTGCTCTCCAGAGACAGATGGAGGATGGGGCGCTCTGGGCCCCACACCGCCTTGGTGGCAGGCCTCCTCCCGGTGGGTGTCGCAGCCCCTCCTGGGGCCCAGGCCCAGCAGGGCTGACTCACCATCAGCGCGTACAGAGCCTCCTTCTCCTGCGGAGACTGGATCTTGTGCGCCAGCAGCCAGGGCGCCTGCGTGGGGCTAAGGGGAACAGAGAGCCGGAGCTCGGTGGAGGGGTCGGCCCCAGGGTCCTGGAGGCCACCCCCAGCCCAGGCCCGCACCTCACCCCCACCCTCTGGCAGCAAGAGCACTGAGGCCTTCCTGCAGCCCAGGGAGAGACACTCAGGAAACACCAGTGCAGGGGGACACGGTCAGTGCCTCAGAGATGGCAGAGTGGACGCAGTAGCCGCCTGACTCTATTCACTGGGGGTCCCACACCCGGTGGTGCTCACGGCTGACTCCTGGCTCTGCACCCAGGAATCACTCCTGGTGGTGCATGGGGACCATAGGGGTTGTCGGGGGTGGAACCCGGGTCGGCAGCGTGCAAGGCCAACACCCTCCCTGCTGTCCCATCACTCCGGCCCCCTGACTGGATCTTCCGTTCCTATCCAGACACTTTGGAAAGAAAACACAAAACCTTTTCCTGATTTGTCTTAAGACACACTAGCTCAGGGCTGGAGCCACAGCACAGAGGATAGGGCGTTTGCCTTGCACGCAGCCAAACCGGGTTCGATTCCCAGCATCCCATGTGGTCCCAAGTACCACCAGGAGTGATTCCTGAGTGCATGAGCCAGGAGTAACCCCTATTCATCACCAGGTGTAACCCAAAAAGGAAAAAAAAAAGACACTGGCTCAGGCTGCAGGACAGCCCAGCGGGTAGGGTGCTGGTCTTCCACATGACCAGAGACCCAGGTTCTGTCCCCGGCACCCCACAAGATCCCTGAACACAGAGGCAGGAGTAAGCCCTGAGCACTGCCAGGAGTATTCCCCTGCATAAAATTTAAAAAAAGAAAGAAAACGAAGAAACAATCCTGTTTTTTTGTCATTTTGAAGATAAAAACACATGAGGGGCCAGAGTACTGTAGGGGCATTTGCCTTATACGCGGCCAACCCGGGTTCGATCCCTGATATCCCATATGGTCCCCCGAGCACCGACAAGAGAAATTCCTGAGTGCAGAGTCAGAAGTAACCCCTAAGCATTGCTGGGTGTGGCCCCAAAAGCCAAAAAAATTCAAAAAAAAATTAAAACCACACGTATTTGCTATTTCTAGAGGAAACATTCTGGGTAGATCGTGGGGGGTGGGGGAAGCGAGTCCGGTCACAGGCGGTGTTCCCAGAGCCAGAGGCTGCCTTACCCGCTGGGGTCAGTGTTCACTTGCTCGCAGAAGTTCTGGATGGCTGACCAATCCTGCTCGGGGGTGCTTGGGTCCGTGGCTTTGTCTGCCAGAGGGACAGAAAGGGAAAGTGTCATGAGGGGCCAGAGGCAACAGCACTTGCTCAAGAGTACTAGGGCGCTTGCCGTGCACGCAGCTGACCAGGGTTCGATCCTCGAGACCCCGTTATGGTCCCCCGAGCACTACCAGGAGCGATTTCCTGAGTGCAGAGTCAAGAGTCAGTCCTGACTCTTGAGCACTGCCAGTTGTGGCCCCAAAACCAAAGCCCAGGGGCTGGAGCGAGAGCACAGTGGGTAGGAGTTCAACTTGCATGCAGCTGACCCGGATTTGATTCCCAGTATCCCATAGGGTCCCCTGAGCACTGCCAGGAGTAATTCCTGAGTGCAGAGCCAGGAGCAACCCCTAAGCATCACTGGGTATGACCCAAAAAGAAAAAACAAATCATTTTCAAAAAACACCTTGAGGGGCTGGAGAGATAGCATAGCGGGTAGGGCGTTTGCCTTGCACGCGGCCGACCCGGGTTCGATTCCCAGCATCCTATATGGTCCCCTGAGCACCACCAGGAGTGATTTCTGAGTGCAGAGCCAAGAGTAAGCCCTGAGCACCACTGGGTATGGACCAAAAAGAAAAAAAAAATGTGGGGGCGAGGAGGGGGGGTTGAGAGAGGTTTAGCCCTATCTAGAAGGAAGATCCTGCCCAGGGCCCTAAATGGCTGACAGGGAGGTGCTCCCACCAGGGGCGCCCCACCCCCTCACCCATTCAGCTGCAGTGCTCCCCTCCTCAGCCCTCCCCGTCCTCAGGAGTAACTCCTGAGTGCAGAGCCAGGTGTAACTCCTGTGCATCGCCGGTGTGACCCCCCCCAAAAAAAAACACCTTGAAGAGTAAGGCACCTGGCTGTTCCCAGAGGGTGGAGCACAGCCCCCCTCCTCCCACCCGGACTCCACTCCCTCCCCCGCACCATGCCCTCCCCCTGCCCCCTATAGCTCTGCCCATGCTGCAACTCTGAACCTTGGCCTCCCTCCTCCAGAGCCTCCACCTACCCTCCAACCTCCCTGTCCCTCTTTTATAATGGGGACCCCTCTGGGGGAGGAGAGGGGATCAAACAGCCTCCAAGGTCTGAGCTGAAGCCTGAGCCTGGGTTCTACTTCCAGCAGACCGATCTCCCCACCCCCAAAAAAGGGGATTTCCACCCTCCATCCTTGCTGGGGTCACGGCCCTGTGCTCCTGAGCCCGAGTTCCTCAGAAAAGAGGAAACCAGAGCTTTTCTCAGGAACTCGTCTATTTTTCTGGCTGTTTCTGTTGGGGGCCCTCCCAGTGCTTGGGGATCCCCTAAGCGCAAAGCCTGGGCCTGGGAGGGAGAGCCCGGAGGCGGGAAGGGCTATGCCTGGGATTTGCTAGAATTCTCTCTCTGGCCCACAGGGAAGGATCCTGAGATGAGCGTGTCTGAGCAAAACTCAGGTTGGGGGGCCGGGGAGACACAACAGCGGGGAGGGCGCTGCCTTGCGCACGGAGACCTGGACACCCCGAACGGTCCCCAGAACCCTACCAGAGCTACCACCTCCTAAAAACCCCGACCCAAACCCGAACAAAAAGAATCCCAGCTCGAGGTCGCCTCCTTCTTTGGCTGGGGATGTGGCCAGGAGAGCTCCTGCCTTCCTTGCGTGTGTGAAGACCTCGGTTCGATCCCAGACACTGCCAATGAACCCCTAAAGCAGCGATTCTTGGGGCGTCTGACCCAGAGGGTCCGAGTCGTCTGCGATTCTGCACCCCTGAAGCTTGACGAGACTTCATTAGCGCCAAGGTTAAGGCAGCTCATGAGGAGAGCACCAACACCTGAGCAGGGGACTGGACGAGGGACAGAGAGGCCCGGCGGGGTGAGCGCCAGCCCCCGCCTCCCCGCCAACGGCAGAGAATGCAGCCGGAAGGAAGGAAAACCCACCGAGCTGAGCCAAGCGCCAAGCCCTCCGCCGTGACAAAGCAACACGATGATCTCAGAGGTCTGAGATAGTTCCGGTTTCAAAAACTGACTTTTTTTTTTTTGTCTCGGGGGCCCACATCCAGCAGTACTTAGGAACTACTCCCAGTTCAGTGCTCAGGGGTTGCTCCGGGAACCACAGTGTGGCTGGGTCTCCAGCATGCACAGTACTCGCTCAGGCTCGCTGAGCCACCTTCAGCCCCCAAGACACCGTGCTGGGCAGAGAACACTCAGGAATTCGCCTTAAGAAAAGCAACGTCTTCGGCACATGACAGACCCCAGAGCAGAACCCACCCCAGCAGAGACCGCGCTAGGAGCAGAGCCCTCCGCACCCTCCTCCCCGCAGGACCCTGCTCCAGACCACCTGCCTCCACTCAGCTGAGCCCCAGGGCGTGTCTGAGCCCAAGAGAGGAGGAGCTCAGAGGACACACATTTCCCTGGGAAGGGCCCTGTCATCAAAGTGCTCCCTGGGGTATAAGCAGTGCACTGCACACGGCCCGACCCGTGCTGACCCCCTCACCCCCACCAGGGTGAGCCCTGAGCACAACGCCAGGAAAGACCCTTGAGCACTGAGCCAGGAGGGACCCCTGAACAGAGAATCAGGAGTGACCCCTGAACACAGAGCCAGGCGTGACCCCTGAGCACAGAATCAGGCGTGAACCCTGAACACAGAGCCAGGAGTGAGCCCTGAGCCCTGAGCCAGGGGAACCTGCCTGCAAGTGCTCTAACTTGTGATGCTGGCCCCGCCACCCAGACCACTCCCACACCCCCAGGGGGACAAAGAAGGACCAATGGGAACGCAGGGCACCCCGCCTGGACAGAGAAAAGCTCTCCTAAACAGAGCAGGCCAGTGGCCCCGAAGGGGTAACCCAAGGGACCCAGAAGCTCAGATGTGGCCCTGCCTGGCACAGAGAGGGTTAACAGCTGGCCACACCCCACTGGACAGGCGCTATCTCTCCCCACATGGGTGCCCAGGACCAAAATAAACCCAGGGAGGGTGGCTGTGCAGGGCAGGGAGGCCCTGGGGCCCCATGGGGCACCTTTGAGCTTCCTGGTGTCCAGCAGGGGGTCTCGGGCTCAGCCAGCCCCGGTTGATTCCTGCCTCCAGCCCAGGGAGAGCACCACCGTAGCTGGTGCCAGGGGCTATCCTAAGTGTCAGCCAGATTCACTCTTGGGGTGTGTGATGCCCCCCGGGGGGATTTTCACTCTTCTCTGGCAGAGCCTCAGCTGCCAGAGCAAGGCCCTGACTCCGAGGTCCTCAGAAGACACCGGGGCAATGGTGCATCTTTTGTCAAAACAATGAATCTAATCAAAGTAGAGAGAGTGTTAACTAGAATTCATCTGCCTCACAGGCATTGGGAGGGTTGGGAGGGGGAATACTGGGGTTCTTGGTGGTGAAAAATGAGTACTGGTGAAGGGAAATGTGTTTGATGATTGCATGGCCGAGACTTAAACCTGAAAGCTTTGTAACTTTTCCCACAGTGATTCAATAAAAAAAAAAAAAAGAAGACACCTGGGGTGCTCTCCACTACTGCTATCTCTACACACACACACACACACACACACACACACACACACACACAGCACCACCAAGACATATCTCTGAGGTCCAAACTCGATCTCTTAAAATCCATACTTTAGTGGTGGTCTTGGGGTCACACCCACACTCAGGGTTTACTCCTGGCTCTGCACTCAGGAATCACTCCTGGCAGGACCCCCTGTGAAATGCTGGGGATTGAACAAGGTCAGCGCCCTCCCCACTGTACTATCGCACCGACCCCCTCCAAGTCCATTCTTAAACACTTTTCTTTGCATTCTTGTTGCTTTGGAGGGTCACACCTGGTTGTGCTGGGGGCTAACTCCTGGCAGGGCTCAGGGGGCCATATGTGGTGCCAAAGACTAAACCCGCGTCAGCCGTGGGCCAGATGCGCGCCCGACACACCCAACTAACGCTCCAGTCCCAACTCTTCGACTCTCACGGGAGCACCTTCCGCCAGGGGCCACCGTGTGGCATCTCCAGGGGCCATGAAAGGAGGTTGGGGGGCGCCTGCATCTAGAAGGTCAAGATGGGGGATTCCATCAAACTTCCTCCAACACAGGCCAGGCCCACAACACAGAATTCCTCAGTCCTGGGGGCCCAGCGCCACTGGCTGAAAACCCCGACTCTCGGGGGTCCTTTCTCCCCCTCGCCGGCCTCTCCCAGTGTCCCCACGACACCGCCAGCCCCGGCTCCATCTCGGCCCCCAACGTAACTGGGGTGGGGAGTATTACTGGGAAATGGGTTTGCCCGTGTACAGTCCTTAGCTCCTGCTTCAGACCCCGGGGACCTGAAGAGCTCTGCTTCCTCCGCACCGCCCCCTCCCCAACAGCTTCTGCAGCTACAGAGGAGGAGCTTCCCGAGCACTTCGGCAGAAACGGGCCCACGAGCACCCCACTCCGTTTCACGCCTTTACACTGCTGTTCTTCCCAGGTACCCGCTGTCAAACTTTTAAACACTATTTTTCATTTTGGTTTGGGCCTCACCCAGAAGTGCTCAGGGCTTACTCCTGGGTCTGTGCTCGGAGATTACTCCTGGCAGGGCTCGGGGGGCCATATGGGGTGCAGGGGACTGGACCCAGGTTGGACACACACCAGGTAAGTGTCTTACCTGCTATACAATCTTCTTTTAAAAAAAGAGGTAGGGAAGGTTGGAGCGACAGTACAGTGGGGAGGGCGTTTGCCTTGCACGCGGAGACCCGGGTTCGATCCTCAGCATCCCATAGGGTCCCCCAAGCACCGCCAGGAGTAATTCCTGAGTGCAGAGCCAGGAGGAACCCCTGAGCATCGCTGGATGTGACCCAAAAGCAAAACTAAAATAAAATAAAAAGGAGGTGGGCGAGAGAAAAAGGGGCCAGAGCGATAGTGAAGCGGTAGGGGGCTTGCCTTGCATGTGGCTGACCCAGGTTCCATCCTCAGTACCCCATACGGTGCCCTGAGCCCCACCCAGGAGGATCCCTTGGGTGGGCCAAGGACAGTGTAAGTTCTGAGCATCACCAGGGGTGGCCCAAACACCAAGCAACACACACACACACACACACACACACACACACACACTCACTCTCACACACAGGAAAACCAATCTAAATGTGTGTCTGTGGAGGTGGAGTGACAATACAGTGGGGAGGGCAGGGTGTCTGCCTTGCACAAGCCAACCTGGGTATGGACCAAAAAGCAAAAAAAAAAAAAAATGTGGGGGCGAGGAGGGGGGGTTGAGAGAGGTTTAGCCCTATCTAGAAGGAAGATCCTGCCCAGGGCCCTGAATGGCTGACAGGGAGATGCTCCCACCAGGGGCTCCCCACCCCCTCACCCATTCAGCTGCAGTGCTCCCCTCCTCAGCCCTCCCCGTCCTCCTCCTCAGAGACCTTCCGGCCCCTCCATCAGACTGAGAAACCTCACCAGTGACGTGGGGGGGGGGTCACACCCCCGGAATCCCGCTTCCCCCACCTCAATCTAGCAGTACACGCCCCGGGGATCAGGGCTCGGGGGACCCCGTTTCTCCCTGTGCCCGCTGAGGCTGCTTGTCCCATCGCTTCCTGAATGCCGAGGATCCCAACTCCCACCTGGGCTGCCTGCGCCCTGTCCAGGCTCAGTGCGGGCCCCTCCCCCCGGCCCCTGCCATGGCCTCCACCCGCCAGGGCTCTCTGACAAGCAGCTGCCAGCTGGGGGTGCTGGGAAGGGGCCCCATGAGAAAGGGGGAACCTGGGCACCCACCAGCCACACCGCAGACCAGCTGCTCCTGCCCAGGGCCTGAGCCGGGCGCTGGCCTGCAGCCCGGGGCCACGCACAGCGCTCCAGATGGACATCCACTCCCTGTCCTCATCATCCCTCCATCCTCACTGCCCTGACCCGACCTGAGCCCCTAACCACTACCTAGATAACTTTTTGGGGGGCGTGGTGAGGGTTGGGGTCCAACTTAGGGCTCCCTCCTGGCTCTGTACTCAGGGAGCCTGATGTGGTGCTGGGAATGAAACTGGGGTCGGCCCCACCCAAGGCAGGCGCCTGACCTCCACACTCTCTCTCCAGCCCCTACTCAAGCATCTTTTTTTATTCTTGTATTTTGGGAACAACGCCCGGAGGTGCTCGGTGTTCACACCTGGAGGTGCTCAGGGGGCCATGTGGGGTGCCGGAGATGGAATTCAAGTGAACGACACACAAAACAAATGCCCCACCTGCCGGACCCTCCCGCTGGCCCCTCAAAACATCTTTTTTAAAAACATGAAATTAATGTTGGCTTATGACCTTGGGAACGGGTTCAGAAGTCCAAGGACACACCTTCTCAAATGCCTGATACCCTCCACACCTCCACCGAAGCACTGATAACCCCCCCTCAGCCCTCTGCTGTGTCTGCCTGCCCTTGGGGGCCATGCTCGGTGACTCCAGAAGGGACCCCTCCTGGGGCTCCACATGAGTGCCAGTCTCCACCCTGTTGGCACACCTCATGGTTGGGAGGGGACTCTCAAGCCCACCTGCCCAGTCAGGAGGACAGCCAGAACCCAAGGGCTTGCAGGCTGGAGCGGTAGTACATCAGGGAATTTGCCTTGCACACGTCTACCCCGGGTTCGAGCTCCAAGCCCCGCCAGGAGTGATTCCTGAGCACAGAGCGAGGAGCAAGCCCTGAGCATCACTGGGTGTGGCCCAAGCACAGCCAAAATCAGAACCCAAGGGTTTGCTGTGCTGTGTCTGTTCCTCTGCTTTATTCCTCATACTTTTTGGGGGGGAGGGGATCAAAAACAGTGACAACAAGTTCACAATGGAGACGTTACTGGTGCCTGCTTGAGCAAATCGATGAACAACGGGAGGACAGTGCTACGGTGCTTTTTGGGTCACACCCAGTAATGCTCAGGGGTTCCTCCTGGCTCCGCAGTCAGGAAGACTCCTGGTGGTGCTCGGGGGACCATATGGGATATCGGGAATCGAACCCGGGTCGGCCGCATGCAAGGCAAATGCCCTCCCCGCTGTACTATAGCACCGTCCATTTTTCTCGTCTGTTTTTAATCCCCCTCCTTCCCTCGGTGCCCCGTCGCTGTGGCAGGCTGCACTCCGGCCGCTTCACACCCGGCAGCTGGCTCTCTGGCGGAGGCGCCGGCTCCTAGCAGCACACGAGCGCTGGTTGTGGTGGGCAGCTTGGGACCTCCGCAGTGCTCACTCGGTCTCACCAGAAGCCACCACAGATCTTGCATCTTTTTACTAGCAGTGCTCACTGGAAGGAAAGGGGTGCTGGGGAAGGGGGCTGGGGGAGATGGGGGGAATCACACCCTTGAGTGTCTGGTGCCAGGGAATACAGGCAGCCGAGCTTTCGGGAAGCCCACAGCGCATGTGGGGCACCTGGGTTTCAAACTCATGACCAGATGCTGCAGTGTAGGTGCTCGAGGTGCTCGTGTGAGTCCTCAAGGCCCCCTGTGCTGTGGTTCCAACGTTTCTAACCCAAGGATGCTTCTAACAGAAGAACCTGACCACAGCACCTCTCGCTGAAACACCAACACTCCCCTGGACCGCAGATTAAAGCATCAAACTCCTGGGACTGGAGGGAGAACAAGGCTGGCAGGGACGTGCCTTGGACCTGGTCAATTTGGTTTGATTCCCGCCCTACCCGCTATACGACAGGTCCAGCCCCCAATGTTCTTCTTCTCTTGGGGGGGGGGGGGGTGGCGACACATCTGGTTCCCCGAGGCACAGCCAGGACCGATCCCTGAGCACGGAGCCAGGAATAAGCCCTGAGAGGTCCCAGCTGTTGTCCAAGAACCAAACACATATGCATCATAAATACGAACTCCTGTTTGGGGTTGGGGACCCACCCGGGCAGGCTTGGGAACAGAACCCGGGTCTGCCACGTGCAAGGCCAAAGCACCCTGCCCACGGGGCACTCGCTCCAGGCCCTGACGAAACTCCCTTCTGAGCAAGCCAAACCCCTGTTTGCTCTCCAGGCTCTGCTCCTGCCCCACTTGGCTTTGCGCTGGCGACCGGCTCCTGCCTATGGAGTCTCCTGCTCTGAGGCCTCCTGCTCCACCGGAAAGCTGTCTCCCTGGGGACCCTGCTGCTCCTTTAAACAAACACCCCCACCCCCCCACAACCACCCACCCTCGTGATTTACAACCAGGCCCTGTCCTGGGGGGGAAATCAGCTTGGATCCACTAAAACAAAACAAAACAAAAACCCCCATGGTTCTGGAAGCCAGCGCCCAGCAGGCACACTACACACAATGGGCCATGTCCTACCTCCTCTGAACCTCGGTTTCCCCTGGAGGTCAGGGAGACCACAACACACAATGTTCCTGCGGAACAGAACCCGGGAACAGATGGGATGCAGAGGGGGATTAAGGGGGAACAGATGTCCAAGCTGGCCAGGGGCGGCCTGTGCCAAAGGGACAATGAGCCTGTGTGGACGTTCAAAGCTGCGGCCAGGGCCAGAGAGAAGACAGTACAGCAGGGAGGGCGCTTGCCTGGCGCCCGGCTGACCCGGGTTCGATCCCCAGCACCCCCACTGGGCCCCCCGCAGGCGCCCCCCGGCCGACCCCTGCCAGGAGTGACCCCTGAGCCGAGTGCAGAGCTGGAGTCAGCCCTGAGGACTGCGGGGTGTGGCCCCCAAGACAAAAAAAAAGAAAAATTAAAGAAAAGCTCCAGTTTTGCAAGCGGGCTCGCGGCCGCAGAGGCTGGCGGATGGGGCGCTGCTGGCCCCCCAGCCCCGGCCCGGGGTCCCTGTCGCTGGCTCGGAACCGGGGTGAATAATGGACGCGCTCTCGGGGTGGTCAGCGTGGGACTGGCCCAGGGGCAGGGTCGGAGGAAACGCTGCGGACGCCAGCGCGCGAGGGCGAGGTCCGCGCACCGCCAAGGCGGCTCCGGCTGGCCCGGGAAGGTCCTGGGGTCCTGGGGGGGGTGGGGGGGCTGCGGGGCCACCTGCCCTTCCCGAGGGTCCGCGGAGGACGGCGGGGCCTCACGTGCGGCGCTGGACCCGCGCCAGGGGCGGCCCCGGTACTCACTGAGCCACAGCTCCAGCGCCGCCGCCGCGGGCGGGCGCGGGGCGCCCTCGGCCGCCTCGGCCCCCGCCGCCACCGCCGTCGCTGCCATGCCCGGCCCGGCTGCTCGGGGACCGCGTCCAGCCCCGCGTCCACCCCCGCGGCCGCCGCCGTCTGGCGCGCTCCGGGGCTGCCGACGCGGCAGGCGCGGGGCGGCACGTGACCCGCGGGGCGGGGCGGGGCGGGGCTGTTGGAGCCACGCCCACCCGGGAGGCCACGCCTCCGCCGAGCCCGGGCGGGCGGGGGGCCACTCGGGAACCACCCCGGACACACACACACACACACACACACACACACACACCCCTCTCCCGGCCCACCCGGGCAGCTTTGCCCATCTGGACCTGCGAAAGTGGATTTGCCAGATAACAGAAGGTCATGCCCATCTCACCTTGAATTTCAGATAAACAAGGATCAATCGTTTTAGCATCTTTTTTTAAAAAATATTTTTATTTTGGTTTGGGGACCACACCCAGCAGTGCCTAGGGCTGACTCCTGGCCTGGCCGGGGGCTGGGGGAACCAGTGGAGCACCCTGCAGTGCTTTGCAAAGGCTTGCTCCTGGCTCTTCTAGCCGGCTTGGGGACCATAGGAGGCGCCTGGGATTGAACCTGGGTCAGCCACTTGCAAGGCAAGCATCCGATCTACCGTATTCCCTCTCCAGCCCCTTTTTTTGGTAAATTTTTAAATGTTTTTTATTTTATAAAGTAGTTCACGATATTTGATTACATTTGATATTCAAACACCAATCCCACCACCATTACTCCTTCCCACCACCATATTTTAGATGTTTCAATCACGAGCCCTAATCTCTGCCCCAAAGCAGAACTGAAATAATATGTTTTGTAGCCTGGCAAGCTACCGAGAGTATCTCGCCCGCATGGCAAAGCCTGGCAAGCTACCCGTGAGGTACTCGATATGCCAAACACAGTAACAATAAGTCTCATGATGGAGACATTACTGGGTCCGCTCAAGCAAATCAATGACCAACAGGAGGACAGTGCAGTGCATTGTTGTTTATCATGAAAAAACACTCAAAATGCTACAAAAAAAGTATCCTTAGAGGAAAGAGTGTGTAGGTTGTCGTATTTCACCCAGGGGCCAGTAAGCCCTTCTACAAGAGATCACTAATATGCTGTTAAAGGTTGAGCCTTGTGTGCTATAGATAGATACATAGATAGATAGATAGATAGATAGCTATAGATATATACATATATATGTTTTAAAAAAAGTATATTTCCCTCTAAGCTTGGTTGCCTCCTACTTTGAACCCTATCAAATGTGGTGCAGCAATCTTGGAGTATGGGTAGGGTGTGTGGTTTAAAGTGTCATGCGGCTGCGAATATGGCCACACAGTCCAGGAATACATTCATTCACGGGTGAGGTTCTGCCCGAGTGTGTGGAGAGCGGCTGTGAGCATGGCGGCGGCTGAGTTCTGGGGGTTTTCGGCGGCTGGTGCTGGGTCCCTAAGGACGAGAAGGGGTGCCCCGAGTTAAACAGCCTAGCGCGGGTTCTGGCGGCATGGTTATCCAGCCTCTCTTTTAAGTATTTGTTTTTCCTTCTGGTGTTTGGGCCACACACAGCAATGCTCAGGAGTTACTCCTGACTGTGCTCAGGGATCACTCCTGGCAGTGCTCCAGGGTCTATATGGGTCCCTGGGGATGGAACTTGGATCTGCCATGTGCAAGGCAAACGCACCGTACTATAGCTCTGGCCCCTGTTTTAGCATTTTTAAGGCTAACTAAAGTCCTCCTAGACCACCACCTCTAAGAAGACACCTCCCTGATTTCTCTCTCTACTCTGCTTTTGTTCACAACACAGAACAATGTACTGGACATTGACTTGCTTATTTTATTAAAGAACAATCCCTCCCCCCAAAAAAAATCACACTTCCCATATATTATGTAGTCAATCAATCACAATCACAATCACAACCATCCTGTTGTTCGTCGATTGCCTCGAGCAGGCCCCAGTAACGTCTCCTTCGTCCTAGCCCTGAGACTTTAAAAAAAAAAGTGCCCTATTCAAGGCTCTTTCAGAGTTAGGAGAATGAGACCCTTCATTGTTACTAGTATTTGGCATATTGGGTACGCCACAGGGAGTTTGCCAGACTCTGCCGTGTGGGCAGGTTAGATTCGGTAGCCTGCCAGTTTGTCCAAAGTAGTATTATGTAGTCAACCTATACTAAATATTTCATTCTTCCAATAGCTTGAGCACCATCCGCTCTGAGCACCAGAACTGAGCAGGAGGGTATGACCACTTTTCAAAGGGAGATTGGGGGCCAGAGTGGTAACAGTGGGTTGGGTATTTGCCTTGTATGTGGCCGACCCAGGTGTAATCTTTGTCATCCCACATGGTCTCTAGGGCACTGCCAGGAATGATTCCTGAGTGTGGAGGCAGGAGAAAACCCTAAACATCGCTGGGTGAGACCCAAAAAGCTGAATAAATAAATGCCAGACAGCTGTTTTTCATAGGTCTGGGGCCAGGCAGACCCAGCACCTGGTGGCAGGAGCCCACGGCCTGGTTTGCAGAGGGCCGACCCCCTGCTGATGTTCAGGAGCACTGTAGCACTGTCCTCCAGTTGCTCAACTATTTGCTCAAGCGGGCACCAGAAACGTCTCCATGGTGAGACTTGGTGTTACTGTTTTTGGTATATCGAATATGCCACGGGGAGCTTGCCAGGCTCTGCCGTGCGGGTGGGATACTCTCAATAGCTTGCTGGGTTCTCCAAGAGGGATGGAGGAATCGAACCCGGGTCGGCCACATGCAAGGCAAACGTCCTACCTGCTGTGCTATCACTCCAGCCTGACCCCCTGCTGATGTTCCGGAGCCGGGGGAAAGGCTTGTTTCTGCCCCTTAGCCAGCCGCTACCTATCAGAGGAGTCCCACCCTCCTGAGTTTGTCCAGAGTGAATTGCTTCCAAAGTTCCAAAATAGCATCACGTCAGGGGTAGACCTTCTGTACAGGAATTGTATTTTGTGGTGGAGATGGTTTGGTTGAATTTGCTGTCAGGCCACACGGGGCAGAGCTGGGATCAAACTCGGGGCTCTCCCATGAAAAGCATGTGGTCCAGCCATTGAGCTATCTTCCCAGGCATCATTTAAAATTTGACATGTATGTCAGTGGCTTTCAAACTACCAGATGTCAGCAACAATTTTTTGTTTTTTGTGTTTTGGGCCACACCTGGAAGTGCTCAGGGCTTATTCCTGGCTCTGTGTTCAGGAATCACTCCTGGCAAGGCTTGCGATGATGTAGGCAAGTACATATGGAAAGGTCCTGGGCAATAAAACTTAGGTCAACAGAACTTCTGGGAGGAAAATCCTCAGACTGATCCACCCTGTGGATACAGAAAACAGACCTGATAAGACCTTCAGCACACCCTGAGGAGGTTGGACCCCTCCCCATGAAGTTCCTATGAAAGACACCTTGAGAAGAGCCTATAAAAGACACCTTGGGCAAAGGAATGGCGCACGTATGCTGCCTGAGCCCACGTGCTGCCTGTGCCTGCTTGGCCGAGCACATGTGGTGCCTGAGCACGGGTCGCCCACATCTCCACTCTTGAGATGTGGACTTTGCTGCTTTCCTATCGAATGCTGGGATCTGCGTGTAGGGGCTCACTCTCCACCCTTGGAGAAGCCCTCGTTCTCTCTTGAGCACGGCACTCTGTCGCTTTTACTCTCCGCTCTCTCCCACTTTCTCTTCCTCCTTCCCTTTAAAACTCCTGCAAATAAAATCTGTTTTACTTCACTGCTCGTCTACTCCTGAAATTCTTTTCTGCGAGTGAGACAAGAACCCTGGGTAAGGCCTGGGACCGGATTCTCCTTTCCTGCAAAAAGCAAATCCTCGCCCCAGCTTGAGTCTGTGGCTCCCCAAGAAATCAGGTGGTGGGGATTGACTCCCGTGCCGAGAAGACCGCCTGGAGTGGGCTTCAGCGGCCACCTGGCGGGGCTCAAGCCCGTGCCAAGCAGGGGCTCATCACAGACTTTACCAGTCCTAGTCTTCCCAGTGGGTCCCGGGTGGCAGAGGCGGAGTGGGAGAAGGTGACTGTCTTTTTCTCCTCCTGACTCACGTGAGCCACCTGTGGGGTTCACCTACATCAGAGGGACCATATAGGGTGTCGGGGATCAAACCTGTATCATCACCTATATGCCAGGTCTGGCAACTATTTCTTTTGTTTGTTTGTGATATGGGTCACACCCAGCAGTGTTCTGGAATTTTTCCCAGCTCCATGCTCAAGAATCACTTCTGGCAGGGCTCAGGGTACCAGGGATCAAACCCAGCGCCCCTACATGGAAACATGAAATGAACTCGGCCCTTTGAGCATCTCTCTGATCCAGGCACTGTAGCACTGTCCTCCCATTGTTCATCGATTTGCTCGAGTGGGCACCAGTAACGTCTCCACGATGAGACTTGTTGTTACTGTGTTTGGCATATCGAATACGCCACAGGGAGCTTGCCAGGCTCTGCTGTGCGGGCGGGATACTCTCGGTAGCTTGCCGGGCTCTCCAAGAGGGACGGAGGAATCAAACCCAGGTCGGCAGCGTGCAAGGCAAATGCCCTACCCGCTGTGCAGGCCAAAAAGAAGCGAGAATAAGACCCTTTACTGCATGCCCTCTACATGCACCCTGCTTTAGCAGATGGCGGGAGAGCAGGGAGGGACCCACACACCCTTCCCCACCCTTTGCTCAAAGGCACGGACACATCCATTCCTCACGGGCATAGCAGTTTGTCGACACTGAATTTCAGTAAAACAGGATTTACAAGAAAGCACAGCAGTGAAGCCCCTTGTATGGGGCCGACCTCCGTTCTGTTCCCAGTGTCACACTGTCCCCTGAGCCCTGCGGGGTGCAGCCCTCGAGACCAGGCACATCTGTGGGTCACCTAGACCTCGCACATACATGAGGCAGAAATAAGGCTCCCATCTCCGATGATCGCCAGAGACATTCTATGTCTTTGCATGATGAAAGTAATGGTGCAGTCAACCGTACCCCAAAAGCATAAAATATTAATACTGGTATGTAACACACACACACACACACACACACACACACACACACACACACACACACAGAGTGAATTTTCATTTGGAAAATGAAGAAAACAGACCCTAGGATGGAACTTGAAGAACAGAAGATAAACTCTTGAGACTGCCTCTCCTTTGAATAGGAGCGTGAGCCTTAAGTTAAGAGAAGGAATTTGACGAAAAGAAGAAAAGCAATGAAGAGAAGAAGGAGGCTTGGGAAAGAGGGGCAGGGCAAGGAAATACGATCTGAAGGATTCACAGAGAGGCGTAAATCGAACTTGGGAGCCTTGGGTTTGATGCAAATGGTGCCGTAGATCTCAAGGGCCCTGACGTCATCAGAGCAGCTAAGACAGGTCAAAGTGATCAGATCAGACAGGTCTGATCCAGGGTCTGAGAGATATCTGCAGGTACTTGCCTTGCACATGGCTGACCTGGTTCAATCTCCAACATCCCATATGGTTCCCTAAGCACTGCCAGGAGCGAATACAAACAAAATCCAGTCCTATATTACCTGGAAGACTCGTTACATACAATGCAGAGTGTATTTCAGATTACACTAGTCTGGTATGAGGCCAAATCTCTTTTGGGGCCACACCCAGAGATGCTCACAGGTTACTCAGACAGTGACCAGGGGACTCTAAGAGTTGCTGAGGATTGCACATGGGTCGGCCGCATGCACAGTAAGTGCCCTACCCGCTCTATGCGCAGCCCAACCCCTTAAAAGTCTTTCTAGGGCCGGAGTGATAGTACAGTGCGGAGGGCGTTTGCCTTGCACGCGGCGGACCCAGGTTTGATCCCCAGCATCCCAGAGGGTCCCCAGAGCACTGCCAGGAGTGATTCCTGAGTGCAGAGCCAGGAGGAACCCCTGAGCATTGCCAGGTATGACCCAAAAAGCTGTCACTGTCCTCCCGTTGTTCATCAGTTTGCTCGAGCGGGCCCATTGTGACAACTGTTACTGTGTTTGGCATACTGAATACATCATGGGTAGCTTGCTAGACTTTTCCCTGAGGGCGAGATAGTCTCAGTAGCTTGCTGGGCTCTCCGAGAGGGGCGGAGGTATCGAACTCGGGTCGGCCATGTTGGCCGCTTGCAAGGCAAACGCCCTACCTTCTGTGCTATCACTCCAGCCCACCCAAAAAGCAAAAAATAAAAAATATAAAAAGTCGGGGGCTGGGGCGATAGCACAGAGGGTAGGGCGTTTGCCTTGCACGCAGTCAGCATGGCCGAACCGGGTTCGATTCCCAGCATCCTATATGGTCCCCCCGAACACTGCCAGGAGTAATTCCTAAGTGCATGAGCCAGGAGTAACCCCTGAGCATCGCCGGGTGTGACCCAAAAAGCAAAAAAAAATTATATATATATACATATATATATATAAAGTCTAATTAATTTCTAGGAGCTGTTGCTGCTGCCCTAACCCTCCACCCCCAAACCGGAAGGTTCTGAGCCGTGTGAGCTGTGAGGCAGTGGTCCAGGTGCTCAGTGCAGAATTAGGAGCAGCCTGCAGACAGAATAATTGGTGACTGCAGCGCAGTCTTCCTCGGCCCTTCTTTCCAGGCAGGGAGCCCTCTTGTGCACGTTCGCCTCTGGCCTCCCCTTCCCCTGGGACTCCCTGTGTGGTCCGTGGCCTGTCTCCCCTTCTGGATGATGAGCGGCCAGAGACAGGCATCCCGTCCACCTCGTGCGACTTCCGCCCCTTATCAGGAGCAAGCTGATGATTCCTCTGCCAGCACATTCCTTCCCGAACGCCTGATGGAAGTTTACGGCACCCCAACTCCATCTTTCTTCCCGTTTTTTTTGCTTTGGGTTTGGGCCACATCCAGTGGGGAGGTGCTAGAGGCTCTTCTCAGTGGTGGGCTCGGGAATTGTTCCCAGCAGTTCCCAGCTCTGGGAAACATATGGAGACTGGAAATGAACCCAGCATGTGCTCAGCTGGTCAAGTTATCTGACCCCCCCCACCCCCCACTATCTTTCCCCTTTGTGTTCTTTCCTGGAAACCTCCAAATCCTTCCCTCTGTTCTCTGTCAAAATGTCTCAGTGTGTGGCCAGTTAGCAAACGTAAAAAAGGCTAACATACAAAAACAAACAAAACCCAAGAATGAATGAGGGACACAGCTCATCAGCAGAGCAGCTGTTGCATATAGATAAAGCCCTGGGTTCCTTCCCTACGGTACAAACAAGAAAAAGATTTACACACACACACACACACACACACACACACGTTGGACGGATAGTACAGGAAGGTACTTGCCTCAATTTCAAGCACCACCTATGGTCCTCCAAGTGCCACTGGGAGTGATCCCTGAGCACAGAGGCAGAAATAAGTATTCGGCAGGTGTGACCCCCCACAGGAGGTAAAGCACTTCCCTCGCACACAACCCAACCCAGGTTCAATTCCTGGCATCACGAGCATTGCCGGCTAACACCCTAGAAAAACCCTAAAAAAAAAAAGTAAAATCCAAACCCCCCAAACAGTAGTCAGAGTAATAGTACAACAGGTAGGGTGTTTTCCTTGCACGCAGCCGACCCAGGTTCGATCCCCGGCATTCCATATGGTCCCCTGAGCACCACCAGGAGTAATTCCTGAGTGCAGAGCCAGGAGTAACCCCTGAGCGTGCCGGGTTGACCAAAAAGCAAAACAAAAACAAAAAAATCCCAAACCCCCCAAATCTTAAGGTCTTGCACTTTGCCCCTCATAGAGACACAGCTCAGTCGTCACTAGGCAAGTGGCTGCTTCAGACAGACAGGGCACCTGAGGCTGCCCAGTCCCACTGGCAGAGCCTTTGGGAGCAAAAGAACAGAGAGAATGGGGATGTGGGGGAGAGGAGGGTGCTGAAAGGAGGAAGTGGGCGGCCTGGGGGCAGCGGAGAGTGAGCAGAGGGCCCCCTCTGGACAGGGCTGCAGTCGCAGGGCCAGGAGAGTGAGGGGGACTGGGGTATTCCCAAGTCCTGGAAGTCTGGGCAGCTTTCCCGGAGCCTGTCCTGACCCTCACCCCGACAGTAAGCTGTTCTGCTGTTAGCTGGTTGCCATCTGGGTTGGTGATGGGCCCATTACCCTGTGTTGTGTGTGTGTGTAAACCTCCCGGGGGGGGGGGGGTCTCAGGGAGCAGGCCAGAAGTTCAGGGCTGGGGCCCTGCCATACCAGGGACAACCAGGGTCACAGCTGGCAGTGCTTGGCAGAGTTACATCTAGTGAGGCTCCAGTGGCCACATGATGCCAGGGATGAACCAGAGTCGGGCTCGCGCAAAACTATCGCCCTGACCCCTTCTGCCCCCCACCCCAGTGACTGGGAACCCCGACCTGGCTGGAGGCCTTTGCACCCCCGTCTCCTGGCTTCTCGGCCACTTCTGCCACAGTCTCAGCAGCCAATCCCGGCTCCAAGCAAGCCCATGTGGGTGTGAGTCCACTGCAGAACAAAGGCCACACAGGCTTCCTTAGTCCTGCCTTTCCCAGATGCTTTTTGGGGAATGGATAGAAGGGTTGGGTCACACCCGGCGGTGCTCAGGGCTTACTTCGGGCTCTGCACTCAGGGATCACTCTCGGTGGTGCTCGGGAGACCACATATGACGATGCCAGGGATCAAGCCCGATTCGTCCCCATGCAAGGCAAGAGCCCCCGACCCACCTCCTCCGTATTCTTTGACTCTCCTCAAGTCAGTCTCCAGTGGGTTCAAGCGAGGCAGAGCTGGTTTCTGTTGCTCACAGTCAAGAACCTTTATCCGAGTTACATTTCAAGCAAAGAGGAGTCTCAAAGCAGCTCGATGAACTTTCTTTTTCCTTTTTGGGTCATACTCAGTGGTGATGGGGGCTGCTCCCAGCTCAGGGCTTGAGGAAAAACACGCTAGACAGGTCCGGGACTCCTGTATGCGGCGTATGCTCTCACTCTGCTCCCGGGAGACTTCCCATCCCTTCCCCGTTCCCCTCGGCAAGGAGTATCAGCTCACGTCAGAGCTGGTTCATTCTCACACACCAGGTCACTTTGGACAATGAAGCGACATTATCTGCTCACTGGGGAGGGGTTGTCGGGCCACCACCCAGCAGTGCTGAGGGGCAGCACAGAACCCAGGTCTCACCCTTGGCGCTTTCTGTCCAGCACAATCTCTCCTGCTGTGCCCTGTATTCTGGGACCAGCTGCACCAGGTGGTCCTAACTCTGGATCTTTTTTTTCCGGGGGAATGGGGTCACACCCAGCAATGCTCAGGGGTTACTCCTGGCAGTGCTCGGGGATCGAACCTGGGCTGGCTATGTCCTCTGGCTTTACTATCACTGTGACCCTAAAGGTGGATACTTTCAGTCTTTTGTCGCTTGAAAATCACCACACAATGGATACAGAGAGACACATAAATATATACACACACCAGACTAGTGGCTTTAATTAAACATATGTGTGTATATATGTATAGTCACACACACATAATTGTCTCTGCCCACCTCTGGCAGTGCCCAGGGGGCCCTGTGGTGCCGAGGACCCAGCTGGCTTCCTGTGGCCCTGCCTGCTAGGCTCTCTCTAGCCCATTTGGCAGTGTTTCCTAACGCCAGCTCGAGCCCGCTGAGACGTGAGCCTCCAGGAATGTTCCGTGAATCTGCTCTGTGTGACGTGGTGCTGGCCACCAGGCAGCCTCTGGGGTTCAGAAGAGGGGCGTAGAGGTGCCCAGAGCCACCTGAGTGTCTGGGTCAATTCCTGCCTCCTGCCCCCGCTGTCCTGGGGCGCCGGGCCTCCTGCTCCTCCCCCTGGATGCAGCCGCTGCGCGTGCAGTCTCCTGGCCACCTGCTCTGGCCGCTCCTTGTCCCTCTAGCTGGACAGCAGTTTCTGGATCCGTTGCCGCACTTCCTGAGGGCCCAAGGACACCATCATCTCGGCGACCGGCGGGCCTTGCTGAGCGCAGAGAGAGGAAAGACAGTCTTACTGCCCTGGAAGCATCTGGGGGTGAGGGTGGGGGTGGGGGTGGTGAGGAGGGCTTAGGGCAGCTTTAGGCTTGAGGCTTGTTCCTGGCATGTGGTGCCAGGGACAGAGGCCCGCACTCCCCCATGCAGAGCCCGTGCCCCCACTGCCCTGCTCTACCCTCCAGGCAACTACCGTGCGCCTCCATCTAGAGCTACAGCCCAGCTGCCCCGGCGCAGTGGCCTGTCCCCCTCGCCTGTGGCACTAGGTCTGTCCCCTCAGTCCTCTCCCACAGGGTCTGCTGCCGAGACGCCTGCATGCAGCAGCCGTGGGAAACCCCAGGAGGGGCGAGGCCGCATCCCCCCCGTCTCTGCCGGCATGGGCGGGGTGCGGGGACACGTGCGGGCCCGCTGCCGGCCTCACCAGCTGCCCGCTGAGGGCCACCCGGAGGAGCTTCATCACGTGGCTGTGCTTGGTGCCCGGCAGCCCCGCCGACAGCTTCCTCAGCTCCCCGTTCAGCGCGTCCTGGGTGAGGCTCAGCCCGGGGCCGTCCAGCAGCCTGGGAGAGAAGCAGTTTCCTTAGGGGCTGCACTGGCCCAAGGCACGGGGAGGTGAGGGAAGAAGTCTGACTGACGATTCTCCACCCATTACGTCAGTGGCACCAGCGACGATCCCGCCTGCTGGGGTTGGCGGGTGGTGGGGAGAAGACCGCCCAGGGACCAGAGCAAGTGGGCAAGAGAGGAAGATGAAGAGAAGCCCCGCTAAAGGGCGTGTCCACTAATGGCTCCCTCTTGGCCGTCTCAGCCTCAGCTTTCTCACCTGTAGAGTGGAGCTGATCACAATGCCCGAGCCTCCCTGGCCACGTGTGGCTCAATTAAAACCTGGAGCTCCCCCCCCGGTCTGAGCAGGGCCAGAAGGGCTGCAGAGACCCCCAGGGAGCAGGTGCCGCGTTTCAAAACGCCAGGTATCAGCGATTACCAGCCACGAGACGTGCACACTTGGGAAGGAGTTGGGCAAAGACTGGACGAATGAAGCCCTCTGGGAAAGGACCCACAAATACTGCCTGACGCGTAATCGGGGGAGGCAAAGCACAGGGAGCAGAGAATGCGACTGGGGGTCCCAGCTCCAGGACTGGCCACCAGCTCGCCACCAGCACCCCGGACCTCGCCCTGGGCCGGAAGCACACAGGACCTAAAACCCAAGTGAGGGCTGGAGCCCTCGTCCACGATCCCAGACACTATTTGAACATCAGGAAAAAATTCATTCCCAGGGACAAGAGCAATAGGACAGGGGCCGGAGCGATAGTACAGCGGGGAGGGCGTTTGCCTTGCACGGGGCCGACCTGAGTTCAATCCCCGGCATCCCATATGGTCCTCCAAGCACCGCCAGGAGTAGTTCCTGAGTGCAGAGCCAGGAGGAACCCCTGAGCATAGCTAGGTGTGACCCAAAAAGTAAAAACAAAAGAGCAATGGGACAGCAGGGAAGGCATTTGCCTTGCAGGCAGCTGATGACTGCAGTTCAATCCCTAACATCCCATGTGGTCCCTCAAGACTGCCAGGAGTGATTCCTGAGCCCAGGGCTAGGAGTAAGCCCTGAGCATCGCTGGGTGTGGCTCAACAACAAAACAAAACAAAACAAAACAGAAAACTGAATTCCCAGTTGGCAGGACTCACGCGGCCTGTGGTGGCTCTGCTCCCCCACCTGGTCTCCGTCACTGCCGGGAATCCAGGCCGGAGAACGCAGCCGGGCAGAGGCTGGCCCGGCACTGAGCTCGAACTGAAGAAGCCTCGCAAGGCCAGGGCTTTCCTCGCTGGGAGTCTGTTCTGGGGCCGCTGGGTTTGCGCCAGACACCAGATCAGGCCCTGGTCCGCGACACGCAGCAACTGGGCCTGAGCACTGCTGCTTCCAGGTGGAGCTGTTGAGAACCAGCCTGGCAGCCCTCGGGGCACTGCGAAGGTGCTAGAGCAGGGGAGGGCCGCACAGCACCTGGGATGGAAGCGGGCCCGGTGCTCACAGGCAAGGCACGGACTCCTGTCCTTGGCGTCTCCCCTGCCGAAATCTTATTTCTTGGGTTTTCGTCTGTGGGCCACAGCCGGTGATACTCGGTGGGATCCAGTGCTGGGGACTGAACAAGCACCCCCTGCCCATCTGTCATTTTTGGATCACACCCAGCTGAGCTCAGGGGTCACTCCTGGCAGGCTCAGGGGACTCTATGGAGTGCCGGGAATCGAACCTGTGTCCACTGCATGCAAGGCAAACACCTGCCCGTTGTACGACTGCTCTGCGATCCCCATCCCTTTGTGTGTGTTTTTTGTTGTTGTTGTTGTTGTTGTTCAAACCAGGACTCCATTAAGGCAAGGTACATGGTCAACCCCTGGCTCAAATTATTGGGAAGTACAAAAAGTAATGAAAGAAAGAAACAGAGATTCAGTGCCGTGAACCATTAGACAGGGATCCGAGTGGTTCTTCAGGATAAAAATCTGACTGGATGAAAATCACATTGAAACTTAATAAACTTTGAGTGATTTAAAAAAAAAAATGAAAGAACAGGTGTTCTCCTCCCTGCCACGGTGGGAGGGCAGGCTGGCAAGGAGCAGGGAGGCAGGTCTCAAGACCCAGTGACGGCAGCTGAAGCATCCAGAAGACACTTCTAGACATTCTGGCAGCTTCTGACCGTCTCTGGGTGCCGGCTTTCCTGGCTTAGGGTGGGAGGTGGTCCCTGAAATCTAATCCTGTGGCAGGGTGAGGAGTGAAGATACTAGTTCCTGGGAATCAGCATCTACAGTACCCCGCAGTAAGGGATATTATGAACCGACTCCAGCTCCTGGGAATGTATCCCAGAGAGGGTCTGCAATCATGCCCAATGACGCCCAGGTGAGGTGATGCACCGCAGGCCTGTCTGTAAGGAGCAGCCTCTGGAAACAGCCCAAGTGCCCATCAGCAAGAAAGGAGTTAAGTGAACCTGGCACAGGGGGCTAAGAATGGAACAGGGGCGGGACCGGGGAGGAAGGAGGCTGCTCTGAGCACTGGCCTGGTCGAAGCCGCAGTTGGAAGGAAAATACCCTCAAATTCCCGGAACGCAGAACACGGTTAGTAGCTAATCTTAACAGCAGCAGCAACCTCCAAAATACATATTTAAATCAACGTTATCTCAAAAATCTTAACAATAAAAACTAAATCCAAAAATAAACCCCAACTAGTAACTGGGTTCTGGAACTGGGCAGGCAGATAGGAGACAAGGAGTGAAAATGAACTCCTGGGGCTGGACTGATAGTACAGCAGGGAGGGCGTTTACCTTGCACAAGGATGACCCGGGTTCAATCGCTGGCATCCCACAGGGTCCCCTGAGCATTACCAGCAGTGATTTCTGATTGTAGAGCTAGGAATAACCCGAGTATCGCTGGGTGTGACCCAAAAACGAACCATTCTGTGTGTGTGTGGGAGGCGGGGGGGAAATGGTACTCCTCTTATAAATCCTTTCAATTATTGCTAGTTTTTTGTCTCTTTTCCTGCAGATTGGTTGATTGGACGGCCACAGACTGATCTGCTCTGGTTTTTCTCTGGTTCCTGGGCTACCCCTGGTGATGCTTGGGGCTCACTCTGGCAGTGCCGGGTGTGGGGCCCCAAATGGGGCAGGGCTCAGAGTCCATGCTCAGCCTCTGGCACCCTGTCCAGCCTGGGTCCTCTAGGGGCAGGAATTCTCTGAGCAGGATACATGGGTGCCTATTACACTTTTCCCCCCCTGCCCTTTTTTTGGTGGGGCGGTTGGGGCCACACCTGGGGGTTTTCAGGGCACACTCTTGGCAACGCACTCAGGGCTGACTCCTGGTAGTGCTCATGAGCCCACAGGGAGTTCTGGGGATCAGACTCAGGTCGGCTGCATGCAAGGCAAGCACCCGACCCACTGGACTGTCACTCCAGCCCCCCAAATCACCTTTCCCAGCTTCCTTAGTGTAGTCTGGTCATCGGCAGGCTGTGAGTGTTTGACTTTTGGTGGGTGGGCAGCTGAGTCATACTCAAGGGTGGTGCCAGGGATCGAACCAGGACTGGCCACATGTGAGGCAAGTGCCTTCACTCCCGTTCTCTATCCAGTCCCTGAATGTGTAATTTTTTTTTTTTAAAGCTTGCTTTGTTTATTGGGGTTACATCTGGCAGGGCTCAGGGGACCATCTGGGGTGCTGGAAATCGAAGGTGGGCTAGGTGCGTGCAAGACATTTATGCTGTCAGCTGTCCTATTTCCCTGGCCCCCAAGAACGTGTAACTTTTAAGTCAAGTCCTCGGGGAAGGGGTGTCCTTGCCCTCCCCTGCTTCCTCCTGCCTCCTCAGGCTGGACTGAGAATGGTCTGCAGCCACAAACCACAGAAATGTGAGTGAAACCTAAGAACAGAGGGTCTCTGGGGACAGATGTGGAGGAAAGCAGCCTGCCCTGCTCCCTGTAAGAGGAAATGCGCTTTGTTGGGGTCAGCCTACCCCTCAGCTCCGGGAGAGGCCTCCTCCCCCCGCCACAAACACACACACACACACACACACACACACACACACACGCACACACCCTCAACCCAACAGATACACACACACACACACGCCCCCTTATCCCACAACACACACACACACACACCCCTGCCCCCTCACCCCAACACATCCACACGCGCCCCCTCACCCCGAGACACACACACCCACTCACCCTGCTACACATACCCCCCCCACACACACACCCTCACCCTGACAAACACACACCCCTCTGAGGAAAGGGACCAGCAGAGAAGCACACGGGGCAGAGAGCTAAAGGGAAGGAGAGACACAGGTCCTGGGGCCAGCTCTGTCCACGCTGGGACTGGGTAGAGCCAAGACTGGCCATTGCCCCCCCCCATAAAGATGCTAAGGGAGTACACATGGGCAAGGCAGCATGGGGAGGACCCTCGTGCCAAGGAAGCCAGCGAGTGAGCCCCTTGGCTCCTTCACTGGCCACGGCCATGCCCCGGGAGAGAAGGGGGCAGAGGAGAGGCAGGGCGGGAGGGGCAGAGACTCTTGAGCTGGGCCGGAACTCACCCCAGCACGCGCCTGGCGATCACCTCTGCCTCCTCCGTGATGGCCCCCAGCTGCGCCTGGGCAACGGTGGGGCGTGTCCACAGGTAGGCGTGTGCTGGGGAGACCAGGTCCTGCAGGCGGCCAATGTGACCCTGTTGGGAGAGACGGCACTGAAGGCCCCAGGGCTGGGCAGGGGCAGGGCGCTGCCCACTGGAGCCTCTAGCCCCACCTGTCCTGGCAGGACGATCTTGTCCCGGTAGACAGGACCCCCGACCCCACCTGTCTCAGCAGGACGATCCTCTCCAGGTAGGCAGGCTCCAGGACTGCCCTGTCCTCCAGCTGGCTCCCGAACGCCTCCTCCACCAGTGCCCGCAGCTTCCCGACCAGCTGGTGCCGCTGCGGCTCACTGCCCAGCAGCCGGCGGAGGTGCAGCCTGTGGACGGCAAGGGACGGTCCCACAGCTGACCCGGGCCTGGCTCCCACAGACCCTTCTCCCGGGGAGCAGGCTGAGTGGGAAGACTGATGCCTTTGGTCAACCTCCCCAGCCTTGAGCAGCTTTCTCTTGGTTTGGGGGTCACATCCAGCAGTGCAGGGGGCACAGGAAACCGTGAGGTGCTGGGGATCAAACCTGGGGCTCCAGAATGCAAACCATGCCCTCCGCCCCCCAGAATTCTTCCCCAAAGGGAACGAGCTCTTCCAGCTAGTCAGAAACAGGCAGCCCGGGAGCCTCGTGTGTGAAACTGTTGTCCCAATGAGCAGCTCACGCTCTGCCTATTTTTGAGTATCTGAGTATTTTAGTGGTGCTTCGTGGCTGTTCCCTGCTCGGTGCTCAGCAGGGGACGGAACCCAAATGAGATCCAGCCCATTTGTTTTTCTCTTCAGCCCAAGCAGCTGGACAAATTTAGTCTTTTTTCTTTTCTTTTTGGGTCGTGCAAAGCCAGGAATAACTCCTGGCGGTGCTCGGGGGACCTTCTGGGATGCTGGGAATCGAACCCAGGTCGGCTGCATGAAAAGCAAACGCCCTATCCGCTGTACTATTGTTCCAACCCAAATTTAGTCTTTTATATTTGGCTTTTAGGTCACACAATCTGGCAGTGCTCGGGGCCAACTCCTGGTGGGCTCCGGGAATCAAATGGGGTGCCGGGGATGAACCCTAGGTCAGCTGCGAGCCCGGCAAAAGCCCTCCCCACTTCACTATCGCTCCAGCCCTGTAGGCAGCATTTGACAGCAGGAAGAGAGCGTCCAGGGACATAGAGACTTTGGGCAGAAGAACTGGCGCAGAGACTTCCACTTCCCCCTATCTGGCTGGCTCATGAGCCCTTTACTTGGGGGAGGCAGAGTCGTGGGGCACGAGGACCCTGAAGCAGTGCCCGTGCTGCCGGGCCACCCACCTGCCCCACTGCCCTCTCCCGCGGGACCTGGCTGGCCTCTGAGGCCCTGAAAGTGGTTGCCGCAAATATGGGGCTCTGGTCTGGAAAGACAGCGGAAGAGGAAGGACTTGGGGGCCAGAGAGAGAGCATGGCGGGGTAGGGTTTGGTTCCTGGTGGCCCAAACGGTTCCCGAGTCCTGCCAGGAGAGATTCTCAAGCACTGCCAGATGTGACCCCAAAACAAAAACACGAAGCACAAAAGTATGTTTCTAAAGGTGAGGGATGGAAATCAGTGAAAGTTGCCTTGAGTGTGTGAGGTACCATACATGCATGCATGCATGCGCGCGTGTGTGCGCGCGCGCACACACACACACACACACACACACAGCACAACTAGTACTGGGAGGCGCCCCCCCGACTCTGACTCTGACCACGAAGCAAGCACTGCACGGTGGGGTCGCAGCCAGGACCCAAGGTTACAGTTTGGCTGCATGAAACTCAGGCCCACCCATTCCAGGTAACGCTGCACTGCCTCTTGGGGTCACGGGAAGCACAAGCCCACGTCTGCCTTCTCCTCCGGTCCTGTGGCGGCCGGGACCGCAAAGCACCTCCCTGTCCTTGCCCCTCCAGCCTCCAACACACCGCTCTCTCTGAGGGGGAAGGCATGGCCCAGGGATGAAGACGCTGGCCGTGCACTCTGTGGGCCCCGACTCCATCCCTCTCGGCTCATGTGGTCCCCGGAGCACCAGCGGGAGTCACTCCTAAGCAGAGCCAGGGACGGCCCCTGGGCATGGCCAGTGCGGTGCTTGCTCAGGCACACGTGCACGACGGGGGGGGGCGCTTGCAGACACACGCGAGCATGCTGGACACAGAAGGCAGCTGGAGCAGTGGCACAGCGGCTGACTGGATTTGATTGCTGGCACCACAGGGGGCCTCCCAAGCCCCACCAGGGACGATCCCTGGTCATGGAGCCACAGGGAAGTCCTGAGCACTATAGGGGTAGAACCCCCAATTAATAACAACAACAAGAACAACAACAACAACGAGAGAAAAGGCAGAGGAGAAGCCGAAGTGGCTTTGGTCTTGGAACTCGCCACGCGGAAGGGGCAGAGTGCTGTGTGTCTGGGCCAGTTTGAGTTTTAGGGTGATTGGGCCCCAGAGTCAGGTTGGGGGAGGGTGCCTGCCTTGCATACGGATGACCCAGATTTGACCCCAGTCACCCCATCTGGTGCCCTGAGCCCGGTCAGGAGTCCCTGAGCACCGCCAGTGTGTGCCTAGCCTCCTCCCTCCACAAAAACAAGCCCGAGAGTCATTTAGCTCTGGTGCTGTCCCTGTGTCAATCAGAGCGAATCTACGACCCACACCTTCGATTCCATGCGGGAAATAGGTGAAGGAAAACCCTTCTGAGTACCCCCTGGGGCTGGGCAGCTCGGTGGGCAAGTGTACCCCAGGCTGTACCAGCAGGGGGTCTGGGTCGGATCCCGGCACCTCGAGCAAAAACAAAACCACCTGCATGGGCCAAGAGCTGGTAGTTACAGGGACTAAGGCACTTCCCCGCAGCTGAGCCCTCCACTTCCCAGCACCACAAACGGTTCCTGCCCCATGTCCACCCCTCCCCTAAAGTCACCTTGGAGCAGAAAGGAATAGGCCCTGAGCACCACCAGGTACGTCTCTCCCCAGCACCCCTATGCCCCTAGAAACACCAAAAACCCAACCAGCCGCTGGGGTGAAGCCTGAGCTTGTGCAGATGAGGCTGAGAGAGGCCCGGGAAGACAACTCAGAAGGCCGGAGCCAGCAGCGTTCAGAGGGGCCGCTGCATCTCGTCCCCAAGGGGGCCTCGGCACAGGCCGAGGGCACCTTCCAGGCACTGCGTGTGTGGCCCAAACACCACAGGGGGAAGTACACAGCAGTGAAGAGAGCCAGCTTCTTGCCAGCCCCAAGGAAGGACCGTGGCCCCCGGCCGACGAAGTAGGAGCCCTTCCAAACCCCTGGCGTCCCGGTGCTCAGACACATCCAAGGCAGCCCCCGATCTGCGGGAAGCCTCAGGGAAGCGGGGCTTGCAGTGCGCAGAGGCTGCTGGCTGGGCTGGGCTGCCTGTGAGAGGACGAGGCCTCTCCATGCGGTGCTGGTTCCCAGAACCCGGGAAAGGGGCCTTGCAGGCTGGGAAGGACAAGCGCCATTGCTCTCCTGAAGAGAGGCGCTTCCTAGGCACTGCACAAAACACCTCAATGGACACCAAACTGGACCGAGCGCCGACAACATGGGATGCGGGGAGAACCCTGGGTTTGGGGACGGGTGGGTTTGGAGCCACGCCCAGCTGTGCCCAGGGATCACTCCCGGTGGGGTTCCGGGGTCCCTATGTGGCACTGGGGAATGGAACTCGGGCTGGCAGCAAGCCAGGAGATGCCTCAACTCTGGTCCTTTCTCTCTGGCCATGCCCCGTTCTGGAAGAGGGGAAACAGGCTGAGAGGTCAGACAGCTCACCTGAGCCCGCCCTTGGCGCTGGGCTCTCCAGGGCCCCACTCACCTGTTGAATTCTGGAAGCTTCTCCAGGTCCAGCAGCGCTGAGTGGCAGGTGATCCGGGAGAGGTCAAACTGCGCGATCAGCTCCGGCAAGGTCCTGCCCATCTGGTTCTCTGCCAGTGGGGAAGGCGGGGAAGGTGAGGCCCGGCTGCCTCCAGGACCCCCTTTCACCCACGAGGGAGTCCAGTCTGAGCGGGCCTGCCAACCCTCTCAACGAAGGGATCGGGGGTGAGGGGCTGTGTGTGATCTGGGGGAGACATGCGTGGATGGGGGGGAGGGGCGGCGCCTGGGGGTGTGAGTCCAGCTGTGTGTGGGGGGGATTTGCAGTGTGTGTGTCTAGCCCCTACTCTCAGTGTTTTTGCCTCTTTCTTTTTGGAGCCATGCCCAGCAGTGCTCTGAAGCTGCTCCTGGCTCTGTGCTCAGGGGCGCCTGCAGTGGTGCGGAGTCAAGCCTGGTGCCTCACACATAGTCAGGCCGGACAGTCTGAGCCGCACCCCGGCCAGGCAGGAAGCATCCCCTCAGGAAGCCGCCACCTGGGTGAAGCGCTCTGCTGACACTGTGCTTGGCCCGGCCCATCTGGGGGCAACTTGCCGAGGACCCCAGCTGAGCTCTGCTGGGCTTCTGAGGAGCGGCAGCTCTGGCCCGGGCTGGAGACAGCACTGGCTGGCGAGCTGCTCTGGGCTCTGAGCTCGCCGTCCCCTTGCGCAGGGAGCAGGGAAGCTGTCCCGCACTTCAAGAGCAGCACACAGAGGCAGACCTGCTCAGAGCCCCAAGCAGCCACCCTACTTGGTACGTGTGTGTGTGGCGGCAGGGGTGGGGGACAGGGACACACCTGGTGGTACGCAGTGCCAGGGATCAAACGGGTGTGTGTGGGAAAGGAAAGCCCCTTAACTATGCTGCTGCTTCTGAGTATCGCTGGACCCCCAGGACCAGCAATATCCCGGGATCCCCAAGCAGAGTTTAGGAGCGCCCCATTCAAAACACTAAAAATCAGGTACTTTTTTATTTTTGCTTTTTGGGTAACACCTGGCAATGCACAGGGGTTACTCCTGGCTCTGCACTCAGAAATTACTCCTGGCGGTGCTCCAGGGACCATATGGGATGCTGAGAATCAAACCCGGGTTGGCCGCAAATGCCCTACCCGATGTGCTATCACTGCAGCCCCTCAGGTAAATTTTTGAGCTCCATCCTTGGCACTTTCAGGAAAGAAAAAAAAATAGACACATATTAAAAAAAAAATTGGGTTCAAACCCTGGGCCAAGGAGAAGGGCTGAGGTGGGTCACAGGTGTGAGAGCAGCCCCATCCAAGTCAACCTCCCTTCCTTGGCAGTGACAGGGCAAGGCAGGCCAGCCTCTCACCCCAGTGGGTTCCTGCAGGGGTTGCACCCTGGGGGGCCGCTGTTCAGGGACTCCACCCTAGGCCCAGGAGGGAGGCATTGAGTCCATTTTACAGGTGAGCCCACTGAGGCTCAGAGCCCGGAAGCTCCCGCTGAAGCCTACAGTTCCATGACAGAGCCCAGCCTGGGGCCCAGTCGGGATGCAGCAGCGATTGGGATCAGTTGAGATCTGTCGGGATCCAGGCCTCGTTGCCCGGTGGCCCCAGGGATGCCTGCTGAGTGGGTACCTGGAAACCCCGAGCCGCAGTTGGTGATGATGTCGAGCAGGGCATCAGGCAGGAAGCCGGCGGCAGCGAAGTGCTCCAGGAAGATGTCGCCCTGCCGCTTGGACAGTTTGCTGCCGTCCCGGTTGAGGAGCAGGGGCAGGTGGGCGAAACGCGGTGGCGGCCAGCCCAGGGCCTGGTAGAGGAGCAGGTGCTTGGCGGTGGACACCAGCCACTCGGAGCCCCGCAGCACGTGGCTGATGCCCATGTGGTGGTCGTCCACCACGCAGGCCAGGTGGTAGGTGGGGAAGCCGTCGCTCTTCAGGATGACTGGGTCCCCCTCCACGCTCGCCACCTCGTGCCGGTTCCAGCCATAGACCAGGTCCTGGAAGGCGGGCGCCTCCCCCTCCAGGCGGAAGCGGATGGCGGGCCGGGGCTCCTGGGCCAGCTTCTGGGCCACCTGCGCCTGGGTCAGGTGGCGGCAGCGGTTGTCATATCTGTGGGGAGCAGAGCGGCGCTGTGGCAGGGCTGCGGGGCTAGCCGGCCCGCGGACGGTCGCGTCCCTCTTGGCCCCGGTTCCTGTGTCTTCTGTGGAGACAGTGAGCAAGCCAGGATGCAAGGAAACGATCCGGAGGCACGGCCCACCGAGCTGTCTCCGACCTCCACTGTTATCGGAAAAACGATGAGCCAAGAGGCCAGAGATAGCACAGTGGGGAAGGCACTGGCCTTGCACCAGGTTCGATCCCCGGCATCCTGTATGGTTACCCAAGCCCAGCCAGGAATGATCCCTGAGTGAAGAGCCAGAGCACCACTGAGTGTGACCCCCAAAACCAAACCAAATAAAAAAAAAAAAGAAAAAGAAATCTGAGTATTCCACTGGAGGCAGAGCCAACAGTACAGTGGCTAAGAAGCTTGCCTTGGATGGGATAGACTTGAGTTTGATCCCTGTCGACGCCAGGAGTAACTCCTGAGCATCGCCAGGTGTGGAGGAAAAACAAAAAATGATACATATAAATAAAAGACCACAAGGCAAAGTCCACCCAAGTGACACACTGGCTCTGCCACCATGCAGCCTGGAGGGTCACCCAGCACACATTGGGTGCCACCGCCAGCTCTCCTCCTTAGTGACAAAGGCTGGCCAGGAGGATGAAGGTCACCATGGGGGCACCGAGAAGACCCACGCACCAGACCACTGCACAGATATAAGGGGGGGAGGGGGCATGCATCCCTCAGGCTCTGCACCGGGTGCAGGGCGGAAACCCAAGGCACCAGCTGTCTCTGGACAGGGGAACAGAGGGGCTGGGGTCGGGCCCCAGGGCGTCATCTTTCGAGCCCTCAAAATTCAGTAAAGGACTCATCCATTCATTTCTGGTGGTCGGGGCTGGGCCTCACAGCCACAAGGCAAGCACCGCACCCCTGAGCCAGAGCCCAGACCCCTCCCTGGACATGCAAGGAGCAGAACTGGGTGCTCTGATCACGGCTGACCAAACGGTGTCCTCACAGCGGGCAGACCACCCTCATGCCTTCTCTCTCCTGAGGGAACGAAGGGCTTCGTAACTGCTATTTCTTTGATGGGGTCTCAGGGGCAACTCCCAGCTCCATGCTTGGGGGCAGCTGCTAGCAGGGATGGAGCAGTGTCAGGGAGCGACCCGGGTTTCCCGCATGCTGCCACTCTCTCAGGAACCAGCCAGAGCCGTAGGGATGGGCCGGCCAGGGACAGGGCTCTGGTGGTAGAACACGTGCTGCCTTGCAGGGACGAGACCCCCCCAGCCCACCGTGCACTCCCCAGGGCCCCATGGTCCCTAAGCATTAACCACCCCCAAGGAGACAAGGTGGCACTTCCACGCCCGGGTTCCAGGAAGGCTTGAGCCCGGTCTGCGCCCTCTTCGGGCTGGCTGTAAGTGAGGCCATCTTCTGCCCTGCTGTGAGTGGTGCCACCAAGAGTCACATGTGGCCCTTCCCGCCAGTCCCCAAGTGCAGACACGGTGGGGCAGTGAAGAGGCAGAGCTGGGGGCCTCCCCATGTGGAGGCTACTGGGGGGCACTCACCGGGGCGTCTGGCGGTTCCTCAGCGCCTCCTTCTTCAGGAGCTCCAGTCGCTGGGGCGAGCAGAAGCAAGGGTAGGCCGCGCCAGTCTTGAGCAGCGCTTCCGTGGCCCGGGCATACAGCTCGAGCCGCTGAGACTGCTGGTAGGGCCCAGCGGGACCACCCCGGCGCGGGCTCTCGTCTGGGGGGACACCTGGAACACAGGCCGCGATGCCCTGAGGACCTGGGAGGACGATGCCCGTCCACTTCCGGGCACAGCTCCGAGGGACGTGCCCGCGTCAAGCTAACTCCCCGAGGCAACCTATAGGGTTGGCACACTCCCCATGAACACCTTTTATTTTAACTTTGGTTTTGGGGTCACACTTAGAGCTGCTCAGGGATGACTCCTGGCGGAGCTCAGGGAACTCTGTGGGGTGCTGCGGGTGAAACCCGGCGTGGCTGTGTGCAAGGCGAGCGCCCTCCTCACAGCACACGGCTCCAGCCCCACACCTTCCCAGGGGGCCTCCTCAGGGCCACTCCCAGCCACTCATGACCCCGTGGCCGGCCCAAGGGCTCAGCAACATAGTACAGCGGGGATAAAGGAAGTCCGGCATCTAACTCGGGGCCTAGAGCAATGCAAGGCTAACGTCGGGGCTGACTCCTCAGTCCCAACACCATCTGCCTTTCTGCGTGACAGCCGCCTTAAATTTTTCCTTAAAAAACAAAAATCAAATCCCTGGACTAGAATGACAGTGCTGGTGTTAAGACGCCCCGGACACAGCCAAGCCCAGTTCAATCCTCAGCACCACATATGGTCCCACAGAGCAGGGCTAAGGCAATGTTGAACACCATCAGGTATGGCTTCCAACACCAATTCCCCCCCACCCCAAACATACACATACACACAAACAACCTGAATGCTTCCAAAACTCGTGTACCATCCTCACGCAAAGCCTATGCTAACATGTTTGTCACTCCACAGTCAGGTGTGGCCCGAACACCTCAGGTTACCCCTCACCGGGTCTCCAATTCGATGTCGTGCTCTCCAACAAGGCCCCCCTACCCAAGAAAGCAGCTCTCTGAACCCATACAGATTCCCTAATCTGCACCCTCAGCTCTGGGCTACTTATTGGCACTTCTTACCAAAGCAAGTGGGTAAGACTCAGTTTATCTGTCTTTCTCCGGTGTCCCAAAGTAACGGTGGCACACAGGCCAGACCGAGGCACGTAGCCTTGCAGCACATTTGATTTGATTATCGGGGTGTGGGGGGAAAATGGCCCACGTCAGCTTAGGCATCACTTGGTGCCAGGGATGGAAGCTAGGCCAGCTGTGTGCGAGGTGAGGACCGCAGCCCTGCCCTGAAGGAATGAATGTATTGGGCTAACCCTGACGAAGTCGGCTCTGTGCCAGCCTTCTCCAACACACAGCAACGAACTGTTTCTGTCCTTGAGGAATTCAAAGCCTAGTTAATCTTCTACCAGTGATTAGAGGAAGAAACCGTCTTGGTATTTGGCTACTTCTGCGGGGGAAGTTGAACAAGTCCTACCAGCCCTGGCAGGTGGGCCCCTGGAAACACAAACACGCCCCCCTCCCGTTCTCCCCACGCTTGGCTATCCTCAGGATTAATTCTCCACAAGAAGGCTCACTTCAGAGGTTATGGGCATTTTGTTTGGCTCAAAAAAATGTGGTTAAGAAGGAAAAAAATAAATCAGCTCAGCTTTAACAATGGGAAGTATTCAAGAGCACGGCGGACACCTGGGGTCTGGCTCCTCCTGGGCATCAGCGGATTTAGTGAGTTCTGGCTGTGAACCCGCTGCTCCCCGCTCGCCACAGGCCTCACTGGCCTGTTCCCTACCTGCTCCTGCCAGACTTACCTCAGAGCCTGAGATCAGAGCCAGAGTCTCAGGCTGGGGAGAAAGGGCAGAGATGATGAATGCATGCAGCTGAATGTGGTTCCTGAGCGTCCTCAGGAACAATCCCCCCACTCCAGGAAGAGCCCTGGGGTTAGGCCAGATAAAATAAAAAGGGAAAGACAAGAAAAAGATACTAAGAATGTCCAACAGCTTTTGGTCAGGAGACCTCAGCGTCCTTCTGGGAGGTCCCGATCACTCCAGGTGATACCATGGGCTTCTTGTCCACGAGTCCCCCCCCCCCCCCATGCCCTGACCCTGCTTCCCAGGCCCCCACGCCATCCCTCTGGCCTCACCTGCCCACTCCAGCATAGCCTCAATGTTCTCCGCGGCCCCAGGCACAAGGCGGGTCTGGTCTGTGTCCTCCAGCCGCAGGATGAAGCTCCCTCCATGCTTCTTGGCGAAGATGTAGTTGTACAAGGCAGTACGGAGGCCACCCAGGTGCAGGAAGCCTGGCGAGAGACGGCAAGGGTTCAGACAAGACCCGGGAGAGGCGCTCGCACCGCTCAGACAGACACATGCCGAAGGTACCCTCCGTCAATATCTGCGACCACAGGGCCTGGGGCACCTGGCATCCAGCTCTAGTCAGTAGCCTTTCCCCTGTGGGCTTTCCCTGAGAATCTATGATGAGGAGGATTACATTTACATTCAGCAAAAGAGAGGCCGTAAGTGTTACCGAGTGGTTTACCAAGTGGTTTCTCTTAAGAGATCTAGCTCGAATGCATTAGCTGGGCCAGGAGCAACAGGCTAGTGGGTGGAGCATTGGTTTTGAATGTGGATAACCCAGCCCAACATCCCAGATCCCAGAGGCTCTCTGCAGCCCCGCCCTGCAAACACCACCAGGGATATTTCCTGAGTGGAGTGCCAGGAGTGACCCCTGACCATCGCCATTGTGGCCCAAAAGCATTAGCTGCATAAGGCCTAACTCAGGAGGTCAGTAAGCAGGATGTTAGTATGTCACTGGATGACAGATGACAAAAGAGAGGCTCAGACAATAAGTAATCTGCCCATTGTACAGCAAAGATCCATACAATTCCAGACTTTGACATGAACCTCTGCCTGCATCTTTATAAAACAGGCTGCAAAACTGGCTAATAGGGAGGCACATGGCTCTCGAGTGTGAGGTCATGGGTTCGAGGTGTAGTGTATGTCCCCTGAGTACCCCGAGAACAAACCCCTAAGCACACAGCCTGAAGTTGCCTAAGTCCAGCTGCTGGTGTGGTTCCAAGATGGGGAAACCAAAAAGAAAAAACAAAAACAAAAAAAAACAAAAACAGAAACCCAGGATGCAAACACCCACCAGTTCGGAAGCAAGTACAAAAACTGACTAATTAGCAGCTTAGATGATTCCGTTTTGGAAATTTGCCCGCCTTTCAATCTGAGATGTGTACTCTGGCTTTTTTTTTAAATATTTTTTCCTCTCCAGAGGAGTCTGTTCTCCCTTCAACACGTTTCTCTCTCTTTCCCTCTCTCTCATATTTCTCTAAGTAAACCTCTCTAAACTATTTGACTTCTGACAAAGAAATAGGAATTCGATACTCATTTTGTGATTTCTGGATAACAGGCTCCTATTTTGCGTATTTTTATTTGTGCCGTATTGTGGATTGAACCCAGGTCTCACGCAAGCAAGCTATATGTTTTTAGGATATCTTTTCCCAGTAATCTATTTATAATACCAGTCCACCTTTAATTGTAAATTTTTAAAAATTGGTCTTGGGGGGCTGGAGCAATAGCACAGCGGGTAGAGCATTTGCCTTGCACGCGGCCGATCCGAGTTCAATTCCCAGCATCCCATACGGTCCCCTGAGCACCGCCAGGGGTAATTCCTGAGCACAGAGCCAGGAGTAACCCCTGTGCATCGCCGGGTGTGACCCCCAAAAAAAGCAAAAAAATAAAAAAAAAAATAAAACCCTGAGTCTGAGCATCTTTTAAAAAAAAAAATTGGTCTTGGGCCAGAGCGATAGTACAGTGGGTAGGGCATTTGCCTTGCATGCGGCCGAACTGAGTTCAATCCCCAATATCCTATATGGTTCCCCGAGCACTGCCAGGAGTAACCCCTGAGGCATCGGTGGGTGTGACCCAAGAAACAAAATAAATAAGTAAATAGGTCTTCCCACCATGAATGGTTAGAGAAACCCTGTGGAGAGTGCATCATACTTCTAACTGAATTTTATTTTGGTTTGGGGGCTATCTCCACCACCTTAGGCTTTTCTACTTCTTGCCAGCACCCGGTAGCTGTGCGTGCCACCAAGTCTCATTTGCGGACCTGGGGGCTCAGGATGCGTGACCTCACTCACTGCAGTCCAACCACAGCCACGGGGTCTTTGCACGTGCAAAGGGAGCGAGGGGCGGGGGGCGGAGCCCCTGCTCCAGATTATGGTTTACGGGAGCTGTCACTCAGGTTCTCAGCTGCAGCATCCGAGCCCAGTGGTCCCGCCTGGCACGCAAAATGCCTACGTGCACCGGTGGCAGCAGCCACAACAGAGGCCTCCCCGGAGCAAGGTCCCTGCTCCCTCGAGGACCCAGAGCAGGGTCTGGGCGCCCAGTCCGTCCCCAGAGCACGTTTATTCCACCCTGATCTCGAGGAGGCCGGCGAGGTGGCACACTGCGACAAACACCCTCCCGGGGACGCGCACGACTTCCGCCCGCGGCCAGGCCCGGGTCTCCGTGGCACGGGGTCGCGCTGGCCCCCGCCCGGGCTGCCCCACCGGAAGGGGATTCTTTCCAGAACTTTCGGGGGGGCGGGCCGGCGGGGGGCGGGGCGGGACGTCCGCCCAGGTTACCTGTGGGGCTGGGGGCGAACCGCACTCGCACCGCAGCACCGGGGTCGGCGCCCTGGCTGGCCTCGCGCCGCGTCCCCGGCCGGCCCGCGGGCCTCCGGGCCTGCAGCAGCCTCCGCAGGGGCAGCGCCATGTGCGCCGGGGGGCGCCCACGTGGGCCGCCGCGCGCGGCGTCACTTCCGGGAGGGCCCCGCCAATCGGGCTCCGCCAGCGCGCGCGAGGCCCCGCCCCTTAAAGGCGCAGGCCTCCTCCCGCCGCCACCTCCTCCTCCTCCTGGTCCCGCTCCCGCGCCGGCCCGGGAGGCGAGCCCACTCCGGCCTGCAGGGGGCAGAACCCGGCGCCGGGCGGGCCCGGAAGGCGAAAGCGTGGCAGGGGCGGGCTCCGGGAAGCGGAGGAGGCGGGTCTCCAAGGAGACCGCCACCTGTTTCCGGCGGGCGCGGGCGCGCGCAGGGGCTGCGCCGGGGGCCAGGCTCGGCGCGTTCCCGGCGGCCCCTGCGCGCGCGGCGGGGGTTGTACACAATCATCATGGCGGCGGCCGGGGCCCCGGATGGTGAGCGCGGCGCGGGCGCGGGGCGCGGGGCGCGGGGGGCGCGGGCGCGCGGGGCCGAGCCGCGGAGCCGCCGGCGCCCGCCCGTCCGCCCGCCCCCGCCCCGAGGCGCGCGCGGCCGGCGCCCCCGCCCCGCGTGACCGCCCCTCCCCTCCGCTCCCCTCCCCCGCAGGCCTGGAGGAGCCCGGCATGGACGCGGAGGCCGAGGCGGCGGCCGGCGAGGCGCCCGCGCGGCCCCTGCTCTGCCTGGAGGCCGAGGCGGCGGCGGGGGCGGCGGCGGAGGGCGCGGGCGCGGCGCGAGGCAGCCCGCAGCCCGCCCCGGCCCAGCCCCCCGGGGACCCCGCGGCCCAGGCCTCGGTCAGCAACGGCGAGGACGCGGGCGGCGGCGCGGGCCGGGAGCTGGTGGACCTGAAGATCGTCTGGAACAAGACCAAGCACGACGTGAGGTGCCCGCTGGACAGCACCGGCTCGGAGCTCAAGCAGAAGATCCACGCGATCACAGGTGGGGCTGCCCCCCCCGCCCCCCCCCCCCCCCCGCCTCCCCAGGCCCCCGCCGCGCGCAGGCCTGGCGGCGACCCCTGCAGCGGGCGGGCCATGGGAGGCGCCGAGGCCGCGCCGAGCAGCCGCCCCGCACGCCCCCTGGGAGGCCCGCGCTGGGCTCCTGGAACGCGGCCGGGACGCGTGGCCGCTGGTCTCCGCAGGAGCGGGCCGGTGGGGAGAGCCCTGCGGCCGGGCCCCCCGGCCCCGCCCCTCCCCCCTCGGGCCCCTCTGCCCCCGGCCCTGCGCGAGAGACTAGGCTTCTCCCTCGCCCGACCCTTCCGTCATCTGCAATGATCTCCTCTTCCAAGCGCGGTGGAATCTGGAAGCGCCATAAAAAAAACCCAGGAACTTTGGCCCGGCTGGTTTCTAGCTACCTGTGGACGCCCGTGTCATCGCTTGCATGGTGGTTGATTGAGGGACGTGATTTGACTTGTACCGAACCGTAGGGGACGGTGGACTGGGACTGCGGGTCAGGGGCTGCCATGGCTGCCCTTAAATCAGGGCCGAAGGACCTGCTGTCACCGATCTGTCACCGAGCCCCCGGCCCAGAGAGGTGGTGACTAGCCCCAGCACAGAGGTCACGCGTTTGGTGGCAGAGCCTTTCTCCTGGGGCCTGAATGAAGGACTCTGGTCCGGGCTCTTTTTTTTTTCCCCCTTGGCTTTTGGACTTGCTCAAAAGCCAGAGGGGCTCAGGGGTTCCTCTTGGCTCTGCACTCAGAAGTCACTCCTGGCGGTGCTTGGGGCACCCTGTGGGATGCCGGGGAGCGAACCTGGGTTGGCTGTGTGCGTGGCAAGCAAGCGCCCTGGTCCGCTGTGCTTTCGCTCCTGTCCCAAGGAGCCGTGGTTTTCACTTCTCTTCCCCTTTCCCAAGGTCTCCCGCCGGCCATGCAGAAAGTCATGTACAAGGGCCTCGTCCCCGAGGACAAGACGTTGAGAGAAATAAAAGTGACCAGTGGGGCCAAGATCATGGTGGTTGGCTCCACGATAAATGACGTTTTAGCCGTGAATACGCCCAAAGATGCCGCCCAGCAGGACGCCAAGGCCGAGGAGAACAAGAAGGAGCCGCTCTGCAGGCAGAAAGTGAGTCCCCTCGGGTGCCCGTCTGGCCTGGCCTCTCCGCGCCTCGCCTGTTTGTGCTCTCCCCCCAGGAAGCTCCTCTTGGGACAGGGCCGTCCTGGGGTGTCACAGCAGCGATTGGGCATGGCTGGCTGTGCGCAGAGGCGGCCACTGCAGGGCCCCCTGCCGCAGGTCAGGGTGTCAGGACCTCGCGGTGTGGCATAAGACCTGTGATAGGCAGGCCGCAGGCAGGAATCAGAAGGATTCAGGCGTGAATTTCGCGTCCCGGTGAGCGCCAGAGAGGAACGCCACACTAGGAAGAGTCCTGGCTTCTACCCCCTGCCCCCACCCACACTCCCTGTTTTATTCAGTTGCTCCCACTTCTCTTTTGGTTTGTGACTTTCCCCAAGCAAGACAGGCCTGGAGAAGGTGGATCTCAGAGGTTCCTATAAAAGGCATCAGTGCAAGAACCCACCCAAGTGAAACGATAAGGAAAATGCCTGGTGATTTTGTTGGTTTTCTCCCTCACTCTGTGACCGCGGGGCTCTGTTTCTGCTCTCTGAGCTCATCTTAGGTGCAGAGACCTAAGTTGTCTCGCTCTCAGTCCAGCCGCTTCGATTCTTTCCATACTCGGGAAAAGCAGGGAAAACCAGTCTGGTTGGAAGAAGCAGTATTTGTGAGCTGATGGGCCAGGAAGCCCCTGTACTGCCATGTGCCGGGCAGAGGGATATTTTCAAGCATGTCAGAGTTCATCTGTTCTAGAATCAGGTACCGCATGATTGCCCAGCCACTGTCCAGAATATCCCTCCCCACCTCCCCCAGCACATACGAGTGACCACTGAACACTGCCAGGCGTGGCCAATGACAGCAACAGAAGCTATACAGGCACATGTACTTAAGCGCCATCTTAAAAGGTGAAGTCTTTGTGTCATCTAAAAGTCCGCACCAACCATCCACAGGTTTTTGGGTGTGCGTTTACTGGTGGTGTTTGTATGCTGTCAGCCCCCAGGATGTGTGTGGGGGGGGGTGGGGGGAGGGTCACCGTATCTTCCAGCTCACTGAGTACAGTTCTGTGTTCCCGGCTGCCTCCGTCACATGTATGAATTCACCCGGCACAGGCATGTCAAGAGGGAACATTTTCCCTGGTCGCGTCCTTGGCTCCCAAGATGCCCTTTAAATACAGGTTTGACTGAATAATTGGAGCTCGACAGGCTCGGAACTGTTTTTCCTGGTTGCAGAGAAAGGTCTTCAGAAGGGCCCTGTAAAGGATGAGTCACAGAAAGCCTCTGATCTGCTCGGCTTCATTAATGCCTGTGACCGGTGGGCCGGGGCCTGCAAGGGGAGCAGCGTCTGGGCTCTTTTGGAGACTGTGATCTGCAGCCCCATGCGCGGGGGGCTGGCAGGCTGACAGGCTGCTCTCTGTGGGAGCTGATGAGTCCAGAGGGTTTCTGCCATGCTGGGGAGGGGCTGCGCTGGCTTGTGCCACCTCCTGTTTAAATTCAGTGACATTTTTCTTCTACCCACTCACTGCCCCGTAGTTTTTCTTTTTTGCTGGGGGGTGGTGGTGAGGGGGGTGCTCAGCACCCCTGGCAATGTTTTGGGATCACCTGGAGGCGCTCAGGTTACGCTATGGAATGCCGGGGATCAAACAACCCAGGTTGACCGTGTGCAAGGCAGGCACTCCCCCTGCTGTACTCCCCAGCCTGCCACAGAAGTTTTTGGGGGGTTTGACAGGGAGGCGCACAGCTGGCAGTTCTCAGGGCTTAGTCCTGGCTGTAGGCTCAAGGATCACTCAGGGCAGTGCTCGGAGGACCGTATCAGGTGCTGGGGATTGAACAGAGGTGGGCGCGTGCAAGGCAGGTACTTGTAGCCACTGTCCTATGGTTCCGGCCTGCCCCGTAGTTGTATCCGTAATAGTGCTGGCCACCATCAAGGCCCCCCTGGGCAGAAGCAGCCCTGCAGCACTGGCACCCGCAGGAACCATGGCGGGGGGAAGGTTGTGAGACAGACCCAGTCCTGCGTGAGCCGCCTCTGACCCCCAGGATGGCTTTGGGGCCAAAGGCCTTGTACTCCTCAGCTTCTGCGGTGGCCAGGGTCACTGTCCCTGAGCCATGTCGGGACGTGGGCTGAGGGCCTGGGGCACACATGCTCTCCTGCCGTGTTCCCACTCTGCCACTTCCCTGGTCCCAGTCAGCGCTTGCATTTGGAGAATAACAGCTTGAAGCTGGGTCTGTGCGGAGGTTGGGGCCGAGCCCCGGGGCGGGGGGAGCAGGCCGGGGGTGGGGACGCTTGTACAGCCAGTGGAGTTTGCTGCGTTTGTGGCAGAGATGCCCTTTCTCTGGGCGGGAGAGCAAGTCAGGAGGGTCGGCTCCTGCCTTGAGTGCTACTAGCACCGCCTGGTCCCCGGAGGTCCCCAAGCAGCACGGTGGTCTGGGAAGCTCAGGGCTAGGTCGACTGAGAAGCACTGGGAGAGGCCCCCAGCCTCGCCCCCCTAAAAGGGAGTAAAACACTCAGCAGTGGAAAGGTGCAGCATCCCAGGGTTTCTCTGGCGATGAAGTGAGGAGTGTCTGTCCTTTGTACCTGCCCGGAGAGCCCTTTGGCACTGGGGCTGCGGGCAGGGCTGGGTGTGGGGAGGGTGTGGCCAGGTCACAGCATGGACTCCTGGTGGCTGCTCTGGGAGCCCCAGATGGGAGTTTCTTCCAAGATCATGGGACCCTTTGTTCCTCGCCTGGCTTGTCAGCGGCCCGGGTCGCTCTGCCTCCCCTTGGAGGCTCTGAACTGCCCCGCCCTCAAGGGCCAAGCACCCTGTCCCTGGAATGTAAGGCCTTGGGAACCCAGACGTCATTCCAGCTGCTCCACACCCCTCCGTGGAGGCAGCGGGGCTGCCCCTGACACATCTCTTCTGCCTTGTGTCTTCAGCAACACAGGAAAGTGTTGGATAAAGGGAAACCTGAAGATGTGATGCCCTCTGTGAAGGGCGCCCAGGTAAGGCGGCCTCCCTTGAGCGGGTGCACGCCCTGCGGCTCCCTTCTCGGTCTGCCCGAGTTGGGGGAACCCCCCCATGACTGACCTTTTGCCCCCAGGAGCGCCTGCCCACCGTCCCCCTGTCCGGCATGTACAACAAGTCGGGAGGCAAGGTGCGACTCACCTTCAAGCTGGAGCAGGACCAGCTGTGGATCGGCACGAAAGGTACGTGCAGCCTGGGCCCGCGTGGGCGGCCCTGCCCTGGTGTGTGTGGCCCGGCCAGCTCGGGGATGCGCCTTCTCCTGCAAGCCCTTTGCCTCGTGCTTCTCCGGTCCTGGCCGAAAGGATGGGAGATTCTGCTCACGCAGCAGTTCTGGCCCCCGCTGGCTTTGCCTTCCTCTTGGCTGGAGGGGTTTTCCTGTGCCATCCCATCTCCAGGGCACAGGCTTCACGCATGCGTGTCTCCTTCCCGGCCTGCACTTGGTCACATCCTTCTGGAACAAGGGTATCCCCTGGCCAGCTCACTCGGGCTCTCGTGTGGGCCTGGCCTCAGTTCAGCCGAGGTTCCCGGTGTCTGACAGCTCCAGGGCCCTCCCAGGCGCCCTGTGTTCCCACGCTCACAGCTGGTTCCACTGCCGGCTGTGTCGCTCAGAGCTGTCTCATGGGCGCGAGGCTCCGGGTTCCCCCCAGCACTGCACAAAAAAAGCAGTCCCCATCCCCACATCAGACCAAAGAGCAAGCTGGCCCCCCCCCCCTTTTTTTTTTTGGATTTTGGGTCACACCCGGCGATGCACAGGGATTACTCCTGGCTCTGCACTCAGGAATTGCTCCTGGCGGTGCTCGGGGGACCCTATGGGATGCTGGAATTGAATCGGGTTGGCCACGTGCAAGGCAAACGCCCTATCCGCTGTGCTATTGCTCCAGCCCCAGACCCTTTTCTTAATGGGGTACCAGACTGGCACCTGGCAGTGTGCTCTGAGGGCCTGGGCTTTCTGTGGGGTGACTTGGCCGGCAGCACCCACGACTCTGGAACCCCAAGAGGAGGAGCCCTGGGGCGTGTGCTGGGGCCTCTGGCTTCACCGTGGGTTGTCTTCCATATCCTCAGGAAAGGCCAGAAATCCCGGGTTTTGGGGCATTCTCGGGACGTATCAGGGTGGCTGATTTCTTTTAGGCTCCAGTGGAGGGGCTGGGGGAGCCGGCTCAGCGGGGTGGGCCCCCCTCACCGCATGGTCCCCCGGTGCCCCTGGGGGTGACCCTGACACTGCTGCCCGTGGCCCCCAAACAAAAACAGACCAGCTCAGTCCTGCCAGGGTCACCTAAGAAAGCATGGTGGGGGCCTGATGGAGCTCTCCCAGCTCTGCGCCCCTCCCCCGCCAGGATCTTGTGGGGGCTCACAGAACTGAAGACAGTGTCCAAGTTGGTGGCCGGGCCCGGCCCACATTCCTTCATTCCAATCCGTTTGGTCACCTGAGATTCTCCTCCTCCTTCCCACCGAGGGGGTGGTGACTTGTTCTCTATGCGATTGAGGTGCTTGCCAAGACCCCCGTCCCCGAATACCTGCCACTGCTCTGTGTCCGCACCCCTGCCCCCAGGCTATCACACACACCCTGCACTCCGGGTCCACGGTATCTGGGAAGTCGGAGTTGCTGTTCCTTCAGGAGAAGGTGGCGCGGCTGCTGGGGGGTGTGAGGGCGGGAAGGACCAAGGGCCGATGGGGCACGACTCATACCTGAGCCCAAGCACTGCCACTCGCCTCTTCCCGGGGCCCCTTGGCTGCCCTTGTCCAGGGGCAGTTCTCGGGTTCTTAGTCACCCGGACTTGAGAACACCATTAGGAAAGACGCAGCCGTGCACCCACAGCCCTTGACTATGGCCAGGCCTGGCCCAGGGCGTGCCCCGAGCAGAAGGTCCCCGGGGCAGCCACCAGCAGCCAGTGAGGGACCAAGCCGGGAGCCACGGGCCCGGGACTAAACCGCTGTGATCCCTCGGGCAGAGCGGACCGAGAAGCTGCCCATGGGCTCCATCAAGAACGTGGTGAGCGAGCCCATCGAGGGACACGAGGACTACCACATGATGGTGAGTAGCGGCCGCTGGCTGCCGGGGACGGCCGCGCCGTGACCGAGCACCCGGCCCCGGAAGACGCGCTGTCCCCTCCATCTGCCTAGATCTTTCCTTCCCGGCCACTGCCTCCGTCTCTGGGGCTGCGGCTTGTCTCTGGCTTCCCTCCTCTTGTACAGTTTCACTTCTCGGTCCAGGAAAATAAATACAAAGCAGAGGACTAGCTTGTGGATTTTCATTGTAGATGTGGTCTCGCGTGACCCCGCCAGCCTCGTGCTGGTGATGCCCGCGGTCCCCTTCATGAGGCGAGGACCCCAGGGAGCTGGGGGCTGTGGGCCTGGGTTTGGCAGCGGCTGCTCTCGAGAGCGGCCACTTGCCCGGACAGTCCGTGGAAGAAAGTTGGGAGTTCAGCCCGGGGCAGGTCTGCTCTGCTCCCCCGCGCTCCCTGGCTGGGTCCCTGAACCCTGAACTTGCCCTGGCAGGGCTGGGCAGGGTGATTGCTCTGTGGGTAATGAGTGCCTGCAGGAAAAGGCCCCCATCACCTGAGCACTGAGGAAGAGTTAGCTCAGATCCCTGCTGAGTGAGGGGCCTTGCAGGTGCGTGCGGTCCGCCTCGGGAGACCGACTGACTCCCCTCGTTGTAGAAGTTGGATCTGAACGTTTTTAGCTGGACGTGGTCGCTGCCTTTGAAACATCATCTTTCCGGTCTGACCCACGAGGGTCTGTGACCCGCTCTGCAAGTGGCTGGGGTCCAGGGGTTTCAGGCACTGCAGCGGGGCCCCGGGCAGCCTGAGGAACAGGTGTATTGGGCCAATAGTGTATTGGCTTGACCTGCCCATTTCTCTCCGAACCCTTGTGGGCAAGGGGTTACAAGAACCCCCTCTCTTTCCCAAACCCTGGTAAGGGGCACCTGCACCTTTGTCCCCAGGAAGTGCCTCCGTCCATGTCTCTGGGCAGAACTCCTGCCCCTAGCTCAGGGGCTGCCTCAGCCCCAGGAGAGTTGGTAGCTGCGCTCTCCTGTTTTTTTTTTTTTTTTAGAGATGCATGGAGAATGCCAGTCCCTGTGGCCATCATCCCCAAAGTGAAACTTGTAACTAATTTGTAACTTGCTTTCGATCACTTTTAAATAAAAGACAATTTATCCTCTCTGAAAGTCCCTTTGTCTTCCCCTGCCGTCATCCTGATGTTCCCTTCGGCCTTCCCGTCTCTCCACGCTTTCCTTCTCCTCTATGTCCATGAGCAAGATCTAGTGTTGTTTTGTGTTTTTTCAGTTTTCATAAGTGGTATCCGGTATGTATCGTTCTGCAACTTGGTTATTTTTTTCTTTTCCTTTTTTCCATACGACCTTATGATCTATCTGAATTTAACTGTAGATCCAGCAAATCCTTCTTAAAAGTCCTCCCGTAACTCATTACATCGTCTGCGCCACTTTTCATTTTGTGTCCCCTTCCCGATGGATATGTAGGTGGCGTCCGGAGTGTCCCCGTTCCTGACCGTGCTGCCTGGCCCCTCCTCCCCGTGTCCTCATGCATGCGTGAGCTATGCTAGGGCAGTGGTTCTCCAACTGGCCCCTCCGCTGGACGCCCGGTTCCTGCCCCGGCGCTCCCAGACCGTCGCCCCCACGCGAGGCCCTTTCAGCCTTTCTGTTCCTGCAGACCAGCGATGGACGGTCGTTAAATGCCAGTGACTTTGGTGCCCAGGTTCGGGCGTTCCCGAGGACGGCCTGAGTCCTGCGGCCCGGCCCTTGGGATCGGTCCCGGGCCACCCCGAGTTTGGGAACCACTGCTTCAGCGTTGGCCGTGCGCCCATCTCTCCCACCCTCCTGTCTGTCCGTCTGTCCGTCTCTGTCCCCACAGGAGAATGCGCCCTGTTGCACACTCGTTTGCCTCCCTCCCCCCTTCTCCGCGCGTCCACTTCTCGGCCCCCCTCCTGCCCCGTGTGTGTGCTGTTCTGCCGCTCCGTCTCCCGACCTCTCAAGTACCGCTTGGTTTTCCTTTTTCCCTTCCAGGCGTTTCAGTTGGGCCCCACGGAAGCCTCTTACTACTGGGTGTACTGGGTTCCAACTCAATATGTGGATGCAATCAAAGACACTGTGCTGGGGAAGTGGCAGTATTTTTGAAAGCACTTTCACCTCTGGCCCAGGAGACTGACCCAAAGTGAAGGACATTGCTGGGAGAGGCCTGCAGCATCCCCGGATTTCAGAGTTCTGGAACTTGATTCAAAAACAAAAATCTCTCTCCAGTCTAAGGCGATGTGGTGACTGAAGCCACAGGTGATGGACGGTCACCGTCAGCTTCATTTTAACTTCACCCTCACCGGGTCCCTTTCTTGCAGTCAGCTTCATACCATTTTTCAAGTCCATGCGGTGGAAATCAATAAATCTGAATTCCGAACGTGTTGTGTGGAATACTCTTACATGTGCTGAAGAGTAGACCTGCCAGTTCTGTTTAGAGAGGAATCATCAAAAAAGCTTTCTGGTTTCTTTTTTCTTTTTTTTTTCTTTTTTTTTTTTTTGGTGTGTCTTTTTTAAAAAAAGAAAAAAGATCTCAACTGGAATATTTGCATAAACCTTTGGTTGCAAACATGTGGACTGCATTGTAATGAGGGGGTTGTTTTTATACCTTATTTTTTTTTCCATATGAAGTTGTATGCAACATGGGGAGGGGTGGGCATTGCAGGCCGTATTTTTCTTAATCTGTTGATTCCAGTGTAATTTTCTCCGTCTCTCACTTTCTCGCTTCCTAGATCGGAGTTTTTGTTTTCAGACCCAAAGATGTCGGTTCCTCTTTTTTGTACCTCATAGCCGCTTCCTCTCCTGGCCTCCGTCCGCCGGATGGCGCGGTCTCCGGCAGGTCACGGGCACGAGCCACAGTGTCCCTTGCAGTGACTCCTGTCTAGACATCTTACCCTGCGGGGTCCCCACTCTCGCTCTCCAGGGACACTGCACGGCTGAGTGGGTGGTCTGTCGGCCGGCAGGCCTGCTCCCAAGCCAGGGAGCAGACAGTGGGCGCAGCCATCCAGCCCCTGAGCCCAGATGACCTTCTTGCTTTGCAATGTTCCAGAAAGTTCTTACGCAGTCATGATCCTTTCAATCATGCGTCTCCATTCTGCCCTCGTAGCTCCTGCATTATGTTCAAGTGCCCTTTTCATCCAGGCTCACAGCTGCCACCTTTCTCACTAAGAAGTCCTCTCAACTAGCGGCTTGGCCGCCGGCGGTAAACATCCAAAAAACGAGTGGGGAAGACAGTGAATCGCTCTTGGGGACAGCTCGGCCCCTGGCAGTTTCCGCCCCTTCTGTCCGTTCTTCGTCCCTGTGAACTCTTGTCTCCTTCCGGCCTGCCTGCCTCTGAAATGCGGGAAGGCCTCTTGGCGAGGGTGTCTCCCTCGTGCTGTTCGCTGGTGCCCTGCTGCTGTCTTTGCGGTCCTCCTCCTTGGGTGCAGGGCCAGGCCCCCCCCCCCCCCCAGGCTTTGAACTCGGGGTCTTTGCTCCACATTCTGTGAAATGTCCTCGCATGTGTCTGTCCCCGACGACTCTCCCTCCCCTAGTGAGCCATTTCCTGGCAGTGCCCCTCGCCTCCCCTCCCCTCCTCCGCCGCTGGAGTTCGGGATCCCGCCCGTAGAGACAGTCTTGCTTTTCCATGGTGTGTTGTCGGTGCCCAGTCATGCATCCAGGTAGAAAAACTGCTTCTTGCCGTTCCGGAGGCCTCGGGACGTAGGTGAGGCAAGCAGCATGCGAGAGGCAGCACAGATACCAGATCCTTTGCAAAAAACGGGGGCAGTAAGCGGCCCTCCGGGGCCCCCCGCTTTTGTTTCTCTGAGCAGAGTGCCCCACTCTGCTCCTGGTCAGAGCCTCGCTCGAAAGGCTGCCCCCTTGGTCGGTTGCCCCCTTCCTTCCGGTGAGCGCCAGCCCCACGATCCACTTGCCACAGGCCAAACCCGCTTCCCGCTCAGGCTGGCGTCCCCACGAGCAGGGCCCACGCCAGGGAGAGCCCTTTTCTTTGAAGTCAAATGGTGCTTTTTCCTTCCTTGGAGATACAGTCTATAAGTAATAACGGACTTGACACTTTTTCGTCCGGAGCCGTCGGAGCCTGGCTCGCTTCGAGAACCGTCTTGGGCTCTGGCTCCTGACGTCCGTCCGCGCCGGGACCCTGCTTTAGGACCGGCACCCCGGGAACTCGACCCTCCCTGTGCCCGCGTTTGACCAGATCCCACGTCCGGGTCGCTGCAGTATTCTCCTCTAGCAGTATTCCTCTTCGGTCCCCTGCGCGGTCTCTTCCTCTCTCTCGTGATCCAGCACGAACGACAGTCGCAGTGGCAGTCCCCTTCCGCCCTCGGTCGCTCCTTTTGTGTGTCCCTGCTCGCTTCCTCCTCGGGTTTGCACAGCCCGTCAGGGCGTGGGGACCCCTGGGGTTGGGAGACCCGGCCCTTTCCAAGCTTGGGCGCAGCCTGTTCAGAAGACCCCTGAGAGGTGGCATTCTCCTGGAAGCCACGTCCGGGGTCCCCCGTAGGTCTTGGCCCCCAGACATCAGGCCTTTCTTACCCTTCCCGAGGCAGCCCCCAAGGCCAAGGTGATGTCTGGCCCCCTCCAGGCCTTTGCTGGCTCCCGGCGGAGCTCTCTGGGCCTCGAGGCGGTTTTGGGACCCTTCTCGCTCTGTGGCGAAGCCGCCTGCACTCAGCAGCTGTCTTGATCTCGCTGCTGCTTCCCCCACCAGGGCCAAAGAGACCACCATAGCCGCACGTCGTGCCCCAGAGTCGCCACTGGAGGGGGCCGGCTTTCCTCTTCCTCTTACTTGAACCACGTGCCTGGAGGAGCCCCCCGGGCCCACTTCCTTAGGGGCCCGAGAAGAGCAGGGGGTGGGAGCGGCTAGTCAGAGCCAGGCCAGGCCAGGGTGGGCTCGCTTCCCACCCCGCCGTCCAGGGAGCCGCCTTCTGGCGGGGCCAGCACTCTTGCTGCCCTGGGCTTGGGTGAGGCTGGGCCACGGGGGACGCCGGTGCGGGTGTGGACGGGGCCCCGAGCCAGCGCCCAGCAGGGTCCGGGGCCCGCGGGTCGGGAGCGGGCCGTCTGCTGAACTGCCCTGCCTGGCCGGGGGGGCTCTCCCGCTTTCTCCATTTCTAAGAACCTCTCTCTTTTTCTTTCTTAAAGAGTTCTGCCGAATTATTTGACAATATACGTAAGTACCATGTTTCCTTGTGGTGTACACTCTGTTCTGGTTTTTGTTTTTTAAATCCAATGCCTGTGTGGGCGGAGATGGACGTATTTAGTCTTAATAGATTTGCGCTGCTGGAATTTTCTTTTTCTTTCCTTTTTTTTCCAAGTGTAACCTTGACTAGCTGTCTCATTGTTTATCCTGTAAGATTAGTCTCTCGATTAAAGTTTCATAATGAATCACATCTCTCTCCTGCCAGTTCTTCATGCGCGGATGATGGTGGGCGAGGGTCAAAGGTTGGGAACAGGACCCCCCCTCCAGGCAGTTGGGGTCCCCCAGAGTTCTGCCAGAATATTGCTCACTTTAAGTGCAGAAAATCAGTTCCATGATGAGGGAGTGGATTTTCCCCCTTGGGCCAGTGCCAGCCTGACCCTCCCCATCCTCAGCCTCCTGGGTGGGACTTGACCGGCCATTGTACCTCCGGACATGTTTACCAAGGCCTCAAGGCTGAGCCAGTGACCAGGGAAGGGGAGACGCCCCATTTCCTGTCATGGAGGGCAAGTCTCGTTTGTCGGGGGGGATTGGACCTCGGGAGTCTCCTGTGGGACACTCGCCTGGCTCCTCCATGGGTGTGCCTGCCAGCTCAGGTCACACCCCAGCATCACACTTCCACTGGCGCAGGAGACTGTGCCTCATCACTACAAGGGGTCATGCCCACCAGGGGAATCAGCCTCTGAATTCTTTGCCTGGCAACCGAAAGGCAGAGGGCCAGGGAGGTGGCTCAGTGGTTAGGGACACCTGGCCCCAAGGTGGGTTGGCAACACTGCACCTCCACACCTTACCCCAACCTAGTGTGGCGGTACAGGGCCCAGGGCCTTGAGCCGAGGTGGGCTGAGTATCCGCAGGAGAGGTTGGTTGGTACTGACGACTGAGAGGAAGTCCAGGCTGAGGGTCATGTCACATATTCGGGGCCTTCTCTGGCGTTTTCTTACCTGTTGGTAACTATTGACCCTTTCTGCAGGAGGAACCCCACAAGCCAGTCATAAGACCCAGGGATAGTGCAGCAATTTAAGCATTGCCTTGCACACAGCCAGCCTGGCTTCTATCTCCCGTACCACTGGAATTGTTTCCTGAGCACAGAGACAGGAAGCCCTGGGCCCCCTCGTGTGACCCCATGAGTCCCCTTCGAGCTGAGAGTAGTGGAGGGGACCCCTCGCCCCTGCCTCAGCTCCGGGAGGATCCTCTGGGTTTTAGGATCAAGGCTGCTTTTGTTCTGTGGACTTCTGGTCCCCTGGGATTTTCCAAGAGAACATTTCCTAAGAGAAACGTTAGGAATTTTATCACTTTTAAGTTTCTTGTTCAGCCCTTTCCTCTGTAACTCATTTTAGTCCTTAGTATTTTCTTTTTTTTTTTTTTTTGTCCCTGCTTTTTGGGTCACACCCAGCGATGCTCAGGGATCACTCCTGGCTCTGCACTCAGGAATTACTCCTGGCAGTGCTTGGGGGACAATATGGGATGCCAGGGATCGAACCTGGGTCAGCCATGTGAAAGGCAAACACCCTACTTACTTGCTGTGCTATCGCTCTGGCTAACCTTTCGTATTTTCACTTTTCTTTTGTGAATCAATCATTTCCCAGTCACCCATAATTGACATGTGCATCAGTGAACTTTGGGGGTGGGCGGTCAGCCAGCATCTGAATCACTACCCACAGATACCCCCATTTCCCCAAACTGTAGGGACCTCACCACTCGCCTGGAGCTGTGTGCTGTCTCCAATGTGGACATTGTCACCCCTTACCACCAGGTGGCGTCTCATTCTCAGACTGGATCCATCCCGCAGCTCATGTCCACTCCATACCCGTTGGTTTTGTTTTTCTCTGGGGGGGCGTCAGGGGTGCTTGCTTGGCACGTTCAATCCCCAGCACTGCATGAGCCCTTAGTACTGATGGGTGTGGTTCTGGAAGCCCGCACCCCACCCCCCGGGTAGCCCTGGTGGTCCCCAGCACCCAGAGCCTAAGCCCCACATTGCTGGTCCCCTAAAACAGCCATTCAGAAGATTGAGAGTTCGTGGGGTCAGGGATACCGCACAAGTGTGAAGTGTCTGCCAGTCTGTGTGAGGCCCCCAGTTCCACCTCAGCCCCCCAGCACTGGCTCCCGAGCACTGCGGGGCCCGGGCCCAGGGAGGATAAATACCCACCTTACCCCTTTTTTAGGGGCCTTGGGGGGGGGTCACACCTAGCACTATTTAGGGTTTTCTTCTGGCTTGGTGCTCAGGGATCACTCCTGGCTGGGCTTGGGGGGCCATATGGGGTGCCAGCAATCAAACTCGAGCCAAATTACTGGTTTACCCACTATGCTATTTCTCCAGCCCAGCCCCCTTTCATGTTTTGGGGATTTTTTTGAGACATTCAGCCGACAGCCTGTTGAGCTCTGTTCCCTGCCACCCCACCCCACCCTGTACATTTTTCTTCTTAATTTTTTTTGCATTTTCTTTTTCATTTTGAAGCCACGCCCAGCAGTGCTCAGGAGTTACTCCCGGCGGTGCTCGGGACCATACGGAATGCCGGGGATCAAACTCCAGCCAGCTGAGTGCAGGGCAAATGCCCTACCCGCTGTACTGTCTCGTGGCTCTGCACTCAGAAATTAATCCTGGCAGTGCTTGGACTATATCCATATGGGGGCCCTTGATCCAGCCTGGGTCAGCAGCTTACAAGGCCAGCACCCTACCCCACTGTACTGCCGCTTCTGGCCCGAGCTCTCATCCTTTCATTGGGAACCAACACCTTTCCTTTCTGGTATGTAGTTGGTTTTTCATGGGCCAGAGCTGGGATTCTGGATTCGTCAGGGAACTGGCACCCCGAGAAGTCAGAGCCCTTCCCTCCCACCTCAGGACCGACACTTGGGGTCCACAATTCACACAACTCAGTGACAAATCCAGGTCCCCTAACTTAACCAAGGACACAAGTAGAGGTCAGGTGCCCAAGCTGGGGCACGCGGGGTGTGTGGCACAGTGGCAGAGCTGGTGCCCTGCACCCCAGGCCCTGGCTTCATACCCGGAGCCCTGGACAGGCCCACACACAGAGAGTGAGGTGCAGAGTCGTAGCTGCTCTGGTCAGAGCAGTGGGCGTTCAAGTCCTGTGTCAGCCTGTTCACTGCCGGCCTAGCCTCTTGCAGACCAGAAACCAGGAGGAGGGTTGGTACCTGAGACGCATGTCAAGATACTAGTCTGGAACTAAAGCAATAGGACAGTGGATAGGGTGTTTGCATTGGACCTGGCCAACCTGGGTTTGATGCGTTGCACCCCGTAGGGTCCCCCAAGCCCACCAGGAGTGATCCTTGAGCACGGAGCTATGAGTCAGCCCTGAGTACATCCAGGATTGGCCCCAAAAAACACCACCCAGAACACAATTTAAGGACTGGGCTGTTGGCTTAGCAATCGAGCACAAGCTGCTTTTTGCGTGTGCACCCGTGAGTTGGTTTCCCCTGCACTGCCTCGGTCACCTTCTCACCCAGGGCCAGGGACGGCTTAGAGTTCTGGGGCACCAGGTCCAGAGGGCAGTACCTGGCACCATGGGCCCAGGCTGGGTGTGAGCCAGCAGCTCCCAGGGCCTAAGTAATAAAGAACTGGGCACAGGGAAATACGGGCAGGGTAAAATTTGAGAAAGGAAAAAGCTTTCTGCACTGAGAAAACAAAATGTCACAGGGCCAGACCTGCCATGCAGGGAGGCAACTGTAGTGTTAACAACCCGCCCGCTGTGGTCTTGACATGAAGCTCAGAGGGCGTTGAAGAGCCACCAAGAAAATCGAGGTGCTTGCTTTGCTGTGACCAGCCCTGGTTCCATTACAGCATCCAGGTGACTGCAGTGCAGTCAGGAGTTTAAGCGCTGACCAGGCGTGACCCAAATCCCCCCCCAAAATAAAAAGGAGGCCAGACCAATAGTCCAGCGGAGAGGGCATTTGCATTGTACCCGGCTGACCTGGGTTCAATCCTTGGCATCCCATATGGTTCATCAAGCACTGCCCAGAGTGATTGCGGACAGAGCCAGGAGTAACCTCAAGCATGGCCAGACGTATCCCTAAACCCCCAAAATAAAGGGGAGATGGGCCTGCATCTGGGCTTTGTGGGAAGATGCCTCGGTCTCAGATGTGAGGCCTGTACACACAGGCTCCAAGTGGGCCCCCCAGGAAGCCCCCCATGCCACGGGAGCGCCTCCAGGCCTTCCTTCCCTTCCACCATTTCACTGAGTTTCTTGCTCCTAGTCTCTGGGGGCCAGAGAGCCGCGCCTGAGTGCAGTGACACCAGCACCCGCTGCTGAGAGCCCCTGGTTTCCCATTGGCCCCCGGGGCCCTGCTCAAGGGTCCCCCCACCAAAAACAAAAGATTGACAACAACCTGTTTTATAGCTTTATTTTCAAAGGGGAAAAAACACTTAGACAATTTAAATACAAGTCAAAACAGAATTATTCTGTCTAGGTTGCTGATGGCTCCAGATGCGTGCTCACATCAGGCTCCCACCCGCCAGGTGCCTTCTGGGTCTTCTCAGTGAGGAAAGAACCTGCATAAGATGAGACGAGTGAGGGGTGAGTGTCAGCAAAGGGCACAGGCACCCGGTCCCCACGGCCAGCTAGTCCCGAAGCCATGCTATTACATGACGGGAACCTCTCCCAACTGGCACCAAACACCTCCCCCCCGCCCCCCCCCCGACCTGGAAAGCACTGCTCGGAGTAACGGGGGCGGCCCTGGGGTGCCACAGGTGGGGCAGAGTTGGGGAAACAGGCCTGCACGAGCTCCTGAGGGAAACTGGTCTCTGGGGTCAACACCAGCCGAGACACCTTAAGACTCACCTGACGTTTCATTCATACACATCCTTCTTGTCTGCAATGTAATCTACAATTTCTTGTGGACACATTAACTTTTCCGCATCAATATCAGGAATTTCGAACCCTAAGGGTAAAACCAGAACCAAGTCTGAGTGAGCGAACCCTCTGACACCCACCAGGACCTCCGCTTTCCTGCCACCCTTGGGTCCACCCGGGTCGGGAGCCGGATCCAAGCACTTACAGAGGCGTGGAGTGCCCCAACTGACCTGGCCCACTGGCCCACCACCCTGTTTCCAGGAAAAGTACTCAGCCTGCACTTCCGCCCCCCTCCCCACCGGGAATCTACCTATAGAAGACAGAAAGCTCCCCCTGCCGCCAACTGCACCCCATAGCTACTTTCCACCCCAGTCCCCTCCTTCCAGCACCCCCGGAAAAGGCACTGCCCAGTCTGCAAACGTGGGTCTGCATTATCTGCCCAGGTGCAGTGAAGGTTGGTTCCTTAAAGCGACACTTCACGTACCGGAAAATACACCCATGTGACATGAGACAAAAGCCTGTTTCTACGCCACAAAAGCGTCACGGGACCCTAGCACCTTCCCATAACCCCAGGAAGAGACCCCTCGGCCCTACCCCAGCCCCAAACCACACCCTCCATTCTGCAGAGGAACCTCCAGGAGGGCCAAACACGCTCTGGGGTCCTTTCTGTAATCCACCCTGACCCGACCGTCCCCCCAACTTCTGCTGAGCTCTGTGGCCTGAGGAAGGTCTCACGTGTGTAACTGACTGGAGTGGGGGCGGCATCAGGGCTCCAGGTCCCCACGCGCCTGACCTGAGGGTGGCACAGCCGGTTCTTTCCCTGGGGAGCCCCAGGCCCGCCTTTCCTGGCCACTGCCCGCCCATGCCAGTATGGGAGCGCAGTTCCTACCATTCCCCGGAGCCCTGAGGGGTGGGAGCAAGGCAGTGTGCTCTTGCCGTGCTCAACCCCAACTGCCGCCCCCCGCACACCCTGGGAAGCCCGGGGACCAAGGCACGTTACCAAATTCATCCTCCATGGCCATGATAATCTCCACTTGGTCCAAGCTGTCTAGGCCCAGGTCTTTCATGAAATGGGAATTGACAGAGAGCTGCAATAAAGGACACAAGTCGTCAGGGACGGCTGTGCGCTTGGGGGTGTGAGGGTCTGAGCACATGCCCAAGTTTAATTTCCACCTTCAGATCACCAGGAAGAATTTTCATTTTCTTTTTTTAATCTCCTCACAGCTAAGCATTTTCTACAGCTCAAGAATTCTTTTTTTGTTGTTATTCTGGGGCCACACCTGGCTTATGCTCAGGAATCACTCCTGGCAGTCTTAGAGGATGCCGGTGGTTCGAGCCGAGGTCAGCGCTGTCAAGGCAAGTGCCTTACGTGCCTCAGCCCAACAATTCCTAAGTAAACCAGAACAGAGGGTTGGAGACAGAGGACTGGAAGCAAGGCGCTTGCCCAGCATGGGCTCAAATTCCCGCAGACACGGCCCCCAATTACCACCCGGAGTGACCCTTGAGCAGAGCCAGGAGTAAGCCCCGGCACTAGTGCTACAGTACTACAAGGAGTACGGGGGTAACCCAAACTCCCCTCCACTCCCACAAAAGTCAAGAATTGGATAGGTACAGGGGACCTGGAGAGAGCACAGTGGGGAGGGTGCTCACTTTGCTTGTGGCCAACCTGGGCTGGACCCCCGGCACCCCCTGTGGCTCCTCGACAGCACCAGGAGTAACTCCAGACACCTCTGGGTGTGGTGCAGAAAGCAAAGCACTGATGTGGAGAATGCTCACGGGAGGGCAGGATCGGGTCCCCTCTAGACAGCACCAAGTCAGAAGGAACCCTGAATCCAACAACAGGAAAAGATCAGAAACTAAAAGCAACCCCAAAAAAGCGAAATAAGAGAAAAATCTGTCCAATTCAACAGAGAGATGGTAGAGCAGACAGGGAACTTGCTGCAGCCCACCCGGGTTCAATCCCTGAGCACGTGGCAGGAGTGATCCCCAGTGCAGAGCCAGAAGGAGTAATAGCAACAGATTACTAAAGAATGTTTAAGGTAACTGCTATGAAAGTAAAAAAAAAGGTGCACGGAGGGCTGGGAACGTAGATCACTGGTGGCAGAGCAGTATGTGAGCCCCAGGTCGACCCCTGGCCCCACAGGAAATAAAAGCGGTACAAGGGGGCCTGGAATACAGCTTCTGCGCACGCTCCAGGCCGGGACCCCACACCCACGGACGCCCCAAGGCGCAGGTGTCTGTGAAGGTGGGCAGTGTAGCCCACAGGGCACCATGCGTCTGGGAAGACACGAGCAGTTCTACTGCGGCCGCCCAGTAAGGGCGGGTGGCCGGAAGCAGGCCATTCTCTACCGCCTGTCCACTTGGCCCGAGGAACTGTTTGGCGTGGGCTCCACCCAGCAGTGCTCAGGTGTCACTCTGGAGGTGCTTGGGGGGGCCCATATGCAGTGCTGGGGACTGAAGCTGGGGCGAGCGCAGCCTCCCCTGAGGGCAACTCTTAAAGGCGCCCCAGTACCTTTTCCGGATCGATTTTGTCATAGAGCTTCAGCACGTAGAGAACGCGGTCCTTGATCCCCTCTAGTGTCAGAGGGGGCGCGTCACTGTACTGGCGGCACAGCTGGGCGAGCCTGCTGGGGACCTGCAGGAGGAGAGACAGGGGACATGGAGCTGGTGCCGGACCCCCCACCCCAATCCAGCAGACCAGCGGCTTCATTCCCCTCGCGGCTCTCAGCCGCCTCCCTCAGCGCCCTCTGTAGGGTCCCGACTCTGGGGGTCCAGAAGCCGGAGGGGTGCAGTCCGGGTCTCGGCTCAGCCTGGTGCTCAGTGCTACCACACCGCAGGGTGACCACCCAAGTGCAGCCCCCCAACCCAGCTCGCCAGCAGCCCAAGCCCCTGGTGCCAATCCCAGCCCGGCCCAGTGCCGGCCCGTATTTTCCCCAAACAGCCCGGCTTGAGGAGGCTCGCCACCCTCCTCTCGCCCCTGCAGATCCAGAAACCAGCCAAGGGCCAGAGAGCACAAGGGATGTTGCCTCTACGGGCCCCTGCTGAGCACGGTGTGATCCCCACGTCCCCAGGGGCCCTGTGAGAGTAACCTCCCGCCCCCTGGAAGGCAGTGGTCTGAGACTGAGGAGGGCACCGTCTGGCCGAGGGTGGAGGGAGTCGAGAGTGAGGCGAGGCCAGGGCGCACCAAAATCTTAAGCGGGCAGGTTCTTACACGCTACCACGGCACCAGCCCCTCAAAAACGAGGGGTCTCAGCCTCTGCCCAGCTTCCGGCAGAGACCCCCACTACCTTCCTGTCTGGCCTGCAAGTCACTCCATCGTTCCTCCGCTCGTATCTTTCCCCAAAAAGCAGAGAAGACAGCACCAAGCCCCCAGGACAGCTGAAGGCACCCAAGGGCTCCCGGCGGGCTGCGGGCCCGCATGCATCTGAGTGGGGGCCAGCGGCCTGGACTAGCAGGCACGGCCAGGACCTGAGCTGCCTTCTCCCCCTGGTCTCTCCTCGAGTCACCAGCTTCTGGGCTGCCCCAGCACCCACATGCATCTTCTGCACCTTTTCCCCGACACCTCTACCCCTGCACCGGACCACTGGGATGAGGGAGGCAGAGCAGGGCCGGTTTCTGTCTGCTTGTGGGTTTTGAGGCCAGTTTCGTGTTCAGAAGCTAACGTGAGTGAGTTGGGGGCGGGGGGCACAACATCTCTCTGACCCCACGGGACAGCTCTGGCCTGGAGCCGGCAGGGGACGAGGGTAAGGCCCAGGCTCCATGTTCGGTTTCTAGCCTTGGTTTTCTTCTCGTTACCATCTGCTGGTGTTCTCAGACCCGGGGAGCTGCTTAGCAGGATCCTAGGGGAGTGGGGGGGTGAGTAAAAGAGGGGTATGTGCCCAGGCTCCGGGAACAGGTCTGCACAGGCACAGCTGACAGTGGGGAAGGACCAGAGGCCATGGAGACTTGGGCTAAGAAAACACAGCGGCCTCAGGGCTTGCAGCCCTAAAGGGCAGGGCTGAGGGTGTCCGGGGAGAGGGTGCTCTGCGGGGCAGATGCACCATGAGCCCAGGGGAACGGCCTCAACTGTCGAGGGTAGACAGAGCCACCGGGACAGCGCCAAGTGTCCATGCCGCTCTGAGTGCATGACTTGCCTCCACACCATCTCTGAATCTCTACAGCGAGCCTCGGACCAGACGTGCAACCGCCCTCGGGGAGCTTCCAGTATTCACCCTCTGCCGGTTAACCCTTCAGGGGTGTGAGGAGAATAAACGGGAGCACCTGGTCCCAAGCACTCTGGCCTAAAAACAAAAAGGGATCTCTGTGGCACAGGTTAGCCAAGCAGTGCCTCGGATGCCTCTGAGCACCTGGCAAACACAAAGCAACCATCCAAGGGTCAGTGGCAGGGACGGAATCTTCTGGAAGTTCACGGGAAACAAGCCCAGGCCCTCCCCGAGTCTGTCTGCGCATCAATGCTCTAAGAAGAGACGACGGCCTTGCCTTTCAGCCTCCTGTTGAAATTGGAGGCAGCAACTGTGCCGACAGTTCCTTGTCACTTCAAGGTGACACTCTGAACCTTGGCTCAGGTTAGGGGTGGAAATTTAGGGAAGATCCCTGGGAATGAATCCACTAGCCCTCGAGCCCATCTCAACCCCGGCTACACACACGAGTCTCATCTGGCCACTGTGGACAAGACACTCTGGCTCGAGGCTTGACTGGCCCGGGGTGTCCAGCTTTCATTCCAGCACAGGGTCAAGAGTGAAGCACTATTACCTATAAGGCTTTACTTTGAGAGGGAGGTTCCCACCTTGACCTTGGGCGTCCAGCCTACCCCATGGCCGCACTTCAGGCACCCGGGAACTCATGCTTTGCATGCCGAGAACATGCTTTGCATGCAAGAGGCCGGGTGTTCCACAATCCCCAACGTCACCTCCCCCACCTTTGGGTCCCCCAAACACCACTTAGCTGTAGCCCAGAAACCAAAACACAGGCCGCCATCCACCCCTTCTTCCCACGGAAGAAAATCAGAATCGCTGAGGTTAGTTCAAGAAATGTAGTCTTCTTTCTACCAAGCTCTACCCAGGTGCTTTGAATATACTGCCAGGCCTGAAAATTCACCGTGTTCTCTCCCCCCCCCCCCTTTTTTTGGTCCTGGAGGAACTGCAACCCCAGGTCGATGCGTGGCGTGCACGGAGCAAGCTCCGATTCCAACCCCCGGTTCCAAAAGTCAGTTTACTCTACCGTCCTCGAGAGAGGACCTCTCTCTGTGAAACTGCCGGGACACACACACTGGACTGGCTCTTCGCCCGAAAGGGGGCTCTCGACCCGCGTGCACGGCCCCCGCGCCGGCCGGAGACCGGCTGTCCCGGAAGCGTGGGGCGCGGGGGGGGCAGGGCGAGGTCACCGGGTCACCGCGTCCCGGCGGCGGCCCCGGGGGAGGGGACCCGCGCGCCCAGCCCCCGCCCGGCCCGCGGCCCCCGCGCCGAGCCTGACCCCTGCCCGCCCGGCAAAGTCACGGCCAGTCACCTGCGCGAGCGGCGGGGCCGGCCGCGGGGCGCCGGGCCTCGTCCGGGTGCCCGCGGGACGCAGGGCGCCGCTGAGCGGCCGGGCCGCGGCCAGCGAGGGCAGCCGAGGGAGCGGCGCCCAGGCCGCGGGCAGTCGGCGGACACCGGCGCAGAGGACACGAGCCGCCATGGCTGCGCCGACCCAGGATGCACTGCGGCGCCCTCCGCTCCGCCCCGCGCGCACGCGACGCTGCGCACCGGCCGGGCGCTGCCGGCGGTGGCGGCCCCTGGCGGCCCCTGGTGGCGCTGCACCCTCGCGGCTCCCACAGCCGGGGCTCAGAGAAGCTCAGAGCCGGCCTTGCCCCAATTAGAAGGAACTTGTTTCCTCTTCATTTTTTTCTTTTTTGGGGGGAGTGAGGGGAGAGAGGGCGGATGTTTGGCCCACACCTGGTGATCCTCAGGGCTTACTGCTAGCTCTGCGCTCAGAAATCATTCCTGGGTTGAAGCGATAGCATAGTGGGTAGGGCATTTGCCTTGCACGCAGCTGACCCGGGTTCAACTCCCAGCATCCCGTATGGTCCCCCGAGCACTGCCAGGAGTAATTCCTGAGTGCAGAGCCAGGAGTAACCCCTGTGCATCCGGGTGTGGCCCACTAACCAAAAAAAGAAGAAGAAATCATTTTTGGCGGCACTTGAGAATCATACGGAATGCCGGAGATGGAACCCGGGTTGGCTGCATGCAAGGCCTTACCCTCTGCACCTTTGCTTAGGCCCCTTGTTTTTGTGTTTTTTTTTTTAATTTTTATTAGTGAAACACCATGAGATACAGTTGTAGACTTACAGATTTTTGTGCTTGGGTTTCAATTATACAATGATCAACTACCCATCCCTCCACCAGTGCCCATTTCCCACCACCACGGATCCCAGTATCCCTCCCACCCCCCATCCCCTCCATCCCACCCTGCCTCTGTGGCAGGGCATTCCCTTTTGTTCTCTTTCTCCTTTTGGGTGTTGTGCTTTGCAAAAGAGGCAATGGGTGACAATCATGTTTGGTCTATAGTCTACTTTCAGCATGCTCCTCCCAACCTGGGAGGATCCTCCCAACACCCTTTATTTGGTGCTCCCTTCTCTATCTGAGCTCCCTTTCCCCCTAGCTGGCCTCCAAGCCATGGAGTAAACCTCCTGGTACTAATCTCGGCTATTCTTGGGTGTTAGTCTCCTATTTTGTTACTTTATGTTCCCCAGATGAATGCAATCTTTTTATGTCTATCTCTCTCTTTCTGACTCATTTCACTTAGCATGATACTTTCCATGTAGTACCACTTGTATGTAAATTTCATGACTTCATCTTTTCTAACACCTACATAGTACTCAATTGTGTAGATGTTCCAAAGTTTCTTTAACCAGTCATCTGTTCTCGGGCACTCAGGTTTTTTTCCAGATTTTAGCTATCATAAACAGTGTTGCAATGAACAACAAGTGCAGATGTCACTTCGACTATACCTTTTTGCCTCTCTGGGATATATTCCCAGGAGTGGTATTGCTGGGTCAAATGGGAGCTCAATTTCTAATTTTTTGAGAATCATCCATACTGTTTTTCAAAAGGGCTGAACCAGTCGGCATTCCCACCAGCAGTGAAGGAGGGTCCCTTTCTCCCCACATCTGCACCAACACATGTTGCTTTTGTTCTTTTGGATGTGGGCCAGTCTCTGTGGTGTGAGATGATATCTCATTGTTGCTTTGATCTGCATCTCCCTGATGATTAATGATGTAGAGCATTATCTCATGTGCCTTTCTGCTATTCGAATTTCTTCTTTGAGAAAGTTTCTGTTCATTTCGTTGCCTCATTTTTTTTTTTATGGGGTTGGATGTTTTCTTCTTGTGGAGTTCAGCCAGTACTTTATATATACTTGATATCAACCCTTGTCAGATGTGTATTTGGCGAATATCGTTTCCCATTCTGTTGACTGTCTTTGTACTTTGGTCATTGTTTCTTTTGAGGTGCAGAAGCTTCATAGTTTAAGATAGTCCCTTTGGCTATCTCTGTTTTCACCTGCTCGGCCAGTGGCGTGACATCTTTGAAGATACCATTAGCTTCAATGTCATGGAGGGTTTTGCCAACTTCGTCTTCAATGTACCTTATGGATTCCGGTCTGGTGTTGAGGTCTTTAATCCATTTTGATCTTACTTTTGTACATGGTGTTAGGCAGAGATCTGAGCCCATTTCTTTGCATGTAGCTGTCCAGTTTTGCCAGCACAATTTGTTAAAGAGGCTTTCTCTGCTCCACTTCACATTTCTTGCTCCGTTATCAAAGATTAGATGATCATATATTTGAGGGGAGATGTCAGTATATTCAACCCTGGTCCATTGATTGGTGTGCAGCTCTGCCTTTGTTCCAGTACTGTGTTGTTTTTTATTTATTTATTTTGCTTTTCAGGTCACACCTGGCAATGCTTAGGGATTACTTCTGGCTTTGCACCCAGGAATCACTCCTGGAAGTGCTCAGGGGACCATATGGGATGCTGGGAATCGAACCCGGGTCGGCCGCGTGCATGGCAAATGCCTTGCTCGCTGTGCTATCACTCCAGCCCCCAGTACTGTGCTGTTTTAATTATTACTGCTTTGTAGTAGAGTTTGAAGTTAGGGAGGTTGATTCCTCCCATTTTCTTTTCCCCAAGAATTGCTTTAGCTATTCGTGGGGGCTTATTGTTCCATATGAATTTCAGGAGTGTTTGCTCCATTTCTTTGAAGAATGTCATGCGTATCCTTATAGGGATTGCATGGAATTTGTACAATGCTTTGGGAAGTATTGCCATTTTAACAATGTTAAGTCTCCCGACCCCATGGGAAGGGGGGCGTTCCGGTCCGTCCTTCACGCCCTACCGAGGTCACCAGTTGCCCCCCACGAACGGCTCTCCAGCACGGCCACAGCCCCAGAAGCACAAGGGCTTAATGCAGAACCCAGCAGCTTGGAGCAGAAAAGTGAAAGGACTATGCGTTAATCCAGGCAATCATTTCTGCCCAGAGGGGAAAGGGTGTTGCTCCCTTCCGCCCTCCTCCCTCTGGAAAGAAAGATGGCGGCCACATGGGGGCCTTGTGGACAGCAGATATGAGCCGGGGGTGTGGGGGCGACTAAAACCTCATGGGAAGAGGGGCGTTCTGGTCCGTCCTTCACGCCCTACCGAGGTCACCAGTTGCCCCCCGCAAGCGGCTCTCCAGCACGGCCACGGCCCCAGAAGCACAAGGACTTAATGCAGAACCCAGCAGCTTGGAGCAGAAAAGTGAACGGACTCTGCATTGATCCAGGCCATCAAGTCTGCCGGAGGGGAAAGGGTGTTGCCCCATTCGCCCTCTCCTCTTTGGAAAGAAAGATGGTGGCCACATGGGAGCCTTGTGGACAGCAGGTATGAGCCGGGAGTGTGGGGGCGACTAAAACCTCATGGGAAGGGGGGCGTTCCGGTCCGCCCTTCACGCCCTACCGAGGCCACCGGTTGCCCCCCGCGAGCGGCTCTCCAGCACGGCCAGGACTCCAGAACACAGAAACCAATTTCTTAACTATCTGACTTTCAGTAGAAATACTTCCAGGGTCAATAGGTAAAAGAGCAGAAATCCAAAACCAACATTTAATTCTTGAACCCAGCCGTAGAAAGCAAATCACTTCACAATGCTTTTTCAGGATGTCTGATTTGGGGCGGGGGGGTAAACTCTAAATAATAGTGGTGAATCTTTTATTGAAACAATGAATCTAATCAAAGCAGATAGAGTGTTAACTAGAATTCATCTGCTTCACAGGGACGGGGAGGGGTGGGGGGTGGGGTTTTATTGGGGTTTTTCATGGTAAAAAATAAGTATTGGTAAAGGGAAATGTGTTTGATATTTGCATGACTGAGACATAAACCTGAAAGCTTTGTAACCTTTCCCACAGTGATTCAATAAATAAATTAAAAAAAAAAAAAAAAAAAAGTCTCCCGACCCATGAGCAAGGGATATCTTTCCATTTCCTCATGTCCTCTTTTATTTCCTGAAGTAGCGTTTTGTAGTTTTCTTTGTACAGGTCCTTTACTCCCTTAGCTAAGCTAATTCCTAGGTACTTGATTTTCTGGGGCACAATTGTGAATGGGATTTTTTTTTTCATGTCACTTTCTTTTCTCTCACTGTTTGAGTATAGGAAAGCCATGGACTTTTGGGTATTGATTTTATAGCCTGCAACTTTACTATACGAGTCTATTGTTTCTAGGCGTTTCTTGGTAGAGGTTATAGGGTTCTCTAAGTATAGTATCATATCATCTGTGAATAGTGAGAACTTGATTTCTTCCTTTCCTACCTGAATGTCCTTAATATCTTTTTCTTGCCTAACTGCTATTGCAAGTACTTCCAGTACTATATTGAACAGCAGTTGAGAGAGTGGGCATCCTTGTCTTGTCCTTGATCCTAGAGGGAAGGCTCTGATTTTCCCCATTGAGGATGATGCTTGCTGTAGGCTTGTGGTAGATGGCTTGAACTATATTGAGGAAAGTCCCCTCTATACCCATTTTGGCAAGGGGTGATGGATCTTGTCAAATGCTTCCTTTGCATCTATTGATATGATCATATGCCCTTTATCTTTTCTTTTGTTGAATGGATTATGGATTATGGATTTCCAAATGGTAAACCATCCTTGCATTCCTGGGATGAATCCTACTTGGTCATGGTGTATGATCTTTTTGATGAGTCGTTGGATTCAATTTGCTAATAGTCTGTTGAGGATCTTTGCGTCTGTGTTCATCAGGGATATCGGCCTGTAATTCTCTTTCTTTGTGGTATCTCTGTCTGCTTTTGGAATCAGGGTGATATTTGCTTCATAGAAACTGTTCGGAAGTGTTTTTGATATTTCAATTTTGTGGAAAAGCTTAAAGAGGATTGGGAGTAAGTCCTCTTTAAAGATTTTAGAGATTGGGGCTGGAGAGATAGCACAGCACGTAGGGCATTCGCCTTGCACGCGGCCAACCCGAGTTTGATTCCCAGCATCCCATATGGTCCCCTGAGCACCGCCAGGAGTAACTCCTGAGTGCAGAGCCAGGAGTAACCCCTGTGCATCGCCAGGTGTGACGCCAAAAAAAAAAAAAAAGATTTTAGACATTACTTTTTTTTGAGTGGGGGGGTCACACCCTGCGATGCTGAGGGCTTACTCCTGACTTGCACTCGGGAATTACTCCTGGCGGTGCTCAGGGGACCATATGGGATTCTGGGATTCGAACCCAGGTCGGCCGCATGCAAGGCAAACGCCCTACCCGCTGTGCTATCACTCCAGACCCGTTTTCGTGTTTTTTTTTTTTTTTTTTTTTTTTTGCGGGGGGGCGGTTTGTGTGACACCAGTAGGTGCTCATGGCTGAATCCTGGCTCTGTATTCAGGGATTATATATGTTGTGCTGGGATCTAACCATGGCTGGCTGCCTGCAAGGCAAGCACCTACACCGCAGTACTAGGTTTTCATTATTTCATTACCCCTGAAGTTTTCATTATGTTTTCAGAAATTTTATTGAATCAGTGAATTCACGGTGATAAGCCTTAAATGATGTGCTAGCAAAAAAAGTAGTGTTTCCCTCTTGGTTTATGGAACACACCTATCATTGTTCAGGGGCTACTCCTAGCTTTGTACTCAGGGGTTACTCCTGGATCTCCATTCCTGTGCATAACTATGTGGTGTCCGGGATCAAACAGGTTCGTTGCATGCAAGAGAAGTGCCTTCATCTCTGCACTGTCTCTTTGATTTCTGCATTTGAGGCTAGAGATCAGAATTAGTAATCAGAATTAGTACCGGAGAAAATAAAAACTTTATTTATTTTTGGTTTTGGGGCCAAATCCAGCCTGAGTAGGCATTTCTCCCGGCCTGCACCCAGGAATCACCCCTGGCAATGCTGGGGAACCATATGGGATCTGGTCATCCAACTTACACCTACAGTGTACAAGGCAAGCACCTTGCCTTCTCAAGATTCCTCTCCATCCTGCAAATTAAAAACTTTTGTTTGGGGGCCACACCTGGCAGTGCTTAGGGGTTACTCCTGGCTTGCACTCAGGAATTACTTCTGGTGGTGCTCAGGGAATTATATGGGATACTGGGATCAAACCTGGGTTGGACAAGTGCAAGGCAAATGCCTTAACCACTGTACTATCACTCAGGATCAAAAAGTAAAACTTTTTTGCAAATGTATCAAGGGTAATAATAAACTTCGCCTAAAATCCTATAGTTAACAAGGTATCTTTAAAAACAGAGCAAATAGTTACATTCTGTGTACCTGAATATGTAGCTCAGTAAACATGTTAAGTACTTGTAGTTTGGGATAAAATTTCCAACCTTATGACCAGATTAGGTCTTAGAAAAAAAACTCTAACTCTCAAAATGTCTGATTTAGGCAAAGGCAGAGAATCTGTACTGAGTACAGCTGTGTTGCAGAAGCCCCGTGTCTCTACTGATTACAGGTCCTGGGATCAAATGCAAGGGTAAACAGGATTTTATTTATTATTATTATTTTTTGCTTTTTGGGTTACACCCGGTGATACTCAGGGGTTACTCCTGGCTTTGCACTCAGGAATTACTCATGGCGGTGCTCAGGGGACAATATGGAATGCTGGAATTTGAACCTGGGTTGGCCGCGTGCAAGGCAAACACCCTACCCGCTGTGCTCCAACCCGGTAAACAGGATTTTTAAGTTAGCATACTTGGTAGGTTTTGTGTTAGTTTGGTACTGTATGAAGATAAAGTACTACAAATAGCATAAAGAAGTAAATTGCAGCGTCACAAGATAGCTCAAAAGGTTGGAGCACATGCTTTGCAGGCAGCAGGCGTTGGTTCCACCCTCAGCAAGTGATCCCTCAAGCAACACTGGGGTAACCCTAGAGTTCTGCTGGGTGTGGACTCCCCATATCCACCGCCCCCACAAAACAAAGGCGTATATTGCATATTAAGATAGTAAATGACCTGAAATAAACTCTTACTACACAAGCATTATTGACAAGGGCCCTAATGGGAAAATATTATCTTTTTTGAGCCACACCTGGCAGTGCTCAGGGGTTACTCCTGGCTCTGCACTCAGGAATTACTCCTAACGGTGTTCAGGGGACCATCTGGGATGCCCGCAATTGAACCTGGGTCAGCTGTGTGCAAGGCAAACACCCTACCCATTGTACTATCATTACAGCACCCAAATATTTAGATCTTAACTATTTTTTTTTTTTGGCTTTTGGCTTTTGTGCAGACCTGGTGATGCACAGGGGTTACTCCTGGCTCTGCACTCCAGAATTACTCTTGGCAGTGCTCGGAGGACCATATGGTACGCCGAAGAGTGAACCCAGGTTGGCGGCATGCAAGGCAAATGCCCTACCCACTATACTACCACTCCAGCCCCTAGGTCTTGACTTTCAAAAACGATTTAATACTATTACAAAATGTCAAGCAGAATATATAAATATTTATTAACATTTGAAGCTTTGTTTTTAAAAGCAAATGTGCAAATGTGAGAACTTAAAGAGAAATCAACCTAAAATCCTTTTCCTTGAAGTCCAGTGTAAATGAATACTCAGGATCAGCAGTGCCACCACTCTAAATAAACAAATCTATCTGAATGCAGATATGGGGCATTTTCAATGCCATTCAGATAGTCTCTCTAGAGTTGCGACTCCCAGGAGTACTCTAGAGGCTGCAGAGAGGCAGAACACTGTTTTTACCGCACGCTAACTTATTAGTAGCGGTACACAAATATATTGCCATCTTTTTGTCCAGCCAACAAATGAGAATCTGTGCCTGACCATTTAACGAAGGACCAATTTTGGTCAGAAACAGGTGGAAGGAGAACGGTGCAATGCCCTAAGAGCAAGTCCCAAACGGCAATTCTTCCAGAAGTTAATACGGCTGCTGCAAGACTGTCCTTCACGTCCCCTTCCAGGAACCTAATACAAAGCAGAGAAGAGACAATTCAAATCTCAGTTCAAAAAAAAAATTGTACATATGGATTTTAAGTTAGGTCCAAATCATATACCCTGCAGCAACATGAAGAACAGAAAATACCCCTAACCATGAAAGACTGTTCTTGTTGGCAACCTTCTAACTACTGGCTACAGCTGCCATGCAATCACACCTCTAGGTGCTTCCAGTGGCTTTGCCACATGCCCCAGCCCACAGAGGCCTTTGTCCCTCTGCCCACACCAAACTCAGTGAGTTAGTGTTCCTGTTAGTCCCTCTTGTTTGCTCTGTCCCCAGGGATCAGCACAGGTCTGTTAGCTTGGTACAAAGACTAGACCCATGGTCTCTCTACAGAGGATCGTCACACTCCCTCTCTACCACATTGTTTTTCTATTTTTTTTTTTTTGCATCACCTCTGGCGATGCTCAGGGGTTACTCCTGGCGGTGCTTAGGGGACCATATGGGATGCTGGGAATCGAACCCGGGTCGGCCGCGTGCAAGGCAAATGCCCTACCTGCTGTGCTATTGCTCCAGCACTATTTAAAACCTATTTTTGTTTTAAAAATTGATTGTTTTTTAGTTGAAACCCTGCAACTTATAATATTTTAATTATGGTTTCTCATGCACATAGTTACAATATTGCAAGTCCTCCCCAGTGTGCCTCCCTCCCTGTCTCACATTATCTGTTTGTATCCCTCATAATATGCATAATGTTGATATGGGGGAGGGAATATTATGAATACTGTTTTTTCCAGAGTGCTTTTCACTGTGTGGCAGAGTTTTCTCCTTATGTGGCAAGGCTCTCTCAAACCAAAAGGTGACCACCACAAAGCAGAACTCTGATTGTTTCCTTACTTCTGTAGTCAGTTTACCAGGGTCTGAATCCCAACAAAACAAGATGTGTCCCTGGGTAAGTTGTATAACCTCACCAGTAAATAGGTATGATGAGACACACGTCTACTTCATGGTGTGAGAGTTCATAAGATAACTGATGCAGACAGCTCAGCAGATTCCCTAGTGCACAGGAAATGTTTAGCCACTCCTGGTGGTGCTCGCAGAACCGTAGGGGATGCTGCAGATTGAACCGGATTGGCCACAAGCATGGCAAGCGCCTGACCTACTGTAATTATCACTCCAGCCCCCAAAATGTTATTTTTAAAATCTCTGGCTCCCTCCTAACTGTGTGTAGCCGGTTACCTAACTCATCTTCTAACACTCTATAATGTTTTCCTTTATAGTCTCTTCCAAGCATCAGCTCTCGATCATGGTGACCAATCAGCCTTTGTATCCCAAACAGTGCAACCTATCAGTATCTGATGCACTGAACAATAACCAGCAGATTTCTAACTTAAAAACGTGTGCTTCTGGGGTCGAAGCAATAGTACAGTAGGAAAGGCGTTTGTCTTGCACGCAGCCAACCTGGGTTTGATCCCTGACATCCCATATGGTTCCCCAAGCACCGTCAGGAGTAATTCTGGAGTGCAGAGCCAGGAGTAATCCCCGAGCATTGCAAGGTGTGACCCCAAAAGCCAAAAAACAAAAGCAAAACAAAGCAATACTTCTACAGACTCAACACTGACAACTTGAGATCTGAGCTGCAATCACTGAACCTTATAGTAGCCTGTCAAGGTGGCAGGCAGGGGCACTGGTGGAGGGAGGTCAACACTGGCGGTGGGATTGGAACTGAAATATTGTATGCCTTAAAAGTTAACTATTAAGGTTGGAGCAATAGCACAGAGGGCAGGGTGTTTGCCTTGCATGTGGCCAACCTGGGTTCAATTCTCAGGATCCTATATGGTCCTCCAAGCACTGCCAGGAGTAATTCCTGAGTGCAGAGCGTGGAGTAACCTCTGAACATTGTTGGGTGTGACCCAAAAAGCAAAAAAAAAAAAAAAGTTCTTCAATCAAATGAAAATTATTAACAAACAAAAAAACAGTGTCTAACAGGACTGCCATCAAATCAGCTTTGAACGTTACTAAACAACTAGGTTTCAGAAGTGATGGGATGCCAGGAATGAAACTGAGGTTGGCCTTGTGCAAGGCAAGCGCCTGCCTGTTGTAGCTTTTTGTTTGGGCTTTTGGGTCATATAGGCTGTGCTCGGGACGTACTCCAAGCCTTGCACCCAGGGACTGCTCCTGCGTGTGCTGAGGGTGTGGGGGTGAGACCATATGTGGCACCAGGAATTGGATCTGGGCTGGTTGCTTGCAAGGCAAGTGTCTTACCCACTGTACTATCTCTCTGGTCCATCACTGATGATAACTTTCTGTTTTATTTTGTTATTTTTTTTTTGGGGGGGGTGGGGAGGGGAGCAAAACAAGTCCTTTTTCTCTTTTTTTGTTTTTTTTTTTTTTTGCTTTTTGGGTCACACCCGGTGATGGTCAGGAGTTACTTCTGGCTTTGCACTCAGGAATCACTCCTGGCGGTGCTCGGGGGACCATATGGGATGCTGGGAATTGAACCCGGGTCGGCCAGGTGCAAGGCAAACGCCCCACCCACTGTGCTATTGCTCCAGCCCCAAAACAAGTCCTTTTTCATCCATAAAACAACCTGAGCAAATTTACACCAATGGAAATAAGGAAGTAGGGTATCTGGGTGCTAAGCCAGACCTACCAGACTCATGCTTCAAACTTCAACTGATCCTACCCTCTGTACTGTGATCTGCAGTGTTTCAGGCACTCAGATCTCTAGTTTTCATATCTGCCCAGAACCTTTCTAGACGTCACATTCAGTGAAGCACAGCGTTCACACTTGCCTTCCCGCCTGCCCCTGAGGAAGACAGTAGAGCATCACTCCCATACTCAGGGTCGTCTTAGGGTTAATCACAATCAGCTGAAACACAGGGCTTCCCGTGGGCTCACTCTCTTTGGCACACGGATGACTCAGAACAATAAACAGGAGCCCCTGGTTTAAGAGAAAAAAATAACAAGAAAACAATAATCAAATATCATTAACTTAGGAAACACTAGGATAATGGGGGAGGGGGGAAGTGCCTGCTACAGAGACAGGTTGAGAAGTCTGGGAAGGTAGACAGGAGGGAAACTGGGGACACTGGTGAAGGGTAGTGGGCACTGGTGAAGGGACTGCTGCTGGAACATTGTATGCCTGATACATAATCATAAATATCTTTGTAACTTGTAATTCATGGTGATTCAATTAAAAAGTATCTGTCACTGTCATTGTCCTCCTGTTCTTCATCAATTTGCTCGAGCGGGCCCAGTAACATTGTGAGACTTGTTGCTGTGTTTGGCATATCAAATACGTCATAGGCTGCTTGCCAGGTTTTGCCGTGCAGGCGAGATACTCTCAGTAGCTTGCCAGGCTCTCTGAGAAGGGCAGAGGAATCGAACTCGGGTCGGACGTGTCGGCTGCATGCAAGGCAAATGCCCTACGTGCTGTGCTATTGCTCCAGCCCTAAAAGTATCATTAACTTTATATTTTATTTTGGTTATGTGGTGCCACACCGGGCTGTGCTCTTACTCCTGACACTGTGCTCAGGGATCACTCCTGGTGGGCTTGGGGACCATATGGGGTGCAGGACATCCAAATGCACTGCAAGTACCCTACCTGCTGTACCATCTCTCCGGTCCCAGAGAGTTCAAGTACAGAGATACTTTTAGGCCAGAAAATGTGGGCACTGACACTCAAAAAGAGGTGCCACAGAGGTTGTGCGGTCCACAAAATACAAGTGCTGAGCGGTCTGCTACAGCTTCTGTTCAGATCTCACTGCTGGTAAGCAAGCAGGTGTCCCTGACTCCTAGACAATGAATGACCTTTAATCTGCTCAGATGTCAAAATTCAACTGTAAGCCAAGTCTATTAGCACTCTGGCTACCAGATCTTTCTATACACAAAATCTGATGCCTAAGAGGAAAACACATCTAGAGCTACTTTGTTTAGTTATCCTGAGGATGTCCATTCACATTGTAAGTTATTCATAGCAACATAGCTGTGAGTCAAGTCTGATAACTGGCCTGTTATTTCTCAGTACAAAATCAAAGGCAGAATTAAAAATTGCCTGTAAGTCACAAAGCAAGAAAATTCAGTGAGTAATTATAATGTGCCAATACATTCTCATCCACAGTTTCAGAACAAACACCGTTACTCAGAAATGAAAGGAAGTCAGGTGTGAGAGATGCTCTGATTATCACTGCTTACCAGGCTGTGAGTCTCGCTCAGGGGAACCAGGAGTAGACACGAGATACTCACCATCTCAGAATAGGCTCTGTGACAGACTGAGGCCTGATAGGAATCACCAATGTTCATCTTCTTCAGAAGCTGACCAGTTTTTAAATTCCTTAGATATTAAAAATAAGCTGTTAATATTAATCTTTTTCTTTTTTTAATTTATTTTTGGGTCACCCCCAGCGTTGCACTGGGGTTACTCCTGGCTCATGGACTCAGGAATTGCCTCTGGTGGTACTCGGGGGACCATATGGGATGCTGGGAATCGAACCCGGATCAGCCACATGCAAGACAAACGCCTACCTACTGTGCTATCACTCCAGCCCCAACTTTTTCACTTTTTGTGCATTCTCTTTGATCTTTATTTGACCTAATTTCCTAGCTTTTAATCCAGGCCACATTATCTGAAGGATGTATTTTCTTTTTTTTTAAAAAAAAATTGGAATTTGTTACTTTTACACTTTTTTGCGCCCTCCTAATTGTGTGGCGTAGGGTTATTTCTGAACCATTAGGATTCAATTTTTACTACTATGGATTCTCACAGGCTGTCAACATTCTTTCCACAAACCGACTTTCACATAATATTCTCTTATTCAACATAGGGGGTAAATCATAGAAAAACTATTGCCTTAGTTTTGATTAGTCACAACTATAGGTTTATTTTGCCAATAGTTAATTTTATGGTTTAGCAAATTCCTCTAGGAAAGTTTTCCATAATCTCATTTTACTTGCTACTGAAATCAAACATGTAGTTTCAATCCTTGCTTTCGTCTCATCATGGTTATGTCACATTTATTGCTCAGGACTTCCTCATGGCTCTGTGCTCAGGATCACTCCTGGCAGGGCTCCAGGGATCACATACAAGGGTGCTGGGGAGAGAACCCAGGTTGGCCACATGCAGGCCAGTGCTTTACCCGCAGCACCATCTCTCTGACGCCTATACTTCTTATTAAGCCAAACAAGATCCCAGGCGCCTCCAACCACTGCCAGGAGGAATCCCTGAGGGCAGACGCAGAAGAAACCTTGAGCATCACCAGGTGTGGCCCCAAAACCAAAGAAAGAAAAAGATAATAATGAAGCAACGCTTACCAAATCACAATGTTGTTCATTATAGTGGAACCAAGCAGAGCTTCTTGCATCCCTTGGACCTCAGCAAAAGTTAGTATAGTCTCTTCAGGGGGCATCAAAAATTGTTTTTCCTTGCTTCTGCATTTAAAATAGTGTAAGACTCAAGATGTACCAAAGTTGTTGCTAAGCCATATTATTAACCTATACAGACTGATCCATTTTTCGGGAGGGAGTGTCATACCCAGTGACGTTCAGGGGTTATTCCTGGCTCTCACACGGGAATTGCCCTGGTGGTGCTCATGGGACTATGTGGGATGCTGAGGATCGAACCTGCGTCGACTGCATGCAAGGCAAATACTTTACCCGCTGTGCTATCACTCCGGTTCCCAGACTAATCGACCAGTTTAAGAATCCTTAACTTTCTACAATAATCTTAATATTATCATCATAGTAGCAACTTGTAAAACACCTCAAATTCATCATATTCAAAATCCAACTCATTTACTTTTACTTTCTTGGGGAAGAAGGGCAGTCACAGCTGGCAGTGCTCAAGGGTTATCCTGGCATGCATGCAGAGATCATTCCCAGAGTGCTGGGAGAAACATGTCATGCTGGGTTTTGAACCAGCTTGTCCTCTGAGCTATCTCTTTTCACTTGTCTTTCTGCATGCCTATCCATTAGTCAGGTGACCAAAACCTGGACACTTTTCTGCTTCCCTTCTCCTATTTAATCACTAGGTCCAGACCATTTTTTCTCTAACCTCTCTGGGTGACCCCATATCCACAAACCCTTTCCAATTGTTACTTAAGCAAGTAACAATTCTGTCTACTGCAACAGGTCTTGAACAAAGAAGATACACAAGGTCCATGCCTTCGGTTATTAGGAAAAACAGATACTAATTATAATACAGTATGTTGAATTTCAGGTAGCCACAAGATATTTAATCAACAGGCATGTAGTTCTAGGGGTCAAAAAAGATCTCATATCTTAAAGTAGCCCATTTACTTCTCATAACAATGGTTTTGGGTCTATGAAGTTCTTGAGTTGTTTTTTATCTGTGTAATTGTGTATTGTTCCTTCAAATCTGAATGAGAGTCTGGCTGTAATGTATTCTTGGTGAGGCATTCGTTTCACTGAGCTTGTTCACTATGTCCCACCACTGTCTTCGGGCCTGGAGGGTTTCATCTAAGTCTGCTGTGAATAAACCATGAACAGCTTTGCAATGCTCTATCTCACGGCAATTCAATAAAAATAAAAAATATTAAAAAAAAGAATGGGGTCATAGAAAAATGTGCTTGCTAAATTAAAAGCAGCAATAGAAACTAAGTGTGTGAAGTAAGAGCAGGGGCTCGGACCCTGTAGTCCCTGTGATACTGGAAGAACAGATTTCAGACCCTGAAGAATAATCCATGTTTGCTAGCCCTCTCCATCCACTGAGGTCTTCCTGCCCTGTCCACTCTCGTCTCTCTAAATAGTTTCTCGATGACAAAGTTGAGGCAGACCCTGTTGCCCCAGAACACCAGACAAAATGCTGGTGATCCAACTGTCCTGGAAGCCCTGGGGTAAGATTATTGTGTTTAGTGTAGTTTTGGCCACACTTAGCGATGCTCAGGGCTACTACCAGCTGTGTGCTCAGGACTCTGCTTAGGGAACAGGGCGGTGCTGGGGATCAAATGCTGCTTCCTGCATGTGAAACCTGTGCCCCCAGCGCTTGGAGCTCCCTCCTTGCCCCCCCCCCCCCCAGGTGATTCTTTAGCTAATACTTTAAACCAACCAATGCTTCTCTTACCCTCCATCTTCTGAAAATGTCAGGATCTCCACTTGTTGGTCACAATGGGTCCCATGGCTACTGACGAGCCTTCTCTTTGTCAAGCCAAGCACAGCTTTGATATTTCCAGAACTCAGCAGTGCTTGCCTTTCACTGTGACCATCTGAGGAATAAAGTAATGCCCTAATGCAAATATAAGAAAAATAAAGAAGTCAGGAGTAAGTAAAGGGCTAAATTCAAATATTTTTATTTACCTCTTTGGGTTTTCATTTTGGCCACATCTGGCAGTGTTCCAGCAAGCAAAGGCCACTGAGCTATACCTCCAGGCCCCAAGTTCAAATTTTAAATACAGGGGCTGGAGAGAGGGCACACCAGGGAAGGCACTTACTTTGCAAGTGGCCGACCCAGGGTCAATCCCCAGCATCCCATATAGTTTCCTGGGATTACCAGGAGTGGCTCCTCAGTACAGAGTCAGGAGTAACCCCCGAGCATCTCAGCATCTCAAAACAAACTATTATTTTTTTCTTTTTGGGTCACACCTGGCTCTGCACTCAGGAATTAGTCCTGGCGGTGCTCAGGGGGCTATATGGGATGCTGGGAATCGAACCCGGGTTGGCCAAGTGCAAGGTAAACGCCCTACCTGCTGTGCTATTGTTCCAGTCCCAAACAAATTATTTTTAAAACAGAATCTCCAGCTAAGGATTAGCTGTTTGAGTGCTTTTAAACAAATTTAAATTTGGATTTTATCAAGACAAGCTTAGTTTATAGCCTGTACTCAAAAAAGAGACAAAGATAAATGAAAATAAAAAACTACTCCCTGAGAATTATATACCTGATTTCTCTGATTTCCAAATTTCCCAAAGCCACACATACAAGACTACAAAGACCAGGCACTGGAACTATTTGTAATACTGGAACCTGTATGAAACAAAGCAGCCAAAATTTATGCTGGTTAATACTGGAATCTATATAAAACCAAACTGCCAAAATTAATGTTTGGTTATTTTTATCACATTCTTTTATTTATTTATTTATTTATTTTTTGCTTCTTGGGTCACACCTGGTGATGCACAGGGGTTACTGCTGGCTCTGTACTCAGGAATTAGCCCTGGCGGTGCTCAGGGGACCATGTGGGATGCTGGGAATCGAACCTGAGTCGGACGCGTGCAAGGCAAATGCCCTACCTGCTGTGCTATTGCTCCAGTCCCTATCACATTATTTTCCGTAGTCACTACACCAAGATAATTCTCAACAGTAAAACAAACATGAGAAAGTTCAGCAAATACCCTCTTGTAACATTTTTTTGGGAGGGCTACATACAGTGGCACTTAAGGCTCACACCTGACTCTGCGCTCAGGGAGTACTCCTGGAGGTGCTTAGGCGATCAAATGGGATGCCGGGGATTGACAGCATGCAAAGCAAGTGCTCTACCTGCTGTACTACAGCTCCAGCCACAAACACTCTCTTTTATACGCTATAAATTTTAAAACGTTATATGCACAACACTATTTACTATAGTCTTTGTTTAATATACTCTACACTTCTAACCATCAGGCCATGATTAAGTCAATTCTGGCATGTGAACAAATGAACTATTATGAAGACATTTAAAATGTTTGTGCACAGAACAATGGTTCTTGTGCATGCAAAGCACAGCATTACAAGCTGTGGATAAATGAGAGGAAAGAATAAAATGTGGGCTGGAGAGATTGTAAAGCACTTTCCTTGCACACGGCTGACTAGGCTTTCATCCGCGACATTCCATATGGTCCCTGAAACCTACCTGGAGTGACCCCTGAGTAGAGTCAGGAGTTAAGTCCTGGCCATGCCCAGCCGTGTTCCTTTGAAATGTTTTTATAATAAAATACTGGGAAACAGAATAGAGGGAAGACCTTTATCACTCTGTTCTGTCCTGTTGGGTCATGACCCCAGTTTTGGCAGGCTGCCCATCTATACTACTAGGCACACAGTTACAGAGACCTCTTCCACCTCTAAGCTTCTGACTTACCTCTGTAAAGTGCCAGGAATAAACTTTTTCCCATTGCATGGTATCCAGAGGCCTCCACAAAGAAACTACATATTCACAAGCAGTTATTATACATGGCTCTTTGAGACCAGCTATTTCCCACCATAAGGCACTCACATCCACAGAGCAGGAACCTGAAGGATTCTAAACAGAATGGCAACAATTGTGTTCAAATGAAACCTGAAATCTGTCTTATAGAAAAAGAAACATAAAAAATGATGACTTTAAGAACCAGACAATTACAAGGTAGATGTAAATAAAATTTTGTGCAGGTTAAAAGAACTTTGTGGGTCTATCACGACGATCACGACCATCCTGTTATTCGTCGATTGTCTCAAGCAGGACCCAGTAATGTCTCCTTCGTCCTAGCCCTGAGATTTTTTAAAAAGTGCCATATTCAAGGCTCTTTCAGGGTGAGGAGAATGAGACCCATCATTGTTACTGGTATTTGGCATATTGGGTACGCCACAGGGAGTTTGCCAGACTCTGCCATGTGGAAAGGCTACATTCGATAGCCTGCCAGTTTGTCCAAAGTAGAAATAAGATAATGAGATGTCATAATAAGATATCGTGCGGGCGGTTCCAGGAGCTGGGATTCATAGTCTCTGAGTCTTGGCCGCTGATGGGATTACACAGCACCAGGGGGTCAGTTGGTTGTGGGTCTATGTAACTTTCAAATTGCTCATACACATTTACTTCACTACAGAATGGAATGGATTCAGATTTCATAAAAAAATGTAGTCCATATGAACTTATCCATTTGGAAATCAGACATCTTTTGTGTGTAGGGGATAGAGGGCAGGGAATAGCACAACTGGTGAGTTCAGGGCTTCTTCCTGGCTCTGTGCTCAGGGGTAACTCCTGGTGGAACTCAGGGGATCATTTGCAGTGCCAGGGACAAAACCTGGGTCAGCAGCACGCAAGGCAAGCATCCTAACCTCTCAACTATAGCTCCGGCTCAAAAATTAAACATCCTAATGACACACTCAACTGGTGAAGATGGAATAACACTGAAACTAAATACTATTTCTACAACAAACTACAAAGATTCATATCCAAACACGCAGTGCAAGGTCAAAGCTGTATTTGCAAAGGAAATGTATCACTTGGAAATACATTTACCAAAAAATAAAAACAAAACCAAAAAATAAACCCAAGAAGACAGTAAAAGAACAAAACACGCTGAAAAATAGATGGGGCCAGGGAGCTAGCTCAACAGTTAAGAATGTATGCCCTGATTTTGATGCCTGGCACCCCATGGCTCCCTGAGCACTGCAAGATGGAGTCCTGGTCACCACCCCACATCCCAGCATGGCTGGGCCCAAGTACCCAACCATCAGGTCTAGCGCTGCTGTGCAAAGTACAGCCAGGAGTGGCCCTGGGGCTCCCAAGCATTGCTGAGGGAGGTTATCCACCCGAATGGCCCCTAAAAGAGAAAAATACACAAAAAGGAATTATTGATAAAAAGAGAAAAAAACTCAATAACCATTACCACATAAATATAGTGCTTTTAGTTTTTTTTGGAAGGTCAACAGCACATGCAAATTTTTCTTTTTATTTTTTTGAGGGGTAGAGGTCATCTTGAATAGTGCTCAGGGGTCACTTCTGGCCCAGTGCTCAGGGATGTGATGCCAGGGATCAAACCAGGATCAGCAGCTTGCAAGGCAAATGCCTTCACCTCTATACTATCTCTCCAACCAAAAAATTCTTAATAGGATTAAATTAAGAATGAGAGCCAGGGGTGTGTCTCAAGGGGTAGAGGCATGCCCTGGATGTCTGAGGCCCGGGGTTGTATCCCCAGCAATGTGTACCCAAACTACACTCCCCCACTGTATATGCTCCCTGAGTACTGAAAGCAATAGCAGCAACCACAGCAGATGAAAAACAACCTGGTGAAACTCTTCTCAATTTTAAAATTACATTTTTAACACGTAAGACACATTTGAAGAAAACAGTCTTCTGACCTTCAACTTTGAAACCAACTGTAGGCTGCCTGGATTTAAGTTATCACAAGGAGGAAGGTCTGCAGGGTCAGTCTGTGAAAACAAAAATTAGGTCATCAATCTCTAGCTGATGCCTGCCATCACTCAACAGAACGTCTACTTGTATGCTGGGTTTCCCCTGATAACAGCAGCAAAGCTCCAAATGCAGCTGTTTCACTAAAGACAAAAATTGTAGGACCCCCGCCCACACACACACTAAAAAAAAAAAAAGTTTCAAAGTTCAATTACCCAGAAAGAACTTAATGTTTACAGAGACATTATAAAAAAAAAGTCAAAACATTCTTTGGTATATATATATATATATATATCTTGGATAGACAAGCTGTCCAAACTATAGTATTTCATCTCTCCAGAGAAAATTCCACAATGAAAGAGGCTAGAGGCTACCTGTTCAGTGGCATGTTCCAGGCACAGATCTTTTAGTGGATTTTCTTCGCAAGCAGCTAACATGGTAGGCAGAGGTGTAGCTTGAGAGCCTGGACCACAGGCAGGCTGTCCTTTCCTACCTGACCCGTCGAGGATGCCATCACATTTCGGTGAGCTGGTCAGCCTGTTATGTTTACCACAAGGGCTGCTTGTGGCTTTTGTGTGAGAGAGACAAGGTGTACAGCTCATCTGTGGAATAGTCTCTGCAGGCATTTTCTCAGAGTGTGCTTGGGAGAGCAGAGCTGGGGTTGTGCCCAAGATGGGAAAAGTGGGTGAACACAGGCTTGTTGGTCTGTCATCATCCGGTACAACAGTATTTACGGGGGTGAAAAGTAAAATCGACGAGGAGAGGTCCTTCAGAGGCTGTTTTCTCAACGATGACGTTTTAAGATGCGCATTTCTTGGTGGACTAAGTACCTCCTCCAAGTCCTCCATTTCTTTATCTACCTGTTTAGGAGTCTGTTCCTCCAAAACCACCCAATTTTCCTCTTTAAGCTCAAGCTGTTCTTCTTGATACTTTGATTCAAAAGGTTCAACTGGCTTTTCTGAGCAAGATTTCAGTTTTTCAAGTTTAAGGAGCCCAAAATCTTCATCAGGTAACTGAAAGTCTGTGACATTGAGGAAGGATGACAGATGCTTTAAAATTCGCTTTTCGTCCTTAAGAAATGGAGCACTGAAAGTATCATTATCCAAAGCTAAGTGTGCACTGCTAAAAGAAATACAATCTTCTTTTTGACCACAAACTTCTTTGCCTAAAACAGAAAGCATGAACAATATCCAATGAAAGAGACATTCGCATCCAACAGTGACCATCTAGACTCCAATATGATACAAAATACTCATTGTTTTTCTCATTCACGATTCTAAATTTCAAGCATCAGCTATAGGGTGGTGGTAAGCAGTTCTCCTTTCATAGCATCAAAAATAGTAAAGAGCTGACAGCATTAGCTGGGACAAATCCAGGGTCTAAATCCCAGCTCTGCCTCTGATTTGCTGTTATGTTGGGTTGGTCAACTGTTCTTCCCTGTTTCTTCATGAGGAAACTGGACTAAGATTCTCCATAAAGCCCTTCCTCCTCTAAAATGGTAACTGGAGGTTCTGGTGTCGCCCAGTGGTCACATGTGTGAGGTCTTGTGTTTATTTCCAGGCATTACTGTATACCCTTGGATGTGATCCCTGGCACCACAACAAAGTGTGCGAACCTGACACAGCAACTAGAACAAACCCCTCTTCCTACATTAAAATGACATCAATGCTAAGATTCCAACAATCCTTAGGAGGACTACCTACAAAATGGCTCTTCGAGCTGAAAAAGATCGCGAATACTCAATTATGTCAAGTGCATGACATCTCTTCCCAGCAAGCCTCAACTACAGAATGATCCATGTTAGCACATATGCAAGACCCACACCAAAGAGAGTGCCAGCCCATGATCCAGAGACTCATACATAAATAAATCTCGAAAGAGATCAACAAGCTGCAGAGATGATTCCGGACACCAAAGTCACAATCCAGTTAAAACTTTTAACTCCAGCTGTATCACCCCATTCAAAATTTTAGAATTCCTAGAGTGGCCATGCAACATCTCCGACTCTACACCACTAATCCACCAGGAGTAGCACACATTGGATGGGATGTAAAGTAGAAGACAACAGATCTCCAGGAAGAGAATATTAACACGCAAGGCTTAGCCTGTGACATGTGAATAATCTCTTATACAAGGGCTTAATGGCTTCAGGATGAGATACAACAATCCCCACATACTTTCTTCTAAGGAAATCTTTTCTGGTCATTTTTATCATATTATTTATAACAATCAATATCAAATAAATAATTTAGGGCCACTACTGAGACAGATCTGGGTGGTGGTTGAGAAACTGGAAATGTGGTGTGAAGGTCTAATGGTGGTAGGTCTGGTGTTGGAACATTCAATGTCATAAAATCATTGTGAACTTTATAAAAATGAAATGAAATAAAAAAAAAAGCCAGCCTTGGTGAGCAGATGGCCTAGTGTATAAGGTAAAAGTAAAGGCCCTCCCGTTGTTCGTCGATTTGCTCGAGCGGGCCCAGTAACGTCTCCATTGGAGACTTTGTTGTTACTGTGTCTGGCATATTGAATACGTCACGGGGAGCTTGCCAGGCTCTGCCGTGCGGGCGAGATACTCTCGGTAGCTTGCTGGGCTCTCTGAGAGGGGTGGAGGAATCGAACTCGGGTCGGCCATGTTGGCTGCGGGCAAGGCAAACGCCCTACTGCTGTGCTATCGCTTGGTGAGCAGGTGGCCTAGTGTATAACCCTGGTTATTACAATAGTATCAACAATAATGGAGGGAAAGGGTGTGTATTTGGGTGGGTGGGTGGATGGATGTATGGGGAGGTGTAAACAGAGACTCTTTCTCACCTAAGATTGGTGTGATGACTCAGTGAATTGGGATATTGCCAGGCAGAGCAATAATTATCATCATCAATATTTTCATTTGTTTTGGGCCCATACCCAGCTGTGCTCAGGGTTTACCTAGATCTGTCTCAGGGGTCACTCCTGGCAGGCCAAGCACATGTGGTAGCAGGGATTGAACCTGGCTGATTGAACGATGTGCAAAGGAAGCACCCTACCCGCTGTAAACTATCTCTCCAGCCCCTCAACGTCTTTCGAATTACCTGTAACTCTCCTTACCATGAACAATTGTGTTTTGAGTCTTTTCTTCATGCACAACTTGTCCCTTGGACCTAGCAGCAGCTGATGTGCCAGAAGTTGGCAAAAGCAGTTCATGATGATCTAAAACGGAGGAGATGCTTGACTTTCTTTTTCCGCTCTGTCTCCCACCAAATGGCTGGGAAACCAGCTTCCTTAAAAAGTCATCTTTAGCGCTCTCCGGGGGAGACCTGACTTCAGTCCATGAGAGTTTTTGAGGTCCTCTTGAAGCTGGTTGCCCTGTGCCTAGGTTAGATGTTCTAGTTTCACTCTGGCCAGTTTCTTCGTTGGAATGACTTACAGTTTTAGTTGTCTCCTTTTTATTTCTCAAAATTTTCTTCCTGATACCCAAATGATTTTGAATTACAGACTCGAGGGCTACTTTCCTCTGGGAATCTGACATGTGCCGTGTTGTTCTAACATAATATTCAGCAGGAAATAGAAGTCCTTCGATCATTGTGCAAGAATGTGCTTGATTTTCTGAAGAAACAGGAGCAGTTCCTTCAGGGATGACACTTTTAGACTGACTTCCAATCACCTGTTTCTGAAGACTCTCATTTCCACCCTTTCGAACATTATCGGGAGAATCTACAAGTGTTTCTGTGTGATGATGTTCATTTAGGCTTTGGTTTCTGTGTGCCAGTAAGTTACCATCTGGGTGCTCATTTACAGAAGGAAAGTTGTCTGGCTCTACGTTAAGACCTCTGGGCGGCTGGTCCCTTGAACTTCCACCTTTATTTTCCTCTGAGATATCTTTGAAGATAGTCAGGTTTTTGTCTTGTGCCTCTGAGTTTATAGGGCAAATGTTTTTTACACTGTGAGCAGTGAGTTCACAGTTTCCTTTTTGTGGCTTATGTGCAAGGTGCTTGCGATCACCACTACCTTCTAAGAGAGTATGCAAAGGAAGCGGAGTCACCCTGGGGGAAGGATTTCCTCTTAAGAGCACATCTCTTTGTGGTTTGGCAATTGGTGAAATTAATACATTCTCTCCATCGGCTTCTGTGGGTGCTGCTGGAGAATCCGGGTTGTCAGACTTAGTTGAAAGGTACGTTTTTATTTCAGTTGTGGGGGTCCTAGGATTGTCTCTATCAATTTCTTCTCCTTTCTTTCGTCTTCTTCCAGAGAGAACAAGGAACTCAGCACCAAAGACAGAGTCTACCTCCTGTGAAGTCAAAGTTCTCTTCTGCTGCTTTCTTCTCCCTGACAGCCTACCCACCTGTTTCTCACCATCAGGGACATTGTCCCTGTGGGAAAAATGTTCTTGGCTCACAGCTGTTTTTTCTAGATAAAATTCTTCCAAAGGGTCACTGTCAGGGCTAAAGGACACAGGCTCAATGTCAAGAGTGACAGGTGTCTTTTCTCCAGTTTCTTCATCGAGAAGGGTACTGATTTGTAATGGATCACAAGGAGACACTTTAATTTTAGATTCTGAAGAGGAAAAAATACATATTATTATCTAAATGAAAGAAAAAATTTTCATCTTAAATATCTTATATAAATACTATCACTGTCATTTTTGTTTTTTGGGTCACGCCTGGCTGTGCTCTGAGTTTACTCCTGGCTTTGTGCTGAGAGGGGCTAACCAACAACCATATATAGTGCAGCAGATCAAATCAGGCTGGCGTTGTGCAATATACAGATCCTTGTTCATATTTCTATTTAAAGGTACTTCACTGGTCAGTGCTCGAGGAACATGTGGTGCTAAGGGCCTTGAGCATGGAAGGCACTTGAGTCACATTCCCTGCCTCTGAACACAAACAATTTGATACCTCTATATAATGGAATACTACTCAGCTGCAAAGAAGGAACGAAGTGCTAATGCACGCTTGAATATATGCACAGAGGAACAATTGCTGAAAACATTGTGCTAGGTGAGAAGCCAGACACAAAGGGCCACATACTGTATGCGTCATTCACATGTCACATTCAGATTAGATAAATACAAAAAGGAAAAGGAGACCAGTGGTTCCCAAGGGTTAGGATACAGGGTTTCTGTGTGGAATATTTCTGGAATTCGATAATAATGATCATTGCATAATCTTGTGAAATGTACAAAGAGCTATAGAACTGTATAAGTGAAAGAGCCTATTACAAGTCCTTACCTCTGAATATAAGAAAAAGAGTCAAAGTCCCTGGAAAATAAATAATAAAGCAAGCAGAAGTGAATGGGCTAGTTTTACCTGAGTGGTTTAACTGTGAAGAAATTTCCTGCCGGAATGAGCTATCATGTTCTCCCGCTGTCTTCTTACCAGAATTCCTAAGTTTCTCAGCTCTTTGGGCACGCTAGAGAAAACAAAAGCATCTTAAGGGATGAATGTCAAGAGAAATTTTTTTTTTTTTTGCTTTTTGGGTCACACCCAGCGATGCACAGGGGTTACTCCTGGCTTTGCACTCAGGAATTACTCCTGGCAGTGTTCGGGAGACCATATGGGATAGTGGAAATCGAACCCGGGTCGGCCACGTGCAAGGCAAATGCCCTCCCTGCTGTGCTATCGCGCAAGCCCTGTGCTTTTATTTCAGTTTGGGCCCACACTCAGCGTTTAGGGTTGACTCCTGGCTCTGTGCTCAGGGAATCACTCCTGGCGGATGATCAAACCATGGGGATGCAGATCAAACCCAGGCTGGCTGTGTGCAAGAACCCCACGGACTGGTATTATTATTATTATTATTTTTTAATCTTTTGCTTTTTGGGTCACACCCAGAAGTGCACAGGGGATCCTCCTGGCTCTGCACTCAGGAATCACTCCTGGTGGTGCTCAGGGGACCATATGGGATGCTGGGAATCGAACCCGGGTCGGCCGCGTGCAAGGCAAATGCCCTACCCACTGTACTATCGCTCCAGAAATTTTTACTTTTCTGTTTTCTTTTCATGAACAATAGTTTTGAGTTACGTAGTCTGTATACCTCAATTTACAAGAGTAAGACATGCTTACCTGCAAGCGGGCCAATGTCTTGCTGTATTCTCTCTTCAAGAATGCTAATTTTTCCTTCAACTGGAAGAAAAACAGTGAACAGTACTGAGTAGGGGTGCAGGAGTCAAAGAGGACACAATGCCTTTCAGGCTCAATTGCACAGTGCTCATCAGGTACCTTGGACAGAGACTGTGGAGGCAGGTGCAATAGCCCCGGCCGGCTACTTTGGATTCCTACAGAGAACTCAGTCCTCTAATATCTCAGCTCCTCCGCATAAACAGTTCCCGCCATCTGGAGCATGTCTTCCCAACTCCTTTCACTGATTCACACTGACTCCTCAAACCTCAGCTCAAATTCTATTTTCTGTGGTAGATTCTTAGGTCCTTCTTCGAAGTCAAGTTTACACAAGTCATCTCTTGTTACTTTTTATTTTTTTCCTTTTTAGTTTTGGGGTCACACCTGTTGGTGCTCAGGGGTTACGCCTGGCTCTGCACTCAGGGATCACTCTTGGCAGTGCTTGGGGAATACATGGTGCTCCACAGATTGAACCCAGGTCAAGGCATACAAGACCAGCAACCTGTCCACTCGCTGTACTATTGCTCTGGCCCTGCCAGTGCTTTAATCAGAGTACTCATCACACTGCTTCCCTTCTCCTCCCTTCCCCTCGGGCATCTTTGAAGTGGGAGCGGTCATTCTCAAGACTCACTTTCACCAATAAATCTCCCACTAGGGGGCTGGAGCCATAGCACAGCGGGTAGGGCCTTTGCCTTGCACGTGGCTGACCCGGGTTTGATTCCCAGCATCCCATATGGTCCCCCGAGCACCGTCAGGAGTAGTTCTTGGGTGCATGAGCCAGGAGTAAACCCTGTGCATAGCCGGGTGTGACCTAAGAAGAAAAAAAAACCCCAAATCTACTGTCAGCCAGGCACCCAGGGAGTATCCCTAGCACCCTGAGCAGTAGCCAAGCCCCAGGAGCAGTTGGCAATGGTTTCAGAAGCAAGAGCCTCTATGCGGCCACGCTTATGGGAAAGTAAAGGCCCTCCCGTTGATCGTCGATTTGCTCTAGGGGGCCCAGTAACGTCTCCATTGGAGACTTTGTTGTTACTGTTTCTGGCATATCGAATGCTCTCGGTAGCTTGCCGGGCTCTCCGAGAGGGGCGGAGGAATCGAACCTGGGTTGGCCATGTTGGCCGCTTGTAAGGCGAATGCCCTACCGCTGTGCTATCGCTCCAGCCCTATGGGAAGGCAAAGGGTGCAGTAATACACAAGAAAACATGAAACCGACGAGCTCTTTCCAGCAGAGAACCAGAGTCTGAGAATCAGGATGACGTGAGCGCCTGACCTTGGGAAGGGGCTTCTTTACAGATGGGGTGGGGAGGACGGGGCACTGCCAGGCATGACACAAACTCAAATCTTCACGCATAAGGAGCTGGCTCGGAGAAGACGGGAGGAAAAGCGATCTGACCCCTGCTACCATGCATCTGATTCCTACTGAGCAATTTTCCTGCCCACTCGAAAACCACTTTCCTTGCCTTCTCCTCCCGCCCGCTGCTACTGGACAGGTGGGCCACGGGCTTGGGCTTGGGTAACGGGAAGGACTAACAGTTCGTCTGGAGGGGCCAGTGCCTCGACAGGCTCTCGTGATGGAAACGATCTAGAACAGCGCCCGGGGGGCAGTGCGACCCCCGGGCACGAGTGGTCCAAGGGCGGGCGCGAGCACAGGCGTGGATCGGGGCGGTGGGCGCCGCCGGCTGCCGCGCCGTCCAGTCCAAGCCGACTCTGGATTCGCCCCGAGTCCGCCGGCAGAGCGGCACCGGCCAGCCAGGAGGTGCTCCAGGCCGCTGCAGAATAGTCTGGAATAGTCTAGACCGGCGCGGGCGGGCAAGACGGGAGCCGCGAGACCATCCAGATCGTTCCATCACTGTCCTTCCCAAACAACGCAAGCCAGCTCGGGGGAGGGGGGCCGGGGGCCAGGACCCGCCGCGAGGAGCGACGACAGGTCGCGGCCTGCGGAAACGTCCCTCGGGGGCGCGGGTGGACGAGCCCGGGTGCACGGAGGGGCGTGGGCGTGGCGAGCGCGACTCGGGGGGCTGCTCGGGCTCCTCGTCGCCGCGCGCACGGGTCCGAGGTCACCGCCTCCTCGGGGCGGCCGGGACCCCGCGGCCTCGCCCTCCCCGCACTCGCACCCCGGCCCACACCTTTTCCTTCTCCGCACAGCTGAGGGGCCTCCCGGAAAGCTCTTCCATGGGGCCGGCGGCCGGCCGAAAGAGCAGCCGTGGCCAGCCCCGGGGCGGCGGACGCGAGGAGGCCCCGGCCCGGCCCCCGAGGCTCCAGGAGGCGCCCGGGGAGACGCGAGCCCAGGGCCGCCCTCAGCGCGCGGGTCTGGCCCACGCGGGCCCCACGGCGCCGCGCACTTCCGGCTTGTCGGGGCTCGGCCGCGCGGGCCGCGCAGCGCAGGCGCAGGCGCAGAGCGCCGAGCAGGGATCGGGGTCGTCGAGCCGATGGCCGAGCGCTCGATGGGGTCAAAGGCCGGCGGGAGCGGAAGTGGCGGCGCCGCCGGAAGGACCGGAAGCGAGCGCCGCGGGCCGGCTCGCAGGCGCCGACGGGCGAGGGGGCGGCGGGAGGAGTCGCCCGCCATGGAGCTGGGCGAGCTGCTGTACAACAAGTCGGAGTACATCGAGACGGTGCGCGCGCCCCGCCGGGCCGGGAATGGGCGTGGGCGCGGGGCTGCGGGGGGCGGGGGGCCGGAGCCCCGGTCGCCTCGCGGGGCCTTGGCGAGGGCGGGGCCGGGCGCGGCCCCGTGCCCAGACTTCGGCCCCGCGGGCCGAGCCGCCGACGGGGTGCCGGCCCGCGACTGTCGTCTCTGTCGCCCTCGGCGTCTGCCCCCCGGCGCTCTCGGGCCGGGGGCGGCTTTGCGCGAGACACGCCCGGGCCCAGGTTGTGCGTCTCGGGACCCCCGGGTGGAGGGCGAGGCTCCCGGCGACCGTGTCGGGGGGCGGGGGTCGAGCGTGCAAGCGCCCCGGCCCCCGCAGAGGCAGCGCCCCGCTCCGCTGGGTCCCCCGCACTGCCGGGGTGCCGCCTCCCCGCCGCCCCCAACGGAGACCAAAAGGCCCCCCCCCAAAAAAAATGAATTGTGGAGCAGACCCTGGAGTGCTCCGCGCCTCCTCGCAGGCAGCCCGGGACCCGGGGCGGGGCCCCCACCCCCGACTCTGCTTTCCCCGTTTCTCACCCGCCTTCCCGCTTGTCGTGCGTTTTCAGGCGTCGGGAAACAAAGTGAGTCGCCAGTCGGTGTTGTGCGGCAGCCAGAACATCGTCCTCAATGGCAAGGTAAGGCGCCCGAACCCTTTCGCCAGGTCGCTGGGCTGCCTTCCTCCCACTCCAAAAACCCGACCGTGTGTGTGTGTGTGTGTGTGTGTGTGTTTGGGGGTCACCCCTGAGTGCTGCCCAGGACTTAATCCTGGCTCGGGGATCATTCCTGGTGGCGCTGGGGTGGGGGCTGGGGTGGACCACTGCCTCGCTAGGAATCCAACCAGGGCCCGTCGTGGTGCAAGGCTCTCGCACTTACCCCGGGTGCTCTCCGGCTGCCTCTGCAGAGTCCTTTCAGCTCGCGCGCGCTCCCTGGCCCTAAGGTTGTTTGGGTTTTTTCCGGTTTTGCTTTTTTTAGGTGCACCTGGCAGGACTCAGGGCTTACTCCTGACGCTGTGCCCAGGAATCACTCCTGGCAGTGCTTGGGGCACCATGAGGGATTGGATGCTTGGGATTGAACCCAGGTTGGCCACCTGCAAGGCAAACACCCTGCCTGCGTGTACTGTTGCTTCAGGCCCTCTCAGTTTTTTTAAGTTAAGTTTTTAATTGAACTTAAAAGAGGCCGAGACATAGTACAGCGGGTAAGGGGCTTACCTTGCCTGCAACCACCTGGGTTCGATCCCCGGCATCCCGTATGGTCCCCTGAGCTTGGCAGGAATGATTCCTGAGGGCAGAGTGAGGAGTTACCCCTGAGCATTGCCGGGTGTCATCCCAAAACCAAAATATTTTTTCTCAAATGCTGTTTATTTACTTAATTATTGGTTTTTGAGCTACAGCTCAGTGTGCTAAGTACTTTCTTCTGGTTCTGCTCAGGGATCATCACCTCTGGAGGTGTTGGGGACCCAAGGGTACTCCCTGCAATACTCATCCAACCTGGCTGGCTCTTGAGTGCTGAGGTGCAGGACGGGCGCTCTAATTCGTGTCCTATCTCCGACTCTGAATTCTGTTCCACTGGTCGATATGTTTACTGTTTCAGTAGATTTTGACATCAGAAATCATGAGTCCTCCAATTTCAGCCTGCCGAGTTCTGTTTCGGGGTTGTTTTGTTATTGGAGCCCTTTACTTTTAGAAGGACATTGTAAGGCTGGGGACGTAGCTCAGGGGTAGAGCAAATGACTACACATATGTGAGCCCTGGAGTTTTCACCCCTGATCAATGGATGGTGGTGGGGGTGCACTTTTTATCAGTATGTTAAAGGGCTTACCATTCTCTCATGCCCACGTAATTGTGTTCCAGTTCTTCATTTGGAAGAAAAGTTTGTGGTGTTGACTTAATTTTTCTGTTTTATGATACTTATGAATGAAGGGTTTGAGGCTGTTCATGTTCCTAGAATGAGCAGGCGCCATTGGGCTACATTAGCACGCGACAGGGACGAATGGAGACGTTACTGGTGCCCGCTCAAGCAAATTGATGAGTAACGGGATGTCAAGTGTCAAGTCAAGTCAGTGCTTGTAAACATTATCTTGTGTACCCTGGTCAGCTGAGTATGAGACAAGCACTCTACCCACTGTACTATCACTTTGACCCTGGAATGGCTTTTTTTGGCAGGGTGGGCTACACCTGGCAATGCTCAGTGGTTACTCTGGGCTTTGTATTCAGGGATCATTCCTGAGTGGTCAGGGTGCTCGGAGGACACTGTGGAATGCCAGGGTTTAAGCCCTGGTTGGCAGCATACGAGACAAGCACCCTACCTGCTCTACTGTTACTGTGACCCTTGAATGGCTTTTAAAATAAGGTCACACTCCCATGTTGTTGGGAACCACTGGGGCCACACCAGAGGTGCTGGGAGTGGGTCTGTCGTCCAGGAATCAAAACCAGGGCCTTGTACAGGGTTGGCATGTGTGCTGCTGCTTGAGCTATTTCTCTGGCCCCCTATAAATCATGTGTGGAAAAAACTTTGTACTTTTCATATATGTATCCCCAGGCGATGTACAGTTGCTTGGTTTTTCTTGGTTTTCTGTGACTTTTTTCACATTACAATAACAGTAGGGACCATTTATATCACACGTTGTGAAGGACCATCATTCTCAACTCCTTTTCTGATTCCTGTGCTTTGCACATTTTCACTGCTGTGTACAGTTCCATTTATGTGCTCACTTAATGGTGTGTATGTCCAATTTTGTTGTCGCAAACAACCTTTTTGCATTTCCGGTTCTGTCCCTTGAAAACTCTGGTTCCGTTTTCCTGAGCCCTCTGTCAGTCGTCACAGTGCCAACAGGGATAGGCTGGGCTGAGGTCAGTACGGTAGACAGGATGAAGCCAGTGGAGAATAGTGGTGCCAGGTGAGAATTAAAGATGTGACCCAGCTCTGCCCAAGCAGACTGTTGATTGTCCTGTGGAAATTCAGACCTATAGTTCAGGAGCTTCTGGTTTTCTCCAAAGAGATTGGAAATCTTGAGTTTTTTGTTTGTTTTTTTTTTTTTTAAATGTAAAATGTCTCAGTAGTCAAATAATAATACACAATTAAACGGTAATTGCTATGTGGATTTAACAAGGCATGTTTCTGGCTATAATTTTTAGAACGACTTGCCATCTTTGCCTTATTGTTGAGTTTAGTGAACTCTGTGAAGACCTTTTAGATTTTAACATGACGTTGCCTTGTTTTAAGTTGACTTACTTTCCTACACATCCTGTTCAGTTAGGCAGAGCAGCACCCCTGCCCCTGGACTTTCCTTTTACTTCACTTTATGTGACAGTAAACCAGGAATTGAGTTCCTCTTGCTCAGTTACTTTGAGCACCAACGATAATCTTTATTTTTTAGGGGTGTGTGTGTTTGATTCTTCCAGAGAGTATAATTTAGACTGACAGGGATTTATATAGATTGTCTGTATTTCCAAACTAAGATTGTTGTCTTCATTCAAGACACAATAGAACTATAATGACCACTACTAAGTATTCAGACTCTGGAAATTCTCTCTTCTCCCCAAAGAAAAGAAAGTTATTTTCTGTGTTCACAGATGGAAAAATACACCAAAACCAGCCATTGAAATCAATTATGCATTTCAGATGAAAGAAGTTCATAATAGAGATAGGCATTTCTTTTTTTTTTTTGTCTGAAAGCTGAGAATATATTTACTCTTAATGATGTTGACTTTTTTTTTTTAAATGTAGGAGTACTGCTATTTATTCAGCCACTGATTAACTGATTGAATTGAGCATGAACTCCACCTTACTTTTGTTTTTTCATTTTTTATAATTTTATTTATTGAATCACCATGAGAGCAGTTACAAAGCTTTCAGGTTTAAGTCTCGGTCATACAGTGAAACACCCACACCCATACCTTCACCAGTGCACATTCTCCACCACCAAAAACCCCAGTATACCCCCATCCCACACCCTCCCCCTACCTGTGGGGCAGATGATTTCCACATTACTCTCTCTCTCTCTGCTTTGATTACATTCAGTATTTTGACATCAGACTCGCCATTATTATTTGGGATTTTACCCCAGTACTCAGATCTGCTGAAAAGGCAACAGTAGACAATTTGTTTTCAATTGCTGGTTATGAATAATTTATGATGTTGCGTGGCTGCAGTAGCGGCCACACGATTTTGAAATTCCAAAATTTTAACACTTAAATCTGGAGGGATTTCTGCCAAAACCTGCTGGGTTCCCAGATTTGTTCCTGAGTCTCTGGGATCATGGCCATTAAGAACCTTGATCAGGAGCCAAAAAGGCCGTTGGTGGGCAGCGACTTGGGGTCTTGTTGGGACGGGGAAGAAAGGACCAGCTCCACCCCCATCCTGTGAGGCCCCGCGTGTCTCGTAATTGAGGGCCCAAACCTGACTGTCCAGTAGGCCTCTGTAAGATGGCAGCCACCGAACCGCCTAAGGGGAGCAGGCGGAGGGACAGCACCCTTTCCCCCCTGGGGTGGCCCAGCGACAGTAACCTACTGCGGGTCTGGACGCATTTCTGCCAAAAGCCACTGGGTTCCAAGATTTGTTTCTGAGTCTCTGGGATCATGGCCATTAAGCAGCTTGATCAGGAACCAGAGAGGCCATTCGTGGGCGGTGACTCGGGGGTCTCGTTGGGTTAGGGATGAAAGAGCCAGCTCTACCCCCATCTCGTGAGGTCCCACGTGTCTCGTCACTATGGGTGCAAACTTGACTGTCCAGTGGCCTTCTTCAGAATGGCGGCCACTGGGCCACCAGGGGAACAGGCCAAGGCACGAAACCTATTTCCACCTGGGGTGACCCAGCACCGGTAACCTACTGCAGGGACTGAACGCATTTCTGCCAAAAGCTGGGTATTTTTTTTTTTCTTTTTCTTTTTGGGTCACACCCGGCAATGCACAGGGGTTATTCCTGGCTCTGCACTCAGGAATTACTCCTGGCGGCGCTCAGGGGACCACATGGGATGCTGGGAATCAAACTCAGGTCGGCCGCATGCAAGGCAAATGCCCTACCCGCTGTGCTGTTGCTCCAGCCCCAAAAGCTGTTGGGTTCCAAGATTTGTTTCTGAGTCTCTGGGATTATGGCCTTTAAGCTTGATCAGGAGCCAGACAGGCCGTTCGTGGGTGGTGACTCGGGGTCTCACTGGAATGGGGAGGAAAGGGCCGGCTCCACCCCCATCCCATGAGGCTTCGTGTGTCTCGTCACTACGGACCCAGACTTGACTGTCCAATGGCCTCTGGCGGGTGGCAGCCACTGAGCCACCAAGGGGGAGCAGATGGAGGGACAGCACCCTTTCCTCCCTGGGCTAGCCCAGCGACAGTAACCTACTGTGCGGTCCGGACACATTTCTGCCAAAAGCCGCTGGGTTTCGATATTTGTTTCTGAGTCTCTGGGATCATGGCTGTTAAGCAGCTTGATCAGGAGCCAGAGAGGCCGTTCATGGGCGGCGACTCGGGGTCTCATTTGGACAGGGAGGAAAGGGCCGGCTCCACCTCCATCCCGTGAGGCCCCACATGTCTTGTCACTGAGGGCCCAAACCTGACTGTCCGTGGCCTCTGGAGGATGGCGGCCACCAGGCCACCAGGGGAACAAGCTAAGGCACAAAACCTGTTCCCACCTGGCTGGC